TGTGCTTGTGTTCACAAGGGCCGCAGGTAGGAAAACAATCAAATTGCACCGCACTGAAACATCACAGGTGCTTGGAAACAGAATCACAATTAAAAACAGAGAAAGTTACACCATCAGTTTGTTTTGACATTATATGATTAATCTAACTTTATGGGTTTGCAAACTCCTCATAGTCAGGAAGAAAACACTTGTGTATTTCACTGCACACGGGAGACAGCAAAATGTCAGTAAAGAGCAGAAATTGCTTTGATAGGTTTGGTTTCACTTTGCTAAGACCTGGTAGTATTATGTGATGTATTAAAATTGTGAAGTCAGTTGAATGAAACAGACACTGCCTTTCTTGGCCAAGACACTCTTATAAATGAGCTTAATAATTTCAATGAGGTCTTCTCATAGACTGTATATACTATGGACAACTTGGTTCCGCATTCCGCCTGTGTGTACGGATTTGAAGCCAAAAAGCTCTCTGTATTCCGGGATTTTTCTTCATTTCCTGAAACCAGCGCTACGCAGTAGTGATGTGCGCATTCGGTTACGCAGTCGCCGAGAGTCGCTGTGATGACGCTCGGCTCAATCCCTGAACGCCCATAGGCTGTATCAGGTTTCAATCATAGAAAACATGAGCCGTACAGAAAAAAGAGGACTTGAGCACACACCAGTCTTACTGTAACTACATGTCAACATTGCAAGCAGGGGGGGGTTATGTTCTGTGTAATAGATTTTTAAAGTTTGTCCACAGCCCCATAAGCTTTGCTGGCGGAGGTGGGATTTATGACCTATACTGCAGCCCATCAACAGAGGGTGCTGTCCTAGGAGTGGCTTCACCCAGAGAGGAGGCAGACTCTGTCCATTCTTTATACAGTCTATGGGTCTTCTGAGTTGAAAAAACAATAGATAAACAGATGACCTTATTTGAAAAAGGTAAAGGCAAAAAGAAAAGCAGTGGACTTTGTAGATTTGAAGTTGGCTAAGTTGGGTTTACTTACATACATTTACTTAGATGCATAAATGATTGGACCCTGTATTCTCCCAGAATGGGTCAAAAATGAACTGTGTTAGAATTAACTGTGTCCTTATGGCACTTACATTTAATTCATATTTTGGACCTCCGAAGAGTTTTCAGATTTGAAATATTCTTATTTTTATTGTTTCAGGGCCACTTGCATTCACACAATGCAAATGGATGAAACGCTCTGACCACGAGAAACGGGACGTGAAAAATATCGGTGGATTATTAAACTGTTAGAGCTGGGTGACTGATAATGCTGAGTAGTTTAGACTCCAGAGTGTAGATAAGAAATTTTTCCTGAAGGTTTGATCAGTTATGTCTCTGCTCGGATTAGTGGTGGACAGAGATCAGGACGTTTTATATTTTTTGAGGTCACGTTTCCTCCGTTATTTTATATCGGATCTCCGTTAAACAGTGGTGTGGTGTGATGAGCTCCAGTGAAAGATGTAGCTTTGTGAACACAGGTGAGTCTGTGTGGATGAGAGGAGACAGGTGTGTAGATGAGGGAGACTCTGTTGAAGTTTATACAGTTAATATCAATGTTTACTTTAGATCGCTGATCTATGTGTGTGCATGCGTGTGTAACGTTGTGAAGGATCCTCGTTGTGTGAGCCTCTCTCCCTGCTGTGACTGGTCATCGTTTGTCCTGCTTGCTTGGTCGTTTGAGTGGCTGGAGCAAAGTAGTAGGAAACTTTTATTGACACTTACCATGTCGTGCTGCAACTTCTGGATGAGGTAGGCTGTAAATTGGTCTATTTCCAACTGCTTGGGACTCTGCTACATCTCCTTTGTACTAATAGCCGATGAGTTCGCCCCCCCACTCCCATCCCGCCTGCCATCCTGTGCTCATGCCCCCCCCCCCCCCCCCAGCCCCTATCACAAGGTGAGCCATACAACCTTTATTTATTACCACTGTTTACATCATAGCAGTATCAAGAATGTCAGTCTATTATGAAGTAGGTTGTGATGATGGGATTTTGTATTGACAAGTGAATTCTCTGGTGTGTTGCTGGGGGTCAGGGGTATGCCTGCCAGCCTTTATCCCTGACACCTAACACAGACCCCCAGGAAGCACAGCAGGCCTACAGTCATGCCAATGCCAGGAAAAGGGCCAGGATTGAAATGACCTTTGGCCTCCTGTCTTCAAGACTTCAGGGTCAGCCCTTTGACGGCCTATGACATCACTGTGGCCTGTGCTGCCCGCGGCAATATGGTCTGCCTGAGAAGGGCCCCTAGAGTGCCATCACACATGGACTGGGACAATCTTGCCATCTTCCCTGATGACGACTGTGGTTGGCTTGTCAGGGACCAATGTGTGTTCACTTATTTTAGTTAACATGCATGCTTTAAATTTTATTTAAATATGTCCTACATTGGCAGAGACAAATTCTATGAATTTCAGTTAAATATGTCCTGTATTGGCAGAGGAAGTTATGTTTCTTTTTTTTTTATTATTCAAAACATTGATTTGGCCCTTTATGTTGTTTGTGCTGTATACTGTATGTATACAAGCTAGAAACAACACGTACGTATGTACATGTATGTTTGATTCCATGCTTTCTATCCTGTAGAGTCCCTGTGAGACTTCAGTTTTGAAAGGAGCTGCTGGTCAATAAAGGAACTTCATGCTACTCTTGGATGTGTATTTATATTTATATGGCATGTGTAGTATATGGGAAACTATAAATTCCCTAATGATTGCAAAATCATCTAAAATTTAGAAAAAATAATAGTATTAGATTAAATGTTAGATAATGACAGTGGGTCTAGTTGAATGTGATAACATTGTGTAGCACAGTTGAATTACTATCTGTTTCCATTTGTGGTGACTGCTGACTGAGAGAAGGAATCAGATTAATTAAATCCTGGAACTTAGCCTGGTCTGGAGCAGGCTAGCTCCCCAGGATAAATCTTGATGGTAACTTATGCCACACCAATCTGTCCCACTATCGTGGTTTTGTGCAGCTGGATCACAGATAAGTTGAGCCAAGATAACTAAGATATCCTGGCCGAATCCCTTATTCTAGTTTTGTGCAACAGGCCCCAGGTGATCATCCTCCCTCTCACGGATCAGCTGTTGTGATAATTAAGTGTAAATGCTGATTAAGCATTTCCACTTATTGTTATACTCCTATTTATTAAGTGGGAATGCTGATTAAGCATTTCCATTTATTGTTATTCTCCTATTTCTTTATAATTATTAAGTGTAAATGCTGATTAAGCATTTCCACTTATTATTATTCTCCTGTTTCTTTATTAAACTTATTAGGTGTAAATGCTGATTAAGCATTTCCACTTATTATTATTCTCCTGTTTCTTTATTAAACTTAAGTGGAAATGCTGATTAAGCATTTCCACTTAATGTTATTGTTATTTATAAAGTGGAAATGCTGACTAAGCAATTATTGTTCTTCCCTTCTGCCATTTTTCTTTATAATTATTCTTCTGTCCCTTTTTTGCCATGCTTCTCCTCCTTCAAACTTGCTTTTTCAACCGTTCAAACTTTAAACTGTTCCCCCCCTTCAGGACATTATAGCATCTATTTTTTTTCCTTTCTACCCCTGCAAAAATTTTAACATTGAAGTCAATGGGGAAATCTTCCAGTTCTTCCTTTTATTCTTCCACCTTCAAAGCCTCATAACTTCAGCATACTTTCACCTAGAGACCTCATTTTTAAAATGTTCATTGTTTTGTCGACTATTAAAGTTGTACTCAGTTTTTTGATATCTTTTACAGTTTTCCCACAATTTAGCTTTAAGCAACTCATGGTTTTCAGCAAATTTCAGGCTTTATAATGGGTGTGTAATGGAGAGGCTAGAGTAGGGCTACTCAACTTAAGATGGCTCAGGGGCCACTCAGCAAATTACCAAAAGTCTAAAGGGCCACAAGCTAAAAATTAACGCCCTATTTTTGACTTTTACAACGATTTTGTAACACATACATGACATGTCTAAAAACACACCAGGAAACACACAAAAATAGCCACATTTCCATCTATATAAGCATAAGGCAGCCAAGGCCACGTCTCATTGAAGCAAAAGATTGTCATGGATGGAATTATGAAATGATAAAGTTATCAAATGAGGCTTTATTCACAGAATGTGAAGTGACCATGAACATATATATAGAAAATATTCCAAAACTAGAACTAGGCTTCTTTCATACATTTTGAACAGATAGTAAGAATCAGAGTCCAATAATTCCAGTTGAAAAAATGTAAATGACTGAAATTATATTGTGGATTTCTTTTTCCTTTTTTTCTTCTTCTTCTTCTTTTGTAACAAATAAAATTAAATAAAAAAATATAGAACTCTTGCTTAAAACAAAATGAAAAGTCTCTTGGGGGTTTTGGAGAGATGACTCCATTTGACTTCAGCTGTAGCCAAGGCATGGCCTGACAGGCTGTTATTGGTCCAGATCTGTAAATACAGTAAAAGACAAACAAAAAAAGAATCATAAATAATATGCTATCTTTTGTCATATTACAGAGAGACTGTTATTTATCCAGGTCTGTAAATACAGTACAAGACAAACGAGGAAGAATCATGAATATATTTCAGTCATATTACAACTTGAACATTAAAAACGAATAGTTTCATAAATCAGATATACTTACTTAATGTGACACTTGAGTCTGCATATTCCCCACTAATCGCCCCAGGTCTGGCTGGTATGTGGAGGTTGCTGTGCGCAGACAGTCGTGCAGGTGTTTGTCAGTGAGAGCATTGCGCTGTTTTGACTTGAGAAGTCCCATCGTTGAAAAGGCACTTTCACACACATAGGTTGACCCGAAACATGTCAGAATCTTCTTTGCACAAAGAGAGACGGCGCTGTAGGAATCGGCAGGTACACAAAGCATCCAGAAATCCACCATGGATTTATCAGTATAACTCTGCTTCACAGCATTATTGTTTTTCAATTCAATGAGTTCCTTTTCAAATCTTTCCCTTGAAACGCCAAGCCTGTCACAGTGCTGTGAAACATCACTCACATCAGTGCTATATGGGTTCTCCACCATGCGAATCACTGGCATGATCACTTTTAGGTCAGTGAAACGATTTCCAAACTCGGTGGCAAGCTCATCAAAGTATGCGACACATATCTTTGGCCGAAAGGAGGTGCGTCGCTTACTGACTTGTGTGCTTAGGAATGGGAAGTGCGTAAAATCAGAGGCACCAAGCTGCTGTCGATGAAGAGTGAGCTTCTCTCTGAAGGCTGAAACATCATTCACTAACACAGGCAGCACTTTGCCCTTACCCTGGAGCTTCAAATTTAGGGTATTTAAGTGCTTGGTTATGTCGGCTAGAAATGCCACTTCTAGTGCAAATTTATCATCACTAACATAGTACAGATCAGCCTGCTGCTTCTGTCTAATGAACTCTCGAATCACTGGCAGCAAGTCCATAAACTTCTCCAGCACGATGCCTCTGCTCAGCCATCGGACTTCTGCGTGCAATGACAGGTCTTGATATAACATCTCGTATTCCTCAACCAATGTGCGGAATTGGCGGTGTTTAAGAGCATGACTTCTGATGAAGTTAACAACTTTAACTACTTTACCCATTGTAGTTTTCAGTTCACCGCTCCTCAGCTTGCAGCAGAGCTGTTCCTGGTGAATAATACAGTGGTAAGATAAAAAGTTGGGAACCTCGAGTTCTTTTCTCAGCAATGCAACGAGCCCCGTCTCTCTTCCGACCATAGAGGGTGCACCGTCAGTAGTAACTGACACAAGTTTTCCCAAATCAGTGTCTTTCCCTGGTCCTCGGAAAAAGTTCATGACTGTCAGACAGACGTCCTCTCCTCTGGTCTGACCCGTTAACGGCAGAAGTGCGAGTAGTTCCTCATTGAAACATTTGCCATTGAAAAAACGAACCCAAATCATAAGCTGCGCTGTGTCCAACACGTCAGTTGACTCATCCAAGGCCAGGCTGAAATGGCTTGCTTTTTTGAGATCTTCAATCAGTTTAAAAAACAAATTATCAGAAATGTCTTCCACATGTCGGCAGAGGGTTGAATCAGAAAGCTGTAGTTTAGATATCTGTTTGATGATGGCATCTTTGTTTTTGAAATCAGCAAAAAGAGATTCGCTAGTATCCATCCAACATTGTTTCATCAGCTCCCCTTCAGTGAAAGGCCGTTTGCTCCTCGCCACATTCCACGCTACTTTGAATGATGCTTCTGTGACTCGGTCACTTTCTTTACAATGGAATCTCAGGGAACTTTGTTGACCATGCAAGCCTGTTTTAAGGGTTTTAATTCTTTCACTTCTTACGTAGCTCCCGGGTGGATACTCTTTGGTAAACCCACTGTGAAGTGTCTCGTGGTGGCGTTTAAGATTGTCACGTTTCAAAACAGCAATTGCCTTTGGGCATATGAGGCAGACAGGCTTATTATCCACCTCCACAAAAGCAAATTCTTCCTCCCATTTCTGTTGGAAGGCACGGTGTTCATCTTCAAGTTTTCTTTTACGTTTGGCCATATTTGTTTACCAACCTCAGCGAGCTGTTTCTCTGTGGTTTTGCAGTGTGCACGCTGTCGCTACTTCATCATACAACGGTGTTGTGTGCCGAACGGGCCGCTTTCCAAGTAATCACCATGTCGGGTGTGCAATGCTTGTAGGCTTCTAAATCGTCGGTGTGGGGCGCGGAACACTGAAACGCTGCTTGCGCATGATCGCCCTCTTTTGGAGAATTGTTGTAAATGATTTGTTCACACTGAGAAATGGACATAGAACATAGAAAAATCATCTTTAATTGGTATGATCATGACGGTCCATGGGCCGCATAGACATGTGGCAGGGGCCGCATGCGGCCCTGGGGCCGCGGGTTGAGTAGCCCTGGGCTAGAGTAATGATTTAAAAGCTAGAGTGCAGACCTCCTCTCTGATCGACAGAACCTCGCTGGAATATATCGCTCCCACGCCCACAAATTTCACTCCACAGCCATAAAAAATACATCAAAATGGAGGTATATGTGTCCTGCTTCTCACAAAAGAGGTTTCAAATCATTAAATTATACCCCTTGGCCAGCAGGTGACCAACTGTCCAAATAGGCAGAACCCTCCCATTAACCCCAATGTATTTTTTCTCCAAGAAAATCCTTATCATCACTCAGGCCCGGACTACACGTATATAGATATTTATTTATCAGGATATTTTTGTACTCCTGTCTAAATAAATGTTTCTGTCCACACGTGTTAGTTCAAAAAAATATCTGCGTCCACACGTAGCCTTCAAACTCAATCCTATCTGGTGCCGCTTAAAAAAAATTCAGGAACAAAGCTACCTGATTGGCCAATGAATCGTAACAGCGTGATGCGTCATGCATTGTTTGCGGAAGCTACGCTAGTGCGTCAGGTCCATGTGACGGACCATGTGACCAATAAAAGTATTGGGCGCAGCAGACGCTTCTGTGAGCTGGCTGACTTGTGGATGTAATTGTATAAAACAAGGTTCACTTGCAAGGCTGAAATTAGCCCCAAAAGGGCAAAACAAACGTAAAGAATACCCTGTCTGTCCGCCACGATGTTGTTGTTGTTTTTCCTTTTAATTCGCATGCGCGAGCTGCGGTTTGACGTCATCGATCCGTAAAAGTTCAAACACACGAATCCACTTGTACGGATATTTTTTTATTTCTCCACTTGTTTTTTCGGATTCAGATTTATCCGGTTTGGGTGTTCCAAACTCCCGATTTGGTGTGGTAGGGAGGCCTAATCGGACATAAATATGTGCGGTTTGAAATATATCCGCATTCGTGTAGTTGGGGCCTCAGGCTCAGACTTTTTTAACTCGCTGTTGTGGCCACATTTTTGGAGTACAGACATGAAAAACACATCGTGTTCATGAAGGAAGGAGGATTCGTACGATGTTCTTATTTTCATTCTGGGATTTCAGAAAATCATGCTATGTGAAGAAGTCCAGAGGCAGCTTCTCATTCAAACAGTAGGCCAGTTAATGCCTTTGATCTCACAGCTGTTTAGGATGCAATCAGTAACGAGACACACACACACACAGTCTAACAAAGTGTGTACGTGTGTGTCTCTGTCTAAAAGACCTGCATGTACACACAGTTAATATGTGTCTGCTTCGCCACCTATCTCCAAACACAAACTTTGAGCAACAGAAACCATTCTGGGCTTCAAAAATTCAGCTCATTGAGGACATTATGGGGTGTATTTAGGATTTTGTTCATTAATTGTATCAATATGTTCAGCAGAGTCGGTGGGTTCTCACAAGCTCCTTATCATGAATATATACAGAGGTTGACCATCAGGGCCTGGCTGGAGAGCTATTTCCTCAGCTTCAAGCCTCCTCTCTCCTGCTGCAGTGTTACATCTTCCTTCGAAACCATTCAGGGCTCCAAAAATTCAGCTCATTGAGGACATTATGGGTCTAATACTAGGTGATTTTTAATTATTCAAATTTCCCATTTTAAAATCATTCTCATTATTTTGCATTTTTCAATTCTTAAAACAGATTCCCAGTTTTACTACTACAATTACTACTAATATCACTTTACCTTCTATCTTCACGTCTACCTCCACTTCTCTTGCTTCTCTAAATATTTTTTACTGCATCTCTAACTTTTACTGCCACTATTACTTCTACCACAAGCTTTTCTACTTTGACTTCTACTTCTTCTACTCTAAAACTACTTCTACTGCTTACATGACTACTAACATTACTACTACAACTGCCTATTATCATACTACTTCTAGTACTACAACTTAAACTTATGCCACTTCTCACTTTTCTGTGTTTTAAGGTAATTTTCTCCTTATCCAATTTTTTTTTTTGCAATTTCAGACAGTGTTTCTAGCCTTATTCAGCATGAATGCAATTTGAATTTATGAAGCACATCCATACTATTTGTACTTTAACAATTTTCACTTTCATCAAACTTCTACTTCTTCTTCTTCTTTAGCCCTTTAACCAATTTTACATTTAAACCTTTTCCATATTTTTAGCAGTTTTGCATTGCTTTTTTAGATTTCAGCACTCAGCATTTCCACCCATTTTCTGCAAGGAAATGCAATTTTTCTAGTGAATTATTGAGAATGTGAGTTGTTATCAGGGGTCCTGCTTAAGACTTTTCCAAAAGATGAGACACAGAAGGCATAAAGGAACTGTAGTAGAAAAGACTCAGGTCACAGTGTTGTTTTGGAGATGCTGTCAGCAATCAGAGAGGACCCACAAATAGAGTAACCGGGCTGAGGCAAGAAGTTAGAGTTAAAGAATGCTCTTCACTCTAAAACAAAGCAAATAAAAAAAATTAAAAAAAAAACAGGTAGCTCATGAAGTCAAAATTTAATATTTCAAAAACTTAGAGTTACAGGATAGCAGAAAAAAAAAAAAAAAAACAGTTTCACAGGCTGTAATTAAAAGGATCAACTTACAGGCTGGATACAAGTCATGCAGGTGCACAAACTAAGATCTGGCAGGCTTTGATGGGCTATTTGCTTGATCATAGATGATATTTTGTTACAATCTACTTTCTTGTCTGTTAGCTGTGATTCAAAGCACTGTGTGTAGCTGTCTTAGTAATACAATGTATATTTTCAACTCTGAAGTGAACAATTACGTCTTTTTAAGCTTTATTTAAGTTTGGGAAATTTGACAAATATTTTGCCACTGTGTTACTTTTATCTCGCTGATATTCATATTCAATATAAAATATTTAGAGGTGATAAAAAATCTATTTGTCATGATGTCAAATAAATTAGGTAATCCTTTCTTTATTTAATTTTGCTCTCCATTTTATGACTATAAAGGTGTATTAATGTGTATTTTGTTGTTTTTTACGGACACTATGAGAGACTCAACTTGCCACTGCATGAAAAGACTTGAAACTTGACTTGGACTTACAAAAACTGTCTTTTGCCCTTGGGGAAAGGAAACCAAAAATGCATAGTAGGTCAAGGATTTGGTCGTTATCATTTTCCTTTAAGAGATTTTAATGTCTTTTTTTCTGAGCTATGAAACTGTGGCCTTTATTGGGTGAAAAATGCATTATATTGACATATAGTGGGAGCTGGAGATGACGGCACTCTGTGTAAGTGGAACAAAAAAGGTCATTACACCGCACATCAGGGCACTTTGTATGTTACTGATGTAACTTATACAATGCTGATGTAATGTCCTGGAGACACAAGTACAAAGTAAACATAATGATGAAGCCTCGGGGTCATCATTAGTCCACCTCATCCCTAGATCCCTTGGACATTAGTGTTTGCCCTGCAGCCAGCAGAACAAACTCCCAGTACGCTATCTCTTGTTGCTTGTTTCTTGTTGTGCTGCCAAGGTGGAGAAAAGGGATTACTGTGTACTTTGTGGGGTTGACGAGCCTATGAAGCCCCCTAACAAATTGCACATTTGGATATAAAACAGTTTCAGAAAATCAAGGTTGCCTTGTTGCCTCTTTGCCATTGCACAAAAGTGACTTCTTTCTTATAAAAAGATAAATATTGTAAAGGCTCAGTAATTGTAAAGTTCGTTTTTTTGCTGCGGTTTTACATTCATACAATCATGCTATATTTTTTTTGTTTACCTAGCAGTCCTCTTAGTGGTCAGAGGTGCTGGCAGGGGTATTGATCAAGTGAGTGGCTTTCTTTCGTTGTGACCAAATTCCCAAATAAAAAAGAAATAAAATATTGATGTATGGTATGAATACCACATCACATGTTTACTATTTTATATCCTATCTATATAAGAGATTAAAAAGAGACATGACAGTGCCAGTTTTTTCCAAATCTTTGCCCACTATTATTTCAATTTTCTTTTCCTGGGTTATTTTTCTCCCATTGTAAACTACACTCTTCATGTTCTTACTAGCCTTATTCATAATTCTTTGGTGCAGCCATCAACATTGGTAGACTTCTAAAAGACAGGTTAAAATAGTTCAAAGTCAAACTGACAAATATCAGATCAGAAAGACTGCAGATTTTAAACTGTCTTAAACTGAGATGGCCAACCTTCCCCTAAACGTCTTACAAAATCAAAAAAGTAATTGTTTTCTATACAGAATAAGTTTTCGCCATGACTGGCGTATTTTTGGTAGCTTAAATCCATACATAAAGGGAGTGAGTATTGGTTGGCAAACAAGGAGATACACTGATAATATAATACGTACTTTATCGGGTAAATGAGCAACGTTAAACCTGGAATCAACAAAATGGAAAACACAGCCAATGAACAAGTTTGACACTGAGACAATCTGTGGTGTGCAGGTATTTATAGCTTTTTGCCTGTTTTCTTTAGATGTATTCACACAAACAGCCAAAATCTTAATATAAGAGACTGAAATGAGACAAAACGGAATAACAATAGTCATCAAAGCAAAAAGCAGATCAGACAGACTATAAAGACTTGAAACTGAACAGGCAAGTTTTATCAACAAGTGGTGGTCACAAAACACTTTGTCAATGACATTCCCACAAAATTTCAAATGGACAATGAATGAAAAAGTGAAAATAAAGCTGGATATTGAATACATCCATATAATCAGAATGATCATAGCCACTCTTCCTGTGTTCATAACAACATTATAGTGTAAAGGACAACAAATTGAGACATACCTGTCATAGGCCATAGCTGTTAAACTGCAAAACTCAACAGATGCAGATGTGTAGATGCAACACATCTGAAAAAAACACCATGGCAGGGTCATTTCATGGGTATCTGACAACATTTGTGAGAGCAAAAGAGGATACAGTGATGTGCTGCCAGCTATTTCATTCACAGATAAATTACACAATAATATATACATTGGTTCATGTAGCTTCCTGTCAACATAAATGACAACAATAAGAGCTGTGTTGGCTGCACATATCGAGAGGTACCATATCATTATTATGGTAAAATACAGATATTTCAGCTCTCCAATGCTACCATAGGCAGCCAGCACAAAAGACCAGATCTCAGTAGTGTTGTCCATTTTGTTATTTTGTGACGTTAATGAATGAAGCAAACTTAAATGATGAGTGTGACGGTTTCTGAATAAATTCACCAGTTAAATATTCCAACTGCAGCTTTATAATAATTTTAATGTTTTAAAGGCACAGAGACTGACTCTTCTTTCCTGGCTGGTTTAAAGTTAAACAGCAACAGTTGGGTACAGAAAGGGCAAGGACAACTCACCTTTTATACTTCATTTTCAACAGTTTATACATTTATCTTAAGCTCTTTGTTAAATAACCTGCAAGAATTTCAAAGAGATCTCTACAAACTAAAGTGCTGTATGTTAAAACAACCAAGCTCAACAAATTATTGACATTAAAGAATAAAACACCAGATGTTGGATTATGAAACTAGTGTAAAGATTGATTTAAATGTTCATATTTAGATACTTCAGCAAAAACAGGAACTATACATACAGAAATTTGATCTGAATCAAAATTAATGCATCATAAATTTAATCCAAGAGCATTCATATAAAAGTCAGCAGATGGCTGCCGTTCCTCCAACAAGTGAACAAGACTGAAGTCTCATCTGACTGTTTGTGTATTTGTTCAAGGACAAAGAGATGGGTGGGGCTCCTCAACGGGGCGTAGTTGCCAACCCTAGCTTGAAGCTTACCTTAATCTGAGCGCCACACTCTGATATTTGTTGACCTGCAGTATGGAGACAGCATTGTCCCTAAGTGGAGAGCAAAATGTGCCATGTCAAAAATGAAAAGGAAAAGACACACAATATTTGGTTGTTTGATTTCTGTAGTTTTTAATTAGAGTGAAGTAAATGAAGAAACCTTACCTACATCTTGTCTTTCCTGGCCCTAGTTTAATTCAAGTCTTTCCCTCATTATCTCTGTATAAATAAATGTTCTTCATTTATATAGCCCTTTACAACAACCCTTTTGGTGAACCAAAGTGCTTTACAATACATAGTAAATAAAAAAAGACAAAATAAAAACAATAAAAAGCAATGAAACCAATAAAAGCAATAACAAAAAGAATAAGATACAATGCAATAAAATAAAGTAAAAGTGTCACAATGTTACTGGGTATTAAAAGCCAGCATAAATAAATATGTTTTCAGTCGAGATTTGAAAAGGCCCATTTCTGGCAGGTTTGACGACCTCAGAGCTCGACCCGGCCCCTGAATGGTTAAAAGCTAAGTTAAATAGATGGGGGGTGAGGCCGTTAAGAGCTTGTTCCCAGCTAGAAATCTTTTGTTCTAAAAACATTCTGACAATGTTACCTGTGATGTTCTTACAATGTTTTTTGCGGGAAGTTTTTGTTCAGTTCCAAGAATGTTATCAAAGAATATCCTCAAAAAACATCCTTAACATGTTTATCGATAACACTCTTAAAATGTTAAATGAAAATATTTTTATAACCTAATATTCTAATGCTTAAGGGATGTTTTAAGAGGGAAGTTTTCTTCAAGTTCCAAGAACGTTTTAAAGGAACGTTCTTTTAAAACATTCTAAAAACTTTTTAAGATAACCTTCTTAAAATGTTAAATGAACATATTGCTATAACATTATATCCTAATATTTTAATTATGTTTTTAGCAGGAAGTTTTCTTAAAGTTCCAAGAATGTTATAGAAGAATGGTCTCTAAAAACATTCTGGAAATGTTTTGTAATAACATTATTAAAATGTTGAATGAAAATATTGCCCTAATATCATACCCTCATGTTTTTATGATGTCTTTATGGGGGAGTTTTCTTTGGGTTCCCAGAATGTTCTTGAAGAACATTTTCTGATGACATTCTAACAACATTTTGTGATAGCCTTCTTAAAATGTTGAATGAAATTAGTACTAGAATATTACACTGTAATGTTTTAATGATGTTTTGTTTAAAGTTCCCAGAATGTTCTAGGAGAATGTTCTCTATAAACATCCTAACAATGGTTTGTGATAATGTTCTTACAATGTAACAAATTAAAATATTGCTACATTATACCCTGATGTTATAATTATATTTTTTTGGTGGAAGTTTTCTTTAAGTTCCCAGAATGTTCTGGGTGAATGTTCTATAAAAACAGTCTAAGAATATTTTGTGATGACTTTGTTACAATGTCACAAATGAAAACATTGCTACAACATTATACCCAAATGTTCACAGCTGGCAGTGTTAGAATGATACAGTTTAAGAAGTGGATAACATGCATTGAAAAGAAAAATCTATCAATGTTATGTTACGGTATTTAAACATTGAAATGACATCACCTTTCATCTCAAGATTTAAGTTTCCTGACACTGGTCACGAGGATCACTGATTAATTACTTCAAAATAGAATTGGACCACGAACCCATGTAAATGTTTCACAACACTCATTTATTTAAACACTTAAAAAAAAATAAAAAATTAAGGAGGGAGAGAGAAAGATTTTTAATAACAGGCGAAGCGGGTTGATGCTCTGTTAGCAGCCTGCGTTGGTTTTCATAGACAAATATCTGCGAAGCACCTTAAGGAGGACGCGTCGCTGGTGTGACTGAGCAGCGGCCAAACATGAAATTCTCTGGATGTGAAAGTTCTGAGGAGTCCTGATCCTCTTTTCTCCAGTTCCACTCCTGCTATTTATGTGTCAGATTCTTCTGACAGGATTACGCGGCTCCCCTCCGACACTGCAGGATCACCGTCTGGTCTGGGTCCACTTGCCTCATTCACATGCATAATAAAAAAAAGAGTATTTAAAAACTGTTAATGATTCATTACTGATTCAGTAATTACTGCAAATAACCAATAATATCCAAATAAAGTATATACAAAAAAGTAAGTTAATCTAGTGATAATGATGTGTTGTCGGTGGTGGGGAGGAGAGGCAGACGCCAGCAACTATGCTGATAAAAGCTCCCTGCATTTGATATAGTTTCCCTTTTCCTTGAAATCAAAGACCATTGACAGGATTTGACCTATGAGCTTGAAAGAAAACCACCAAAGAAAAGAAAAAGGAAATCTGACCGGGTTAAAACAAGAGACAACATCGGCATATCTTTCCCCAGGTAGAGAAAACTCATGAGGGAGAAGAACCTGAAAACACGAGGTTGCAACCTTTTTGCTAGGCGGGTAAATAAATCAAACATTAAAATTTTATCTTGACATAATGTTAGAAACCAGAGCAGTGTAGTCCCACAACTACTTTATCTGTGCATTAGTGATGAGAACAGTGCTATACAAATGATGAGCGCTATACAAATGCTAAATTAAGTGAGTAAACCCACGCAACTTTACTCTGAACTACATAATAAACTACAATGCATGAATTCTAGAAATAAGAATTTGATACGCCAAGTGATACACTGCAGACAAGGATGCGTTCAATGGTGCAATGTTACTACTACTCAAAAAGTATACCTAATGACAGAAAAAAGTCTCAATGTGCATCAAAATTTGCAAATATGCTCACATCTTATCACAAATTGTACGGCAATGAACATGTTTTTCAACAAATCAAAACACTGACCTGCATCCCTCTGTGAGGGGCATATCTCAGCATATCTGAGATGCAGGTATCTATCAACTTTAGCAGTGTCTTGGGGGGGTTCCTTTGGCAAGCCTCCAAAAATAAAGGGAGACAGAGAGAAATGGTTTAGAAAAGCAGAAATTCAGAAACACGTATGCTAGTTTAGCAAATATGCTAGCGCATGCATCTGTCTTAAAGCTATGATCTACCATTTGTAATTATTATTAAACACATTTATATGGCTTTTATGGTCATATAGTCCGATCCACACAACATGAAGAGCAAAAAGAACTAAAAAAAAAATCCATTCTGTCTAGCAGCTGCAGGACTGTAGGGGAATTGACCAATACTATCCCTTCATCACGAATGGCTCACTTTGGCTTGTACCCCACAGCCAAACCCCTTGACTCCCCTGCTCCTCGTCATCTTGAGACATCCTATCTTGTCCCCATCCCTTCCGTATTTGTAACTGCAGCTCAGCTACAGTCTTTGAAACCAAGAATTCAGAGCCTGCTTCACCCCCGTCCCCCCAGCAGGCCTGCCACTGAAAGCCCCATATGATTCAGGGAAACACAATACAGAAGCACAGAATTTGTTGTTGCTGTTTTCGGTGCTAGTGCTGCGTCGAGGGCTGGTGCCGGCCGAGCAGCCTCCCACCAGCTCCGGAGCCTGGCTCAGCACCACTAATGGTGGCAGAGCCGGTTGTCATCGGTCTGTCATTAAAACTTACTGTTGCTGGGCAGCCGATATTGCTGATAAACGCTCCAGAGCTGGAGGGAGGTGGTCATCTGTGCGCCCCAGCACAGAGCGCCGCCAGCAGGGCAAAGCTCTGCTCTCCTCGCTTAGCAGGGACACAGTGCTTCGTGTGCAGAGCAGCTCAGGCTGCAGCGGTGGCACCATTCATTGCGTGAGCTGCTTCATGGGGTTGGAGTTGTGGCGGCCCTGATATCTGTCGTCCAGTTGTGTTGAGGGACGTTACGAGGAACATTTTACTCAAACAAGATAGAGAACACCGGCAGCATCGCAACGGGTGCTGATTGATATTTTCCATGGCCCGGATGGTGGCCGCCAGCCCGTCCAGTACCGGACGTTCGGGGACTTTCCCCGTTTTCCCAATTAGCTGAGCAGATAAGGAAACAATCGTTCACTTTGTTATACAAGCATGAAATTTGGTACATATACTCTTCAAACCCCACTCTTTTCAAAAATAACGTTAGCCACGCAAAATTCCAAGATGGCGGCCCCAAAATCCAAGATGTCCGCCCCAAAATGTGGTTTTTCCTTTATAACTCAAAATGACTTGATTTTAAGCCCCATACATATATTGACGTTGAATATAAAGTTGGGTATTGTGGACATTTTGGTACCTAGTACATCTCTGTATCCATTACGGTTCTTGAGATACAGCATATAGATACTTGTACAGAATTGGGAGAGTGAGACATTTGTAACACCGATTGTAGTTACGTGCATATGGTTATATGAAAATATCATTTCCATTATCTGTTATTTTCATTAGGGTTATAACATTAAATTCGAAAAACCAAGATGGTGTCCAAGATGGCTGCCATTGCCTTGAAGTAATCATGAATTCAGCAGAGATGAATCATGAATTCAGAAGGATGAAACTTGTCATAAAAGGTTAAAAATTAGGCATTTTGTGACAATTTTCAGATTTTTGTTATGCTGTTAGGTATGTGTATAAGGTTTTAAAAAACCACCGCAAATGATATGGGTGCGCCCCCTAGTGGTTTGTTTGCCCAGAATCCAAAATTCAACACCTCAGTTTGAAACCCCAAATAAGTGACAGAAGAGATTTTTCAATGGATTCTGTTACTATTGGGTATGGGGGGGGGGGGGGGGGGGGTTGTTGGACATTTCGAAGACGGATGGACATTTTTGCGGGGGAGGCCACGTGGAGGCCGCCCCCCCCCGGCCTCCTTTTTTAAAAACCTTATACCCATACCTAACACTACACTAAAATTCAGAAGTTTACCAAATTCCCTAATTTTTCCTGATCCCATCTAAGCTAAGTACAGAATTTAGATGTTGATAAAAGCAGGTATTTTAGTACCATGTGCATCTATTGCAGTTTGTAAGATACAGCATACTTACTGTGAGTTACACCTCACAGATGCAACTGCACAGAGCTGAGTGTGAAAAGAGCATTTTCTAAGGGATCAAACTGCCACTTAATACTTACTTGACAATGTAAAACATGATCAAAATGAGAAAATGCCGATGTCTCACCTGTTTGCACAATGTTTTTATATTTAATTTTCAGCTGCTGCCAAATGCGCTTTTGTCCCGCTGGATTGCACCTACATAAAATAAATAAATTTGCTCCATGCAAGCAGTTTCCCCTGCAACAGTCTGTCATTGTGATTGCACGAGACTAGATTTAAAGTTACGCATTGACGCGAGCAGCGATTTCCTCCCAAGCCCTCTCCCTCTCCTTTGCAGCTGCTGCTGTATTGCACTTTCTTTTAAAAACGTGCTGTAATTCGCTGTTGGCTTGCTGCTGCCCCCTCCTTCTCCCTGTTTCCATTGGTTGATCATTGAATCTGGGCTCCACAGATGCTGGCTGTTTATGTCTGGCGTGCACGTGCTTAACTCCAGGTCAAACTACTCGGAGTTGCTAAAACTGACTCAAATCAGAGTCCAGAGGCCTGTACTACGAAGCTGGATTAACACATCCAGGATAACTCTGCGACAACTCGCTCAACTTCACCGGATCTCCGCGATCTCGATCAGCTGTACTACGAAGCAGGATATCAACTCGATAACTGAATCCAGGTGTGGCCACTTCAGATCTGTGCGCGCACACGTAAAGGGGGCGGGGTCAGTGCCACCTGACCAATCTCCGCAATGGAGAAGGCTGCACGTCATTTTTCACAGCCGAGGAACAGAGCATTATTTTACGAGGAGTACCGCAACATTATAACAGTGAGGAGCAGGACAGCTGCAGCCGCTAAAAGCAGGAGGGACTGCTGGCAAAAAAAATCACCGATTGTGTAAATTACATTTGTGTGTTCATAAATTTATGGCCCCCTAATATATTGTCATGCAGCGTGTGTGATCACCTCCATCATAGACCTCATTATTTCAGATACAACAGCAGTGGGGAAAAAAGTAGGTGGGAGCAAATAAAAATAAATCTAAAAACATCCTTTAAAGTAGTTTGTAAGTTTATTGGAAGATTTTATTTGTACATATTATAACGCGTAAACAGTGATTTCCTCACACTGCCTTTTTTCTTTTTTTCTCCATCATCTGATGGTCACATGTCATCTGCAGACACATTTGGGGTTAAGAGTTTTCTAATCTGCTGCAATAAATTCTGATTGATGACTGATATTCCGCATGAAATTGGAACCTGGAGCTTGGCAAATATTTGTGCATTGCTTAGACTACCTAAATATTGAGGCCGTCCGAGGAAAACCTGTAACGTTCATAGAGAACGTCATCAGGTAAATCAAACGGATTTGAACGATCATGAATATAACGCTCTCGGCGGAGCGCTCCTCTCACTATCCATGCAACCATGTCCCCGGGATCCGGCAAGATTGGGCAAGCCATTTTCCAAGAGATCCGATTGGTCATTGGGCGGTCTTTAATACCTGCTGAGCTCTTATCCTGAAACATAACCTGCTCCGGAGCAGGTTTGGCGTTCCGCGTAAGTTACCGGGGCAACGGACCCGGATAAAAAGAGATCCACCTTCGTAGTACAGAAAACCCAGAAGTTATCCAGAAGTTATCTCGCTAAGACCAAATCCAGCTTCGTAGTACAGGCCTCAGGTGTTGTGAAACCGGAAACTCAGAGTTTCCTATCTCAGAGTAGATCAACCCAGGGTTAAGGATTTGACTCAGAGTTTGTTGAACCACCTACGTGAAACGGACCCCACATTGTGCTTGATAAGCAGCTATCAAAGGGTCTGGCACGGTTAATTCATGTTCAATGATCATTTTAAACTATTTTCCCAACCTTTCACACAACCATCACATTGAGCATGAAGACTGCACAGAGGAGACTCCTCTAAATATTTCTGAGGAGAGGCACGTGTTTTTCTATTCCTGTTCATCAATCATTTCAGAATAAGCTGAGGTACACTACTTTTACTTGTGATGATTCTCATGCAGATGATTGGTTAAACTCAGCTTTGATTAATCTCCAGAACTTTCATCATAGGAGCTATTAAGAAGAAAAATAAAAAGCAGGTGTGATCTGAAAGAAACTCGTAAATGAAGCAAACTATTCAAAAATGCTGTTTTGGCCATTAATTGGTCTACTAGATATTTCATTATCATTGATTTGAAGTAGCAGTACTGTGAGGAAAATTATTCCCTCTTGATTAAACACTGAATATTTTATTCAAGACTATGAAACGAGTGATAAATCTTTTGATCATGTAGTTAGCTGGTAAGACATGCTTAAATAGGATGCAACCATGTGGAAGTTTTCAGTCCACTGTCTTCTTTAAGGTGATCATTGGCCAAAACTTCTCTTTTATTGCCTGGTCTGTATACTTCACTAGTCTGTCTGCAGAGGGCACTGCAGTTTAAAGTAACAAGCTGCGTGTTCATTTAGGTAACAGAGATTCAGATATGAACAAAAAATAATACTTCAATGTCAAGCTGTTTATCTTTGTTAACAGTGTGATTGTGTGTCCTCCTTACCACTTGAATCCCCCTTTTTTTGGCATGACGTTATTTTACTCAAAAGACTGCAGAATGGTGAAGGCTGAACAAATCTCTGTTACATAGATTGATCACTTATTTGTCAAATACCTTACTAACCAGCATCACAAGTTTGCCTGTCATTGCTTTCCACAGTTGGTAAAGTGTGACACACTGTAGGCATGAGGCACGAAGTGAAAGCAATGTGGTTTGAATTTATACATGGTGGTGTGAAAAACACTTCAATAACCCCTCCTAGCTTTGCCAATATTTTACATTTAACACTGCATGTTGACAAAACAGTGTGACCTCTGGGTCTACTGGCTCCATGGGCAAGAATCAACCGCAAAGATCAACTCAGATTAGACATCAGGAACACAAAACACAGAGGTTGACATATTACAAACCTTATTGCTTTTATTTAAACTGTACACATACAAAGGGCCTATCTCATTCAAGAAGCAAGTAAAAAAGAAAGACAGAAATGAGAATACTCATAAATAAAATATGCCCTAAAAACTGTGTTTACTTGGTGGGTTGTGTATGTTCCAACACAAAACACTCCCTTTTCGTCATTCTGAAACATCATTATAGAAAAGCATACCAGTCTGGACACTCCTGAAAGACCATCACACAGAACTTTGACATATTTTGGGCATGCATATAATAGTCAGAAAATAACGCAAGGCTGTTGCCCTGTTTCCAAATGTCATTCTACGAGCTGAAATCAATGCAAGGTTTGAGGTATATTGTGGATTCACAGATCATTTGAGATCACTCATTGGAGACAGGCTCTGGAGGGTGATGATTGAAATATTAGGCTTTTTCAGTGTACCCCAACTTCTTAAGTGTTTTCTCATTTACATACAATGTTGGAAGAGAAAATAGTTAATATCAAATCAAATGCTGCCTTTCTGCAGAAAAAAAGAAAAAAAAAACTTTAGTCATTTCATGACCTGGTCAGAGAAATTCTGTATTTCTTATTTTTAGTCACATAATGTCTGTCATGCAACATGGAAATTAATTACTGATATCAAAAATTGACTGCTTTCTGACTATGATCCCACATCAAAATAACTTGTAAAATCAGACATGACGGTCTTCAATGTTGACACACAAATTCAAAGCTCTCTCTCTGCTGTACACCGAGAGCCTTTGCCCTATTTCTCCTTTGGGGAAACCTCCCCACAAAGGTTTGAAACCCACCCTCTTTCCTGAGGTTATTTGATACAGAGCACAAAGCACAAATCCTTTTTATTAGTTACTCAAAGTTTTTCACTCTGTCTACTGTCAAAAATGTTCGACTTATCAGAAGAGATCAAATAGGAGAATGGCTAATTGAATTACAATGAGTGACACAAGTGCCAATGCCTAACTCACTGCATGTTTTCACAGAAAATGCTTCCGTAACTTATATGGATTAAATTGGGATCCTTGAAATGGTGCACTGGATGTCTTAAAAGCTTTCAAATACTTTTTAATGAAGGATCCAGCTTTCTTGAGACCACACACAGAGGTAAACAATGAGCAAATTGTGTCCTCATTGAAGAGAGGACCTGTGTGTGTGGTCTAACTGATTCTAACACATCACATATGGAGAATTAGGTATTTCACAAGTATAACTTTTGGTTTGTCCATGCAAACCACTACTCTGTAAACCACTACTTCAATCACCTTGAGAGTTAACATTCAAACCCGGCGCATATATTCAACAGACTAAAAACACTCAAAAAATACAAATTCAGCAAATGATTCATATTTTGAATAACAACGTGGCACAAGTTGGCAAAGCAATAGTCCTGAAAAGGCTAGAGAACTGACTGTAGAACGCCAGCACATTTACTGAAGAATGCATTTCCTTAGGTAAAACTAGAGTTACTATATATTAGACGCATATTCTAGAATTTCCACTATATGAATCCACAGTCAGACTGGGGAAAATGTAGGGATCAACCTTTGACCCTTTATGCTGCAGCAGTGACATCAGTCCTGCTACCCAGCCCACCCCACCTTGCCCCCATAGAGTTTAAAAGAATAGACAGACAGTACATTCAAAGTTTAACATTTCAGAATAAATGTAGGCAGTTTTATAGCAAAAGTAACAGATTAACTTCACCGGCCTGGTATTAGTCCAAAGACCAGTATGGCCATTCGCAACATTTCATAACTCAAAGATAGAAAAGACAGGAGTTTAGAGAGTCTAATGATGAACACAATGAGACAGAGCTGAACTTATTTGTTCAAAGTCTGAATTGCTGTCACAAACATAAAACAAAAATTGTCCAACACTAGTAACTGAAAGCTATAAGACCTCGTTTAACAGGTTATATTTTCCAAACTCCATGCCTGGGTACCTTTGTATCCTCTCAACTTTAGACGGTCGTCTCTCCATGGTTACTGTTGCTTAGACGCTTGTAGAACCTGCGCCATGACTGAAGAGTTTTCCCGGACCAGACCCAGAAACCAGAAGTGATTCCGACTATCATGGTCATGAGGTATTTGATCATGAAAACAGTGAAGTCCGGGGTCATGGGGGCGAAGTTGTGAGCCGGACAGGGTACTGCAAACCGCTTACAGGTCTGCATATGCCAGGTCCGTTCCCACTGCTCTCTGAAGGCCTGCTCGTAGAAGTAGCAGGCGATCACTATTGTAGCTGGTACTGTGTAAAGCACACTGAACACACCGATTCGTACCATCAACTTTTCCAGCTTCTCTGTTTTGGTGCCATCGTGCTTCATAATGGTGCGGATCCGAAATAGAGACACAAAGCCAGCGAGGAGAAAGGACGTACCAATAAACAGGTAGACAAACAGAGGAGCTAAGACGAAGCCCCGGAGAGAGTCTACGTTAAAAATCCCAACAAAGCACACGCCGGTCAGAACGTCGCCATCGACTTGGCCCATAGCGAGGATGGTGATGGTCTTGATAGCCGGGACAGCCCATGCAGCCAAGTGAAAGTACTGGGAGTTAGCTTCAATCGCTTCATGGCCCCATTTCATCCCAGCAGACAGAAACCAAGTCAAGGACAGAATTACCCACCAGATGGAGCTGGCCATACCAAAAAAGTACAAGACCATGAACAGAATGGTGCAACCCTCCTTTTTGGTACCCTGAGCCACAGTTCTGTAGCCATCCTCTTTGAATTTATCCACACAGACAACTTTATCCTCCAGGAAAAACCCTGCAGCATAAGCTACAGCAACCATAAAGTAGCACCCTGACAGGAAGATTATGGGCCTCTCAGGGTACCGAAACCGTCTCATGTCCACTAAATAGGTAAGAACAGTAAATAACGTGCTTACACAACACAAGATCGACCAGATTCCTACCCACAGTCGGCCAAATTTGACTTCATCCTCCCGAAAGTACATGATCCCGGTTGGCTTTGTGGGCTCACATGGGGCACCGCAGTCTTTGACCTCCATGAAACGGTAGCCCAAATAAGAAGGGACTTCCAGCTGTAAGGGGCAGGAAAACTGGTGGTACTGGTTGTGCTGAGGGGGGCGTTGGTTTGGTCGACCGATATTGGGGGGAAGTGTTACGGGGTCGGGTGCATAAGGTGAAGACGAAGAAACCGGGCTGCTGGGCTCCGAGGTATTCTGACCGACGCAGATCTCACCAGCTCCATGGACTGGGAATGCTTCACAACGGAGTCGCTCCGGCCACTGGAAGCCAAATTTATTCATTAAAGCTTCGCAACCCTGTCTTGCACGTTCACACAATGAGCGACAAGGAGGTATAGCCTGCTCCAGCACTGTGCAGACTGGGGCATACATGGAGCAAAGGAAGAACTTAAGATCGGCAGAACACTGGACCTTCACCAAGGGGTAAAACTGGTGTACCTCAAGCCCAGCGTCCTCTTGATTAGTATGGCCCAGAAGGTTCGGCATGATGGTCTGGTTGTAGGCGATGTCCGTACAAAGCGGGATGGAGATAGGCTGGCAAAATCCATGTTCTGGAACGGATATTCCACTGTCGCTGTTGTAATGCTGAGCAGAGGTGGGTGAGGAGAACAGCCCGCACAGCAGCCACATGATCCGGAGTAACACACAGCCAGCGGTGGACCTGACCGACGCCATAGTTGAGGAGGGGGGAGGGAGAGAAAAAAACTTTGATTCAAGTAGGGCGAGTTAAGATCAGTCGAAAAAAGAAACTTTTCCGACTTTTGGTTAACAGTCTAAAGTCATCGAGTCGGAGCAGCCTCTCGTCTTTTTTCTCTTTTTACGATAAGAAATGAAAAACAAACGTTCGCTGTGTCATGACTTCTTCATGCTCTTTGTGACTCCGCAAGCAGTCCACTCTCAGTCCCAATCCGGAGAGAACTCTGTTAATCCCATTTTCCTCCGAAACAATCGAAACACCGGTTGCTCTGTGTGGTGAAGACCTAAGCCTGGTTACTTAGGAGAGAAATCGCAAACATTACTCAGGTTAAAAAATATTTTCTACTTGACGTCGTAGAGCGTCAGTTCACATGCTGAGCAGCTGAAGACCAGAGACTTGCTCTTCATACGCGGTGCAGATTCCACCAGTTTCTAGGCACCCCCACCATTCAAAAGACCCTTCGACGGAACGCAGGGCGCCTTGAAACCGAGCTGCGTCTCAGCCAATCCTAGCATTTGTTTTCCTACAACAATCGTTCTTGATTGGTCCATACTCTCAATGGAAGAAAGCTGTGGTACAGTTATTACATTACATAGGTATTCCTAAATTATTCTCTGCCCATTTTAACCAAAATGCACAACACAAAGAAGAGTTTTTATCAAACATTTGTGCGCACTAAATCTCTGCTTTCTGATTTCTTATAACATCTAGAATGAAGCTTGTTAATCACATTTTTTTGTTTGCCCCCCCCCCTTCCATCCTTTGTCTTTCACCAACAATCAACACTTAAAACAACTTGATGCTTTTTATAAAAGAAATGTTTTGATGCTATTCCATTTTAAGTGCAGTTGCAAGATTAAGTTGTGCCTTTTTTCTCAAATATATTTTCGTTCAAAATCTCTCGCTGTGGAAAATCTGTTAACACTTTATACAGACGAAGCAAACCACAATAAAACCCAAATGTCATCAAGCATATCACTTTACCACAACAAGTACCTGTAGTTCACTTCCACTGCAATGAAACAGATACAGCTCTTAAAGTGATCTATTCAGGAAATAAAAGTAATGACAGTCAAAGTGGCAGTGATCTAGATAGGCCACATGGTTGATCAACCCACAGGGATCCTGGAGTGGGAGGTGAAAGAGGTTCCTGTGGTGGCCCTGCTGCATTTGGTGTGTTTCCACCCTGGGTGGGATAAAAGGGAATGGGGGAAGGGAAGGGAAGAACAGAGAAGTTGAAGAGGGCAGGGGGGAGGGAAAGGGAAGCAAGGAAAGGAGCTGAACCAAAAGGAAAAGTCAGTGGAGTCCCATTTGTAAAGGGGCCTATAAAGAAAAGGACAAGTGAGGTGTACTCACTGAATCTATTTTATGTGATTCTATTCATAACGCTTAAATGTGATCAATGAACATCACAACTAAAGACCCACAGTTAATGTATGTGCAGAAGGTCACACCGTAAAAAATCAAAAGGACAAAAAACACACAAACAAACAAAAGACAAAACAAACAAAAAACCCTGCGAAATAAGTAGAGCCCTATAATTCTCTGGTCATTGTGAAGAAAGCATCACTCATTTTGAGTTTAGCTGACCTCTTGTCTGCTATTTCATTTCATTTACTCTGCAATGGGTTCTTGAAAACATTTTTAACCGAAAAACATCTCCCAACAATGACCACAACTTATATAAATGCTGCAATGCCAAAAAAAAAAGGTGTAGTTAGCTCATCACAGGGTGCAAATAGCCTTCTTTTTTCTTTATTTAGCAATTAAAACAAAGAAAAGCTGGAAGTATAGAGAAGATTCTCTATGGGTTCCTGTGTTCACCCTTTCCTCTGAGTAACTTCAGAGCAAGATAACAAAAAAGTATCCATATTAGGTCCTCAACGCGTACTTTCCTTTGTTCTTTTTACCTTTTCTGGTTTCTTTATCTCTCATGTTGGTTAAAGCCTCTATGAAGAGTTTTTGACGAGTATGAAAGAGACAAAAATTCATGTTCATGCCTTTAACTGATATTTAAAAGCAAACAAGACCACCAGCAATAAGACTGAAGATTCTAATCCCCTTAATTTTATACTCAATCCGGTGCAAGGGGGTTGGTCCGAGTTTAGCAGCTGGAGTGTTGTGTTGTTTTTACCATCTTTTTTTACCATGCCAGTTTTAGCATCGCTGCATTGGCTCCCTGTCCGTTTCAGGATTGATTTTAAGGTTCTTTTATTAGTTTTTAGATGTATAAATGGTCTTGGCCCCTCCTATTTATCTGATTTACTTTTACCATATCAACCCTCTCGGACCCTGAGGTCCTCTGGCACAGGCCTTTTAACCTTACCCAAAGTTAAAACAAAAACACACGGGGAGGCGGCCTTCAGTTTTTATGGTCCCCGGTTGTGGAACAGCCTGCCGGAGAGCCTCAGGGCCGCAGAGACTGTTGATATTTTTAAGAAGAGGCTCAAGACTCACTTTTTAACCAGGCTTTTCACTAATTTCCATTTTAGATTTCTCTTATTGCAAATGTTCATTTTAATCAAAGTTCTAATTGTTTATTTCATGTCATTCTTTTCATTATCTCTTTTCTTAGCCTTTTTCTTAATTTCCTGTCACAGGTTTTTACTTCTTTTACCCCTTTTATTTGTTTGTTCATTTAATATTATTATTTTCTTTTTTAGTCCATTTTTAGGTTTTACTCTTTTCACCATTTTTGTCTCTATTTTTATCTCCAGTGTTTCCTAAAGGTGGCTCTTTCCTCATGTAATATCTCGGTGTCAGGCCATGTCTCTTTAAATTATATCTCAAATTCTCACACCTTGTGCGGTTGTGTGTGTGTGTATGTATGTGTGGGTGAGTGAGAGTGGTTGTGTGTCTTTGTGTGCATGTGGGTCCATGGGTGTGTGTGTGTGAGTGGAAGGGTTGGGTTTTTGTCATTATTGTTGTTTTTAGCCTCTGTGAGGCACTTTGAATTGCATTTCCTTTTGTACGAGAAGTGCCATATAAATAAAGTTGAATTGAATTAAATTGAATTGAATGTTTTCATAAAATATTCACATTGAATGATACGTTTCACATTCCAAAGTCAGCAGGATGAGATCTGATGAACTTAATCACTCCTCAAGCATGTTGTTGAGAAGGTAAGCAAAGACTACTTTGTCCACAGGGGATGGCAAGACTGACACAAACTGAAAGTTCTGAAGGTTCACCTGAGCTTTAATGCACATACATGCAGTAAACACAGTTTTGGTTTGTTGGAAATTTCGTTAAAAGGGATCTTTTGTATGTGTCTCTCCATAAAAGTTTATCTTTGATTCTTGATTTTGTTAAATACGTCTGTCAGATGTCACACACTGCTCCGGCTTTTATCTTGAATCAAGCATGGAATGTTAGCAACATGTTGTCTTCCAAAAATCTCATTATTAGATCAGTGTTGTATTATGCTGTGTTCGAGTTACCTCAGAAGTCAAATGTCAGCTGAAAATAACGTCACACCCGAGTTCCCAGCATTTTAGTCTGAAAAAAAGCAAAATCGGAGGCCTGAAACAAGATGGCTACACCTATGGACGTCACTTTAGTGCTTGCCTTATATTCGGACAAGTCAAGCGCTAAAATAACATTCATAAATGTAGCCATCTTGTTTCTGCCTCCGATTTTGCCTTTTTCAAACTTAGTAACTGAAACGCTGGGAACCCGGGTGTGACATCATTTTCAGCTCTGACATTTTTTACGAGGTAACTCAAACACAGCATTATACTCAGTTTACAGCTCTAGCCAATATGTTACACATAAGAAAAACTTGCTTCTAAAAATCAGATTGAAATGGACTGGGGGTCCACTTTGTGGAACTTGTCAAGGTTTGTATAAAGAGTCATAGGAAAAGAAAAGGCATTACAATTGCATAAGAAAGCTGTATGCAGTATGCTGAAATACAGGCTTTCATGGCCTTAATAGCTTTGAATTTGCAGCATCTGATGAGTGGTTTCAGTGATTGGGGTATGCTTTTGAAAACTAATGGACAGCTAATTTATGACTTACAATGACTCAAGCCTCAAGAGTGTAATATAAGATGTGAGAACATTTGCCTCATCTAAGAGTGCCAGTCCACAGCACCAATGATGCTTCACACTGGAGGGCATAATCTACAGTGAGAGATTGTTTGGCATCTTTTTGAGGAGCTGTCAGCTGAATGAATCGTAATCATTAAATCTTTAATCTATAAACAGCTTTGTATCAAATGTTACATGCTTCCCATTCAGATAAATAAACTCTATCATATCTGAACAACAAAGCTGTCACTGATTGTGTTTACAGCACTGTGAAATGAGTCTGATCACCCTCTCCCTTGTTTTAGCTTGTGGTGTCCAACACAGCAGTCAGTGACCACACCAGGTCAAACAGTTGCACTTAGTTATGCTAACGATAGCTGTTTGTTTGTGTCTCTGTGTCTATTTATGTAAATAGTGTTTGCAGTGGTCAAGCAGATGTGGGCAATCCAGCTGGTTTTCAGACAGTCAGTAACTGTTTTGACTGGTGTCTGATGTATTTGGACATCTGCTGCAGAAAGAATCTATAAAAACAAGTATATCTATAGAGAACCAAGATGTTTGATTTTATTTATTTAATTATTATTATTATTATTATTTTTAAGATGATTTGAATTGTGTTTGCTCGGTTGAAGGATAGCCTAAGGTGTGACTACAAAGTATTTGAGCTGCCAAGTGAAACCCAATTCTAAATTACTATTTGGATGTGGAGAAAGAGTAAAAAAATTCAAGCCTTTTGGTTTGGTTAGGGGATTTTGACATTAAAGAACAGCTTACAGGACACCAAGTTGGTTTAAAGGGAGGGTATCATGCATAACTCCAGACTCTGTACTTCCTCTTTGATACCTCTTGAATATTTTCACATAATTCTCAGATCAAAAAAAGCCTCAAATTTCTCACAGTGGCGTATTAAAATATCATTACTTCAGCCTCGGTCTGAAACTGTCTCTTTAAAGGGATATTCCGGCGTACATTTAAGATAGGGTCAAACACACCGTAACACTGAGTTGGACACCCCCTTGAGAGATGAATGTTGCCAACTGCTTGCTTCTCTACGTAGACCTACTTCAGCAACGACCACACGATAGCAATACACAGCAGTCTACATCTCCACGCACAAACCTCAACCAAAAAGCCACTCGTAGCCACAAATAACTTTAATTTCTTTAGCAAAGAAACCAAACACAACTCACCCACTCTCCTCCAGCAGCCACTTGTTTGTGGGGGAGCCCTCACGAGTTGATCACCAAACGCAGTGGAATTTTGCAGCTCAAAGAAGAACATTTATGATTATTACTTCATGGAAATGCAATCAGAGTTCCTGTGTATCATGTATGTGCACTGCAGACGCTGTAGTTCCTTTGCCTTGGCATCTCGGTCTGATTGCATGAAATAATTATCATAAATTTCCTGCTGCACTTGGTTGAGGGGGTGTCTAACTTGATGTTAGGGAGTGTTTGACCATAACTGAAATTCACACCAGAATATCCCTTTAAGGCCACCCTCTAAAAGCCTACTTTCTTCTGACTGGCCACCTCTCCCACCTCACATCACCCTTCTACAATGGTCAATCAGTTGAGCAGCAGAAAAGGTTTGCCCTGCTCCACTGAGGGTGTCACCTCACTTGTTGTAAGAGTCAGGCCTTCCACTTGGCCAGAAGCACATGAACCTGTAGACAGTCTATAAAGAGTTTTAGTAAATTTGAGCATAGACTATGGTCTCACATTTTTTAAACTTTTGTCCGAGATATGAGCAGTTTACATCTATTTTCTCAGGTAATGACAACGTATGTTTACCTTGTGATTTGTAACTTTGTACATCTGTATTGTACTGTACATCTAGTATGGACACGACTGAAGAGCTGAAGGATCGAGCAAGCAATCAGTTAGCAATTACAGATGATTTCTTATTTCTTTGCTTTACTGCTGTGTATATATATTTAACTTTCATTAAACAAAAATACACTCCAAATGTTTTCTGGCATTTTTAATATCTGCCTTAAGATCATTGTCTGTCAAAGATACATGTCAGTCAAGTTTAATCCTAAAGTATATCTATGGTAACTCTCAAATCCCAAACTCTTGGACAATAGAAAGAGGCTTCCTATTAAGATGATACTAGCATCCACAGAGCAGGTAGTCATGGCAACGACAATGTAGAAAGCAGAGAAACACTAGCAGCACAAGCAGTGGGAGAGACAGTCGATCTGCTGTGGAGAGTAAAATGATGTAATTTATTCCAAACTCAGAGAAGAGTACATCAAATAAGAATAAGTGACTTGTGTTGATCAAGGCAGTTTCAGATAAAGCTGTAAAAGAGGAAACGTTTAAAAAAAAAAATCATAATAATAATAAAAATAAAAAACTTACTCTGTTCTATTTTTGAGACATGTCTTCATTAAGCTGTGTCTGCCTGTTAGGGAGCTATGCACTGGTTTATATTTAGCATCACAGAAGTATGTATGGGATTTGTCTGGATGGGGGAGGGGAGATCAATCTTAAAATTGCTGGAAAAAGAAGGGGGGGGGATGCTGGCAGCTGGTTTGTGTCTGTCAGAGCTACACAGAGAGCCTGCAGTTCTGGACTACTTTCTCTCTCACAGAGACACACACCCATACATACATACACACATACGCACAGCAATGAAAGACAGATTTGTATGGACCAACAAAGTTGTTTAGTCCACAGGCCGCCAAAAGGAAGCTTATTGGCTGACATGTCAACTATATGAACAAAATCTATATCCATGAGTGTCTCAACAAGTCTATTATGTAACTGGTCAATATAATGTTGGAATAAAATTAAATTCTTTCATTATATAGTCAAAGTAAGTGTGATGAGGGTGTACGTGAGCTTTGCTGAAATTGTGCTCCAGTTACAGTTCAGTGGACTGTGCATTACTCATGACCTCTTGTTGCTGCAGACTGTAGACCTGAACACACACATTAACACTTTCCATGGATGCATTGAACCCTGACAGTGGCTGTTTTCGAATTCACCTACTATACTCGCAGTACGCCAAAAATTTAGTATGCGGTATGCAGCAGGTGAACAAATGGGAAATTTGCACAATACCAAAAATACCCGAATGACGTACTGATTAGGGAAAATTTCACAGTATGCATCGGACCAATCTGCTTTTCCTACTGTCACCCACAGTGCAAAGTGCCCAGGCAGACGGCAGAATAGTGGAGAGCGTGAAACTTTTCACCGGAGGACAGCCAGAAGATTTCTCCTTCTGACAGACTGTCTTCTACTCCCTCTTTCAGCATTATCTGTGCAAACCACCAACAAGAATGCAATGTTTTGTTGTCATTCCGTACAGTTTCTATCTTTCATTTCCATTGCTTCAAATTTTCCTGCTTCTCATCCCTTATACTGTATGGTACGCATGATGTTTACATCACACAGCTGGACAGGCAGCTAGCTTTAGAGGGGGTCTAAAGTTTTAATGCAGAAAGGTGAGTAAACGTGAAAGCAGTCTGACTCAGGTAGCAGCCAAAACAGTATTTGAAATAAGTTGAGTTTAGACTTTTTACTGTAGTTGTCAAAACTATCGGGACAAGGGAAATATGACCATACCACGTTGACGCTATCAGTTAACAAATTTAGCAAGGATTGCAAGTTCTTTCTTTTAAGCAAAACAAGAACAACATAACTGAAATAACATAACTTTGCTGTATTTACAGTGCTGTGATGAGAATTGAAGAACAGGGAAGAACCCACACTAGACCCGGATGTCCTTGGTAACTACCGGCCAATCTCAAACTCCCATTTCTCTCCAAAGTGTTGGAGAAAGTAGTCGCCTCCCAACTGCAACACCACCTCAACAGCAATAAATTCCAGTTTGGCTTCCGCTCCGCCCACAGCACTGAATCAGCACTGGTCAGAGTCACTAGCGACATCCTCATGGCAGCTGACAGCGGTTCCCCCTCCCTCTTCATCCTCCTGGACCTCACCGCCGCCTTCGACACTGTAGATCACACCATCCTCGTACAACGCCTCCATCACACCATCGGACTCTGCGACACCACCCTGGACTGGTTCTGGTCCTACCTGACAGGAAGATCGGAGTGTGTCTCCCTGGGTCCCAAATCCCAACCCCAACCTGTCACCTGTGGTGTCCCCCAGGGATCTGTACTTGGCCCCACCCTTATCACCTTGTACATGCTCCCCTTAGGCCGTGTCATCAGCAAGCATGGATTGTCTTTCCACTGCTACGCTGATGACACACAGCTATACTTAAAACTGGACCCACCCTGCCCGCCCCGTTCTGCAGTCCCCTTGAAATCCCCACCACCTTCACCATCCACCACTATCACCACCTGCCTGGAGGAGATAAAGGTGTGGATGACACAAAACTTCCTGCAACTAAACAGCTCGAAAACCGAAGCCATTCTCATCGGCACCCCTCACCAAATACAGTCATCCCACATAACAGGCATCACCTTCTCTGGTCAGACCATTCCCCTATCATCTGTTGTCACCAACCTAGGTGTGAAAATGGACCCCCGCCTCAACTACGAAACCCACATTAAATTCCTCTGCAAAACATCATTTTTCCACCTCAGAAACATTGCTAAACTCCGCCCCACCCTCACCCTCCCTGACGCCGAAAAACTGGTCCACGCCTTTATCTCCTCCAGGCTGGATTACTGTAATGCACTCCTCATCGGGACCCCTAGCACGAGCCTCCAAAAGCTCCAACATATACAAAACAGCGCAGCTAGGGTCCTGATGAGGGTGCGCAAATATGAGCACATCACTCCCATCCTCCGTTAGCTGCACTGGCTCCCCATCTCCTTCCGTATTGAATACAAGGTTTCCCTGCTAACCCACCAATGCATCTACGGCAACGCCCCCCTCTACCTAAAGGAACTGCTCGAGCCCCAGCCCACCACCAGAAACCTCCGCTCCTCAAACAAAGACCGCCTCAAAGTCCGCCCCACCAAACTGTGGACCATGGGAGACAGAACGTTTTACGCAGCCGCCCCACTACTGTGGAACTCTCTCCCAGACCACCTAAGGGCCCCTCAGTCTGTGGTCTCCTTCAAAAGAGCCCTAAAGACCTTCCTTTTTAATAAAGCCTTTGGTTAGCTTCCTTTATGCTTTTTACTACCTGCCTTTTGCACTGCAATTCTATATTCTATATTTATTTATTTTTTTATTCTTTTATGCTTGCTATGCTAATCTGTGACTGACATTCTATTGCTTTTTTATTGTTGCTGCTCTTTTTTACTGTGTACTGCAGCACTTTGAGATTTCTTGTAAATGTAAAGTGCATTACAAATTAAATTTATTATTATTATTATTATAACAACAGGGGCCTCATTTAGAAAGCTTGCTTACGCACAAAACCTGGCTTGGAAGTGCGTACGCCACTTCTTACACAAGGGAAGTCTGGGATTTATAAAAAAATCATGTGCGGAAAGAGTTATGTCAGCGATGTGTGATGTCAGTGATGCGGGATCCATGCGACCTATGGTCGCTATAACATTTAAATTTAATGTTCATGTTTGACCAGGGTATCCCATATGTCTCTTGCAATTGCCACGTGGTGTGAGCTGACTTTTTCTGGTGAAGGAATGATGTTCAGCAGATCTTCACAGGGATACCAATGGAGATCATCCCTCAATGGACAGAAAAAACTTTTTTTGCCCACTGTATGCATGCATTTGACCTGGCAGTGGGTCTCGTTCACCTGTTTCACCCAGGGCACACCATTTCCCCACAACCGCAGGAGTATTCCACGGCTCTTCTTCTGGTGTGCTGAGCGTGGGATCTTCTATGTGGTTATCTTCAAGATTAAAGCTGAAGCTTTTGGTTTTTTGGCTAATTTGGCACTCACAGTCCAGATTCCAAGTTCTAAAGCAGCTGCAGCTGACATCGTGGTAGAGCATTTTCCCGGGTGACAAAGTAATCACCTGGCAAGGCAAGGAAAAAATAATTAGTCCACAGTTTATATAATTAATTATGTCAATTCAAAGTGCTATACCCCAATAAGCAACATGGAGAAATAGTGAAGTCAGTACATGGTGAGTCTATCATTAATCTAGTGTGAATTGTAACTCATGATTTAAATACAGTTTAATTCATGTCAAGTCTGTGCAATCAAGAAAAAATGTGGATGTTAAAATTCAATAATGTTTAAATATGTTAACTGGGCCAAAAATAATAGTCTGTTGATTGTGTGAAACTGATGATATGCAACCCTGTTACTGGACTGCAACCCTGTTACCGTGATACTCAAATCACGGTAACACTATTACAAGTGACAGGATTGCAAATCTATGCTAATTGTAGCTTTTTCTCAGAAATGCATGCTTGCTGTTCAGCTAGCTGCTAAAACAGCACAAACTTACACAAGTAATAATAAAGAGAAAAAACGCATATTAGGGGGTACTCCAAACTTATTTGGTATCTTAGAAACCTGGAGTATCTTGCAACAGCTATTGTATATGGACAACTGATCAACTGTTACTGATGGTCCCCAATACAAGGCTGAAGCTCAGAGGGGACCGAGGGTTTGCCGCTGCTGCCCCGAAGCTCTGGAATGAGTTGCCCTTGAAAATTAGACAGGCCTCCTCATTTCCTGTTTTTAAATCCCTTTTAAAAATGCACTTTTACTCCTTGGCTTTTGATACATTGTAGTGTTATTTTGTTTTTTCATCATCTTAGCACTTGCCATGAGTCTGCTTATTTATATACTTATTTATTCTTTTGTATTAATGTATTTCTGCTCACTTTATCTTGTTCTTTGGTTGTTTTATTTACTTGTTTTTATGTGTCATTGTACAGCACTTTGGCTACCCTTGTGGTTCTTTTAAATGCGCTATAGAAATAAAGTTGATTGATTGATTGATTGAACAGATCGATCACTTAGACCAATATAATTTTGATATTTCAATCTTCACAACACAGAGTTTCCTACACGTTTTCCAACTTAGGAGTATTTCACACAGGCTTCATCCTTTATCTTGATGGTTAAAACAAGTAAGGGATTTTCAAAATCACTAACGTTAATGTTATAAACGGAGAAATTTAGTAATGTTACAGTGTCAAACATTGTTTGCCAATCAATAATGTAAGTAAAGCCAGCTAGTATACTGTACACATTCTTTCTTTTCAGTGGAGATTTCAGCAATTTTTTAAGGATTATCGCAATAAAAATGATCCTACCCATGCACATAGAATATTTGTCAAGTGCGAATACATCTATATCTATTTATAAATGTAAGCAACGTGAAATATTGGTAAACAGTGACTAGAAATCGCGCTGAAACAGTTCATTTAAATGACCTAATAAGCTCTATTTGGAACTATTCGGCGGCTTCATGAACCACGTGACCCTCTAGCTTCTAACCCCCTTCACGACGCAACACCCTTTTTCACAGGCTCTGGGTTGACCGTCCCAATTCACAAAAGTCGATCCACCTTACACAGGGTGCGCAGGGCGTACACGCAGAGTGCACAGAGGGCAGTGCGCTAAGCAGTGCACTCGGCAGTATGCGGACCATAGACTGTATATACTATGGACAACTTGGTTCCGCCTACCGCCTGTATACGGATATGAAGCCAAATAGCTCTCGATATTTCCGGGATTTTTCTTCACTTCCTGAAACCAGCGCTGCGCAGTAGTGATGGGCGCATTCGGCCGCGCAGTTGCAGAGAGTCACTGTGATGACGCTCGGCTCAAACAGCATATCCCCCCGGCTGAGCTACGCAATCCCTGAACGCCCATAGGCTGTATCAGGTGTCAATCATAGAAAACATGAACCCCCTAATAACTTTTAAAAACGGAGCTTCACAGAAAAAAAGAGGACTTGAGCACAAACAAGTCTTACAATAACTACATGTCAACATCAAAAGCAGGAGGGAGAAAAATGTATATTCTGTGTAATAAATTTCTAGAGTTTGTCCACAGCCCCATGAGCTTTGCTGGCGGAGGCAGGATTTATGACCTATACTGCAGCCCATCAACAGGGGGTGCTGTTCTCGAAGTGGCTTTACCCAGCGAGGAGGCAGACGCTGTCCATTCTATATACATGCTGCATCCGAATTGCCAAGTAGTAGTCGAAGTAGTATGTAGCATGTCCGAATTGGCCACCGGAGCGAGTAGCATGCTACTTCAGATACTAGACACGCCCACATTGTAGGATGGTTGCGGTGCATCCTACGGGCATGCTACTGACCCAAAATGCACCGCGGGCTTCTTCTTCGTCCTCTTAAAAGTTGTAGAAGCGCATGTTATGCTAGCGCCACCAGCTGCTGCCTGTTTAGATGCGTCGCGAACGCCGTCTGGCCACAGCAGCGCGCAACATGTCGGAGCAGCAGCAGCAGCAGGCAGGACCGCAGCAGTACAGATGTAAGTTTCATGTAACTTCACACACTGTCCTAAAAAATGTGCGTTTGTATCTGTTTGTCATGTCATGGTGTCATATTTGCCCAAGTAATTATTTTATGAGCAAATATGTGGCGACATCATGGAGGTAAAGCTCACTTATTCCATCATTAAACTGCACAGCTGCAGTAATCAGGCAGATCTCATTGAACAAACGATCACCACGTGAGTGAATGAAGGCTAAAAGTCATGGAAAAGCTACTTTGTGAATTTCTAAAGCAGTGCAGGAATATAATACAGCAGCATCCATCACTTGCACAATAACCATTCAAAGAGTCTAAAACGGGCGCAGTACCTACTCTCTGCCTGCGGGGGTCGTCTCTCCCCACCGCTCGTCTAGTGTGTCCGAATTGGGCCAACGTGTTTAGTATGTAGGAGTAGGATCTGGCAGTAGTATGTAGCAGTAGTATGTAGTATGCAAGCGGGCAATTCGGACACAGCAACAGTCTATGGTGCGGACCCTGAATTGAGACACAGCCATAGACATAATACACGTAGACGCCTCAGTAACGCTGCCTGTTGGAGCTCACGTATCAACGCGGCCACCATCTTGGATGGGTCCCCCATGCATTTATTTTTATTGAGAAAGGTAGGAATGCCTTACTATATTTATCATAACTCCCCGAATTTTTACACGGTTTAGTTTGTTATGACTGGCAGAGATGTAGCTATGATACTGGACGCTGTCACACATTAAGAGTAACCAAAATTATTTTTCAAACTTACTTGTAAAATGTAAACGTACGTGATCTGGTTTCAATACTGCGACGGTTTTTGCAACTGTAGGGTACACAAATTACGGACATAGTTGCTCGTTCTCCGTTGACTCCGTTGGGCTCTAGTGTGAGCCTAGGGTGAAGGAACACGTCAAAATGGCGGCGAAGCTAGGTTTTGCTTCAGTACGTCTATGTCCATAGGTAGCAGCAGGTCCCGTACTGTTTGTCCCTGCTCAGCTGCCATTGTAAAGCTCGAGCTTCAGATCAAAACAGAAGTGTCAGAGAAAACTTCTGATTTTGCTGCGCGGCACTGATTGACATACTTAACATGCCACAGCTCCAGGTTTCTGCGGTCACACCGAGACTTATAACCCTTCTGGTCCGGGGTCTGTTCAGGGTTTACGCCTCACAAATGTGTGTTACGGTCTCTCAAGTTTAAATGCACAGAAGGTAAGATAAGTTAGCATCTTTAGCAGGTTAAGCACGGAACTAGCAGCATTGTTTAATTATTTTTGCCTTATCCGTGTATACATTAATACTCAATATTAGGGTCAGTTGAGTTTGAGTTAAATCTTGTGAGCCAGTCAGATAATATAAAACCAACTTTCGGTTTATGGGTGAACTTCAGAGGATTCATGACACAACAAAAGCCTCAAGAATGAGTGTAAGGACCATGAATAAAAAAGATTCAGCCAAATTGCATGTATTTTGCAAACATCATATCGCATATTATAATAATTCTGAGCCAGATAAAAAAGCTGACATAAATACCATCAGTGTTATTGCACATTTCACACATATTGGCCACATAGATTCTCTATACAGTCTATGATTGGCCCTCATGTATCAAGCTTGCGTACGGCAGAAAACTTGCGTACATTTTGCGTACGACAATTTTGACACGAGGATCGGCATTTATCAATCTGCACGTGAGCGTACGCTACGACCAAATCTCACAACAGGTCTGACATCGTGTACGCAAGTTTCAGTCGGTGTGGATCTGCGGTGCAGCAAATGTCTGTCTCAAAATAATTGATAAACAAACCTCAAACCTGTCATTACGCACAATCAGCCAGGTTTCATTAAAGATTAAGACATAAATAAAATAAAATACATTTTTTATGTCCCTGGTGAATAGGCCTATTTGATAACTCTGCCCAGAAACATTGCCACAGAGCAGGAGCGCTGTTTTAACATTGCGCGCACACGCGCCACTATGGAGCGCTGTGTTTGACTCCTAAAAGGCAGGTGTTTCTGTGTTGGCCCAGCAGCGGGGACGTTGTTGTACACTCCTGAAAATTTCGGCCTGTACAGTTTTGCACAATGTTGCTCTGGCGAATGGTGTGCCGTTGGCTATGCCGGTGCAACGTGAGGACCCGATGCCCGGAGAACAATAACAAGGAGAGACTCCACAAAGGTGCTGCACAGAGGAGACAGGACCTTATCCATGGATTCTGATGTAAATGCTCTTGCTATTAAATCAGTTATAAAAATCCAATAGAAATCCATAAAAATGTGCCTCAGGGGCAGCAACACACAGTTTAGTGACGTTAATAATTACTTTTGTTCAGCCTGTTCAGCGCCACCATAAGCCTGATCCAGACAGGAGTTTTCTGGACTGCTTTTATACCAGTTTTGATGCTTCCAAAGAGCAAATCCTTGTTAGTTTCCACCACAGATGTGAGGATATCCACTTTCAGCTCGGAAAAGTTTCGAATCTTTCTAATATTTCTCCTCTTTCATGTTTGACCTCAGTGGGCGAGGCTTCTGAACCATGAATATTTAAGGGCATAAACATGTTAACGATCGATTTCAGCCGCCCTATTTACCAAGACCCGATCATACGTACGCTGGGATTGGTCAGATACGAACCCTTTCATAAATCTCACGTGTGTCCTATTGTAGGATAAATCCTGCGCTCAGGTCTGCGCAAGATTGATAAATGAGGGCCATTGTGAAACAGTTACAGATGATATATATTTTTACAAAGTGTTTTAGGCAGTAAGGAAGTAGCCTGGCTGGGCCATCCTGTTGCGTGAATCACTTGCCATAACAGTCTGGACTTCGGCCCATTGGGGGCGTGCATTAGCGATCAGAAAATAACTGGGCCAATCAGTGACTGTGTTTCCACTGTTCCCCGGACAACAGGGAAAGGTAGCCCCTTATTGGTCCATGTGTAGATGGTGACGTCTAACACATGCTGTGGGACTTTTCAAAGCGCTGTTCATTCAGAACGCCATTAATTCTGCAGTTGACTTTGCAAAGTCGGCAGAAATCGTTTAGATCCGACATCTTCTGCGGATATAAACGATTTCTGCCGACTTTGCAAAGTCAACTGCAAAAAATAATGGCGTGATTCACACAACAGGATGGCCCAGCCAGGCTAGTAAGGAAGCACCTGCAGCCATGCTGAACAAATATGAGACTCTGATCACTGACCTTTTTAAAAAAACCTTTTTAGCAATCAGACCACCGAGTTTGGAAATACTGTTCTGAAGATGTCCTCAGTATCCTGTAAAATGGAGAGTCTGAAGTGATGGAGAACAGAGAGGAGAGGTAAGCATTCACCAACTCTTGACTGTCCTTTGGAAGAATGTTAAAGGTCTCCTATTATGGCATTTTTCATCAAGTTTAAATAGGGCCCAGAGGTCCCACAAGTAGCTCCACTGGGAATGGGCGTCTGTACCTTCAAATGATAATGAGCTGTGTGCAACCACGCTCTTCCTCCCCAAGGCCACTCTGAGCTGCCGGCACTGCCGCGGTGGCCCAGGAGCGGTGGTCTGGAGATCCTCTGAGGTCCTCCAAACCACCGCAGCTGGAAGCACTAGCCTGCCTTCCTGCCCCCAAGGAACACCTGCTGCTCACGGGAATAAAAGTAAATAGAAGCGAGTCCGAAGTCAAATCCCAATGATGGTTAACTCACACAATTGTAGCCAAAGCACTAACCATACCGGCAGCGGTAAAACTTACGGTATAGTAAAACTTACAGTTCCACGTGTGAAATTGGGTCCCTGACACGGACAATTGGTATGGATCCGTTTTTTATCTTCAGCTTCTTAGCGAATCCTGCTTTGAACTACCCCTCGTTGGTAAAACAGTCCATGGTGAAATGGTAAGCACACACATACAACATTTTCAGAGTTGTTGTGGGTACATTTCATCAAAAATAAAATTAATCCACTGGGTCCTTAAATCTTCCTATGAAGGAGGCAGAAATAGACTCCTGTCTTTGTTTGTGCAGCCAAGAACCACGCAGCGGCTGGATTGTAGCTTCGATATGGTTGCTGTACCAGCAAAAATGGCAGATGCTGCCTCAGCAAAGAAGTTTTAGAGGGCTAGGCTAACGATTATGGGGGGCAGTGCCACCAACATGTAGGAGAGGCTTATGTGGTTATGTCGTCATAACCACACAGCTTTTCCATCTGCCCATTTGCGCTAATGTTTTCAGAGAGGATGGGAGAGGGAGAGAATTAAACTTTTTAATGTCGGGGAAGGGGTTGTTGGCTTCGAAGGGATGTATATCATTGGTAGAAAACCATCCAAAAGTGGATTTTTTATAATAGGGGACCTCTAATGTAAAAGTAGATGTCAGGTTAGTTGTGTTTCCATCCAATGTCATCTTTATAGAATATACATGTTCTTATTGTAGAATTTATTGGGGCCACAGGACCAAGACACTGAGGCACTATTGTTATACTGTTTTTATTTTTTTAAGTTTTTTATTTCTCTTCTGAACAAAATTTGATTCGGTACTAGCTTAAAGAGCTGTAGGACAAATTACATATCAAAACGAACAGTTTAATCGGGATCGGTGTGCTATTATTTTTTTTATTGCATATGAATTTTTTAAACTGAAGTAAACGGGACAAGTAAAAAAAAAAAAGGGGCAAATATTGAGATTTTTCAAACATCTACCGGCCCTGCATACTTTCACCTAGAGACTCCATTTAAACGTAAAAATTTATACACAAGTCTTGTCAATCGGTGCCATAATTTCCATCTCAATAGGTATTGTAGTTTTCAATCACTCACAGTTCAATAACCATGTTATGATCATCTTTTACTTTGCTTTCTAAAAAAATTTTCACAAAACTTATATAACTCCAGTGTTTTCCGTATATTCAATCAGCAGCGGCGGTACATGTGCTGCTACTGAAATTTCACATGATCATTAATATCAATGTGTCACTAATGATTTCTACTTGCACTGTGTGAGCACAACAACACAGTGTTATTTCTGACTTGTTTTGAGTCATCAACATGCAAATGCATGTCAAATCCTGTCGGACCCTCTTCCATCAGCGTGAAAGGTAATGTTCAAGCTTATGAGCGAGAGTAGCATTAATAGCATTAGTAGCATTAACATAACTGCACCACTAATGATTTCTACTTGCACTGTGTGAGCAAAACAACACACAGAGTTATCTTCAACTTCCATTGCGTTGTTGCGTCAACCCCGGCAAAATTGGAACCAGACAAGAAGAGTGGTTTTTGGGTGTAGTTCCTTTGCAATCCTACAGCATTTTCAGTATAGGTGTTGTTTTCTTTGGCATATGCTGCTGTCCTTCTGGGAAACATAACCTCATGCACTATACTTCTAGTGCTAGGCAAACATTGGTCTAGGAGCAGTGGTCTGGAGATCTTCTGAGGACCTCTTCAGACGATCTCCAGACCACCGCAGCTGGAAGCACCACCCTGCCTTCCCACCCCCAAGGAACACCTGCTGCTCACGGGAATAAAAGAAAAAGACGAATACCAACAATGGTAAACACACACAATTGCAGCCAAAGCACTAACAATACGAGCAGCGGTAAAGCAACATAAAATGGTAAAACTTGCAGTTCCACGTTTAAAGTTGGGTCCCTGACACAGACAGTTGGTACGGAGCCAGGCTTTATCCTCAGCTTCTTAGCAAATCCTGCTTTGAACTGCCCCTCGTTGGTAAAACTGTCCATGGTGAAATGGTTAGCACACACATACAACATATTCATAACCTCATGCATGATACTTCTCGTGCTAGGCAAGCATTTATTGGTTGACAGACAAATAAGTTTGAATGTAACTTTTAAAATAACTCATACCACTAAAATGTAACCGAAAAACAAGAGAATTTTGCAATGTTCCAAACTTTGTACAGATGATCAGCACTTTTGGGATTGGACAAAAACTTACCAGATAAAGACTTTTTATATCAATTTAAAGGATCCAAACTGAGAGTTAAAAGCATTTGAATTGTGTTTGTCAACCACAGCCCTGTTAGGGAGCAGATCCCAACATCCCCAGAGCGAGGGCTGCTCCATGTCTGGCAGTCAGCAGGTTCTGGTCAACAGACTTGTCCAGAGAGAGTGCTTCTATCTACACCTGTCCTGCAGGTTAGCCTTGGTGAACACCATGGACTCCTGCTTACACAAGGTGAGTAGATGAAAAACGTCCATCACGTTTACCACTTGAAAATGTGTTTTATTGCTTGTAGAGTTAAGCGTGCTTTTGTGATTAATATAAACTCTGTTGGAATTATTCATATTTTCCTCTAGTTATCATGAGTGTTTAAAATTAATTTTCGTGTTACAAACAAACCTTATGTCTATGGTTTGGAGAACTTGACACTGCATTTTAATATTGGCCATTATTTGGTTGTTGCTGTTCAGCAGGTGGTCTGGTGTATTCTTTTGGTGAGCTGTTGTGGAGGGAAGTAAGCGTCCCACTGTCTGCTCCGGTGCTGGAAGTCTCATTGCTGGGAAAGACAGTGATCCATGTGGCTGCTGGTGGTTTTCACTGCGGAGCTCTCAATGACCAGGGCAACATCTACATGTGGGGTGAGAACACTGCAGGACAGTGTGGGCTGACCGGGGATGATGCAGCTTCAAGCATCACAGGTTGGTTTGTTTTGGGTAATTTTCCTTTCTGCTATTATGCAAAGAGCTTGTCAGTTAATATCAAAGTTATTCTGCAAGATTTACGAACATTGGTAATCACCTCTAATACAACTAATAAAAAAATGCTTGTGTTACAGAAATTATTTAAAATTTATCAACTTTTTTTTTCTTTGCTTTGGTATGAGAACAGTACTAAGAAGAATGAATGGCTGATTTCCTGAGGTCACTCGATGGTTGTGGAGAGAAAAATAAAAGACTTTATAAAAATAAAAAAAGCATTTTTTGATATGGACTTTTTGGGCATTGTACCTCCTGTACCAGCAACATTATTTTTAGACCGGCAGCATGTTGGCTTCATGATGGCAGCTGTATGCCACCCCTCCTGCCTGTGCGATTATGGTATTCACACAGATTATGTTAAGGCTACAGTGCATTCAGTAAGTATTCGCTGTGCTTCACTTTTTTCACATTTTCTTGTGTTACAGCCTTATCACCAAATTGATTAAATTCATGCTTTACCTCAAAATTTGGCACACAGTACCTCATCATGACAAGTAAAAAAAAATTTTTTTAAACTTTTTCAAATTTATTAATAATAATATACAAAAATATAACATGTACATTAGTATTCATAGCGTTTGCTTAGTTCTTTGTAGATGCATCTTTGGCAGCAATTACAGTCTAGGGCAGTGGTCTCCATATGGTGTTTACGGTAAATAGACGCAAACGGTCTCCGAAAACGCCGAGACAAAACAGCCACTATTTCAAACAACTGGGCTCATAATCGTGATGTAAACACTTACTTTCTCGCTAGAAAAAATATTATTATTGAATGAATTTATATAATTTTTCCGGAATGCAGTCGTTCTGTGTAGCTTGTGGTAGGACTATTTAAATTTTCCCGGCGCTGCGTCCGGCAGGCACGAAATGCATTCTGGGGTATTTAGTATGCATCTGTATGTAAACGCTCGGGCAGCCGCGGCATACTCAAATCATCTTTGAGTAGTCAGTATGCAGTAGGTACTGCTTGAGTAGGTAAGTAGATAGTAGGCAGTATGCCATTTCGGACACAGCCAGGGTGTTTTATGACGAGTGGGCAGAGCCATTTGCATTCATTTTACCTGCAGGAAGCACACAGCCAATTGAAAGTAGGCGGTTATTAGCAATACAAATGAAGTGAATATTTCAAAAGAGTAATGCACTGTAAAAAAAAAAATAAATAAAAATCCCTGGACCCAGGCCTGCAGGCATTTCATTCAGGTGGACCCACTGAAAATTTATATGAAGACCCCTGGTCTAGGGTCTTTTTGAGTACGATGCTACAAGCTTTGCACACCTATTTTTCAGCAGGCTCTCCCATTCTTCTTTGCAGAACCTCTCAAGCTCGACCAAGTTGGATGGAGAGTGTTGGTGCACAGCCATTTTCAGATCTCTCCAGATATGTTCAATTGGGTTCAAGTCTGAACTCTGGCTAGGCCACTCAAGGACATTCAAAGAGTTGTCCTGAAGCCACTGCTTTGTTTTCTTGGCTGTGTGCTTAGGGTCATTGTCCTGTTGAAAGTTGAATCTTCGCCCCAGTCCAGAGCATTCTGGAGTAGGTTATTATCAAGCATGTCTCTGTACATTGCTGCATTCATCTTTCCCTTGACCCTGACTAGTCTCCCAGTTCCTGCTGCTGAAAAACATCCCCACACCGTGATGCTGCCTCCAACATGCTTCACTGTAGGGATGGTATTGGAAAGGTGATGAGTGGTGCATGGCTTCCTCCAGACATGATGCGTAGCATTCAGACCAAAGAGTTTAATCTTTGTTTCATCATATCAGAGAATTTTGTTTCTCATGGTCTGAGAGTCATTCAGGTTCCTTCAGGTAAACTAGGCAGGCTGTCCTGTGCCTTTTACTGAGAAGTGACTTCAGTGGGCCCAGTCTACCAAGCAGGCCTGATTGGTGGAGTGCTGCAGAAATTATTGTCCTCTCTCCACACAGCAACTTTGGAGCTTTGTCAAAGTGACCATTGGGTTCCTAGTCACCTCCCTGACTTAGGCCCTTCTTCTTCAATCACTCAGATTGGCTAGTGGTTCCAAACTTCTTTCATTATGGATGACGGAGGACACTGGGCTCATTGAGAACTTTAATGCTGCAGACATTTTTCTGTAACTTTCCCCAGATCTGTTCCCTCATATATTGCTGTCTTGGAGGCCTACAGATGGTTCTTTGGACTTCATGACTTTGTTTGTGCTCTGACATGCACTGTCAACTATGGGACCTTACAAAGACAGGTGTGTGCCTTTCCAAATCATGTCTAGTCAACAGAATTTACCACAGGTGGATGCCAACCAAGTTGTGGAAACATGTGAAGCATGATGAGTGATAACAGGATGCACCTGAGCTGAATTTTGAGTGTCATGGCAAATGTAGTGATACTTAAATATAGACTATGTTTACACACGCCCAGCTATTTTCATAAATGGACATTTCACACTTTCCGTTTACAAAAAAAATGCGTGCACACCACTACATTTTCACTGATCTCTCTGAGTCAGTGTGTAGTTGTTTGCGCTCGCTAACAGGAAAGCCAAAGCGTATCCGTTTGGGTGCGTTTCCGTATATTTACCAGCGCGTCGTGCGGAGTTTGTTTGCTCTGTTTGATCAGTCAGGTTTGGGTGCGCTCCCTATAATCACCAGTGTATCCAGCAAACTGCTTGGCATAGTTTCCGCGAAGAAGAGTGGCGGACTCAGAGATTAGTGGCAGTACCAAGCAAACGGAGGCAGCCTGACTCACCCAACATGAATAAGAAAAGAAGGAACTCGTTCCGAAAAAGGGTGTGAGTCCCGACTTCGGTTGTCTGGAGATTCTTCGGATTAAGAAAATCCGACAATGATCAAAAAACAATACTATGCAGAGAGTGTCATCCACGCCATATAAAAAAATCGCCAGACTGGCCTGGCATTTTGTTTGCATAACACAAATCTGAGTTTAAAGATATAATGGAAATGAATAAATGAGACAGTATGGTTATTTTCAAAAACATACTGTGATACATACTGTTACTGTGATATGAAATTACTCATACCGTGATATAAGATTTTGTTCATACCACCCAATACTATGTGTATATATGCTGTGAAGAGTTCCTCCTCTTCTTCCTCATGTTGGGTGGGTCGAGCTGCCTCCGTTTGCTCGGTACTGCCACTAATCTCTGAGTCTGCCATGACCACCACCACTGAAGCTGTTTCTTCTTCATTGAAACTATGCCGAGCAGTTAGCTGGATACGCTGGTGATTATAGGGAGCGCACCCAAACAAGAGCATATCAAACATGTGGGTGGCAGTGTAGCGAGAATCTCAAGCCCACATTAGCCAATCAGAATCCCGCAAAGCAGCAACAATAGCAATGTCCCTTCCTTCTTTCCTGCACACAATCTGCCGTCGGCTACCCATATCTCAGTTTTTCTCTGTTTACATGCAAACGTGCAAACTTAGTTTTCCTAAATCTCCACTCTAGCCGGAGTTTATAAAAAACATCACTTTCAGGGGCGAATTTTCCATTTGCGTCTGAACAAATGGTGCAAACGAAGGTTAATGTCTCTGTTTTTGAAAATAACTGGGTATGTATAAATAGGGCCATAAGTACATGTCAGGGCTTGACATTTACTTTTTTCACAGGGAGCACATGTGCACCTAAGTTGAAAAGTCAGGAGCACACAAAAAAACTTCAGGGGCACAATGAAAATTGATCAAATAATGTGTTTTCCATAATAAAATTGATATATAGAGACATTTACATACATTTATTTATTTATTTTATTTATTTATTTATTTTTCAAATTGTGATAATGGGTTGGAACCCTGGAAAGTAAAACAGAATCCCCCCAAATGTCTGCTCAGTCAGCTTAGATACAAAGGATGTCTCTGGTCCAGCAGCTTTTGTAATCAGGTTGTCTGGCCTGCTTTGAGCTCAGCCAGCGGTCCACAGCAGGACTGGGATCAAATTGCCTTAAATTGCTCTACTGAAGGCCCCTCTAAGCTGATCCACATCAGGTCTTCTGTTGTGAACACTCCAAAGCAGCTTCTTGTCGAGTTCTTGATGCGGTTTTGTGCAGATAAGCCTCTTTCACTCTGGGCTGCTGAATAAGGGAGCACCAGCATGATCTGCACCAACTCCAGTATGTTCAAAGAAAGGAGGTGTGTCTTATTGGTCGATGTAAGTACTATTATTTGAAATCAATTTTAGATCAATTGGTCACATGACATGGAAGCTATTGAAGGAAAACAGCCTTTTTTGAGAACATTAACCGGTAATTTATTGACGGTCCCTTATTCAACACCTGACATTGACAGCTAGGGTGCCGAGTAGATTTAACCGCGCTGCTGTTGCTATTCCTGGTTATGGAAAATGAGAAGACACCAGTAGATAGCAGTGAATGTCCGTTGAATATCCAACTTAAAACTCACTTCACAATGGTATTTACATGAAAAAACATTTGTTGCCTTGGCTGATTTTTTTTATGAACACGTGCCCTAAATGCATTTTACAATTCGCACATATCTATTCTTAGTCGCATTGAGTAAAACGGTGGCACTGTCGAGCCTTGCATGTTTCAGTTTTTTATTTCCGTTAAAAGTGAAATGTGAATTAAATCCATTTTGGAATGAGGCTGTAACACAAGAAAATGTGGGGGAAAAAGGCACTGTCAATACTTTCCGGATGCACTGTATGTTTGGCTGCATTGTTTGCTGCCGTCAGCCCCATCTGTCTCAATAAGGCCATCAACAGTCTGTTCATAAAAATTCCTGGCTGTATAAATGTCATAAGTATCAATACTATATAGGAAAGGACTAAGTCATGTACTCAAGTAGAAAGGAGAAAGAGATAGGAAGAAAAATGGCCTTTAATCTGATTTTTGATGAATATTGAAAACATTTACTTTAACCAACATGACTTATGATTGTGATTCCAATTATTATTTTTTTTAATCTGGTGATGGTTTTTATTTCCAGGTTTCCTCTCATTTCAGAAGACAGTCAATTATCTCACACCTGTACCTGGTGGGAGGGAAGGGGATCAGCAACAGTAGTTCTTGTGGAAAAGCTAACAACTGCTCTGGTTAAAACATTTATGGGGACTATGAATAAAATGTAAAATGTCATGCATCAGTTCCAGAGCCTTGTCCAGTCCCTGTGGTGGACAGGGATGTTGTTCCTCCAGCAGTGGTTAAGGTGGTGGATCTGGCCTTTGGGCGGGAACACAGCTTGGCCCTTTCAGCCCAGAACGAGCTCTGGGCATGGGGCAGTGGCTGCCAGCTTGGCCTGGTTACCAGCACCTTTCCTGTATGGAAACCTCAGAGAGTAAGTTTACTTCTATGCACCTGACAAATTCATACTGATGGGCTTTCTAATGTATTGGTACTACTACTCAGGTGGAGCACTTAGCAGGCAGACATATACTCCAGGTAGGTCCACATTCTCATATCCTTACTGCCAAATGAAAATGATAAAACATACTTGTTCTGAGTCCAGAAACACTGTCTTAATCTCTACAGGTGGCAAGTGGCGCGTACCACAGCTTGGCCTTAGTCCGCAGTTTACCTCGAAAAAAGGTCAATACTAAGAATCCCGAGAAGAGGGAGCAAAGCCAGTCTCTGCAGTCCTTTTTGACAGAGAGGGATGAATTATTGGCAACTGACACTGGTCACTACTGTCCACTTGGATTGGAGCTAACAAAAGCCATGTCATGGGAGGTAAACATGGTCTGGGAATGACAAACTCGAGGAAAAAATGAGTGTCAATATTGCAGAATCCAGAGGTTGACTTTTAAACTAGCCACCTTTGTAATCAAGTAGCTCAGTAGCTTCCTTTACTATGTCACAGCCCACTTTCAGCTGTTACTTTTGCTTATTGAAGGGGTTTTGCCTCTGTGGTGTGGCTGACATCCCTTTTGGTTTACATTTCCAGACCCCTCCAAGAAGGAGAAGTTCCAGACCAAGGTTCCAACAGGGTGAAATGCCACCTGGCAGTATCACTTCTACCAAGCTTGAGCTACATGAACACACTGACCAACTTACTCAAGTAGACAGCGGCCACTTGTCCCGCTCCCTGCCTGTCTGTACTAATAAGGAATCAAATTTCCCATATGACATGGAGCTTCAGGGTCTTGTCCAGAAAAACTCAAGATACCTATTGGACTGCAGTGTAGGGCCCGGAGACAACAACTCACTGAGCAGTTACACTTCAGGTTAGAAATCAGTTTTGGCTTCAGAGACCTCTTTGATTGTTAAATTACATGTTAAATTATTTTCAGATGATTTTTTCAGAGCTTTTTATGGCTGTTTTTTTGTTTGCCTGCTGTATTTTTCCTTTGTTTTTACCATTAATCTCCTCAGAAGACAGCTGTGTTTCTTCAATTCCACCTCCTGATCTTTTCACTGCCAGTTACAAAGATGACTTAGCAATTAAAAGCCAAACAAACAGGTAAGAATTAGATCAGTTAGCATTTAAGAACTGATTTAGTGTATCAGTGATATCGCCATATGTTTAATCACAGGGTAAAAACTAATGGTCATTTTATTTTAGGAATGCAGATACAGTGTAGGTCAGGATCATGGTGGTATGTGGAAAAGTATGTATCTGCTGCTTTGTATTTCATCCTAAACTCTACAGTAACAGTGGAGAGGCCTGGCCATACTCCTCCTCCCCAACATGTTTGGAAGAAGTTCAACTTTTTCTCGCGGCAGAGAAGCGGGCGTTACAGGGGCAGAAGAGCTCGAGTCTTACAAATATAAATCAGAGGGGGAAAGCCGTACACAGGAGACGCTCCCTGCCAGGAACTCCCGCACGTGGTAGGAATCATTTAGATTAGATTAAAGTAAATTAAAAAAGATTAGATTAGATAAGATTAAATAAAATTTGATCAGATTAATATATTAATAATAATACTTGATTCTTGATATGACTTTATTTATCCTTTTGGGAAGGTTTCCTCAAGGAAATTGAAATTCCAACAGCATATTTACAGAAAAGAAAAAAGTATAATCAATCGTACAATATATATAAAGATTTAATAACAACTTACTAACATTTGCTCATTTAACCCCTTTCAAGGCTAAGATGTTAATGATAATACTTGACTCTGCCGTATTTAGTCATTTAGTCTTGGCCATAAGCCAAGTTAATTGTGAAAAGTAAAAGAAGTCTTTCACTCTAAAGTGTAACAATAGTTGGTTGCATGCTTTAAAGATGTTTATTTGTATTTGACTTCAAGGAAAATACACAAAATGTACATTAACCAACAGTAAATGAACTTCCTTTCACAAGCCAGGTTAGCTGTCCTCTTGCATGTTAGCGTAACTGCTGGCTACATCTTTATATTAAGGGTGAAGTTATGTGATGTGGAGATTTTTCTCATTTAGCTCAATTTTCAAAGTCAAGTTTATCTTAATGTCTAAGACCGATGAAAGTCTACACTTTAACCACGGAGCAGGAAATGTTATGTTTAACATGTTTAACACACACTGATGGCAAAGGCTGCTCAGTTTGAGTCCATCAGTTTGACTAATTCCATTCACACACGGCTGGGCGAAGCCTACAAGGGCAGTTGGGGCTTAAGGGTCTTGCCCGAGGACAATTTGGCATGTGGATAGCAGGACCTGGTATTGAACCCCTGACCTTCCAGTTAGGAAACAACAACTGTACTACTGACCCACAACAGCCCCCTACTAAGATGAACACAAATGATGTCCTTTTATATTGTGCACTCCGACAGTATCTCAAATGTACTAGTTTTAATGGTTTAGTTAAGTAGCACAATGCTGTCAAGTGGGTTTACCATGAGAAGATCTGTTCCCTTTCAGGGTCCCCTAGACAACAAAGGGCTTGTGCTTGCATGTCATCCTCTGTTTGTCAAAACCACACTGTGATGTCGGACAATGCTGGAGAAGAGCTGCCATCTCTGGAGACTGAAGTATGGAGCTGGGGCCGTGGGTCTGAAGGGCAACTGGGCCATGGAGATCAGCTCGCAAGGTCTGGTCTCAATCACACACTTACTGTAGATATGCACCCACTACTTATCATCAGATCATGAAAAATACACCTGTGCAGTCTCCTGTGTTTACAAACTGTTACTCTGTGTGTGTGTGTGTGTGTGTGTGTGTGTGTGCGTGTGTGCGTGCGTGTGTGTGTGTGTGCGTGTGTGCGTGCGTGTGTGCGTGCGTGTGTGTGTGTGCCCATTTGTGTCCAGACTTCAGCCTCTATGTATCGAGTCCCTGACAGGTGAGGAGGTGATCAAAGTGGCTGCTGGTTCACACCATTCTCTGGCTCTCACTGCCCACTGTCAGGTGGGTCAGAGACACAGCACGAACACATGTTAACACTCAAATGTACAGTACAGGCCAAAAGTTTGGACACACCTTCTCATTCAATGTCTTTTCTTTATTTTCTTATATGACTATTTACATTGTAGATTATCACTGAAGGCATCAAAACTATGAAAGAACACATGTAGAATTTTGTACTTATATAAACATGTTTTATATTCTAGTTTCTGTAAAGTAGCCACCCTTTGCTCTTGATGACAGAAGTACTTAGTGACGTAAACCTGACAAGGCACACCAGTGAAGTAAAAACCATTTCAGGTGACTACCTCATGAAGCTCATTGAGAGAACAGCAAAAGTTTGCAGTGCTATCAAAAAAGCAAAGGGTGGCTCCTTTGAGGAATCTAAAATATAAAACATGTTTTCAGTTATTTCACACTTTTTTTTAAGCACATGATTCCACATGTGTTCATTCATAATTTTGATGCCTTCACTGAGAATCTACAGTTTAAATAGTAATGAGAATAAAGAAAATGCGTTGAATGAGAAGGTGTGTCCAAACTTTTGGCCTGTACTGTATGATCCTAATCTTCACCTTATATTTCACAGGTGTATTCATGGGGTAGCAACATGTGTGGACAGCTTGGTCATGTCAACAGTTCTGTCACAATTCCTCAACTTGTGAAGGTGTGGAACATGTCATTCATTTAATCAGTGCTTTATCAAAGTTACAGTTTATAATTTGTTTGGTGTGAGCTGCTTACATTGGATATAAAAAGTCTACACACCCCTGTTCAACTGCCAGGTTTTAGTGATATAAGAAAATGACAGCAAGATAAATATATTTCCACCTTTAATGTGACCTATAACCTGTACAATGCAAAATTGAAAAACAAACTGAAACCTTTTAAGGGGAAAAATAAAAAATAGAAAAGTAAAAACAACCTTGTTGCATAAATATGCACACCCTTAAACTAATACTTTGTTGCAGCACCTTTGGCTTTTATTACAGCACTCAGTCTTTTGGGGTAGGAGTCTATCAGCATCTTGGCACATCTTGATGTGGAAATATTTGCCTCCAAATCTGACAGATTGCGAGGGCATCTTCTATGCACAGCCCTCTTCAGATCACCCCACAAATGTTCGATGGGATTTAGGTCAGGGCTCTGGCTGGGCCGTTCCAAAGTCTCAATCTTATTACGGTGAAGCCATTCTTTTGTTGATTTAGATGTGTGCTTTGGGTCATTGTTGTGCTGTTGTGCTATCAAAGCCCGGCTTAATATTGAAATCTCGCAAATGCATGTGGGAAAATGTGTTATGGTCTGATGAAACCAAAGTTGAACTTTTTGACACAACTGCAAAAGGTATATTTGGCGCAAAATCAACACTGCTCATCACCAAAAGAACACCATATCCACAGTGAAGCATGGTCGTGACAGCAGCCAGTACTACACAGTCAGTACTTGCCAGAAATTCCTGCAGCTCCTTCAGTGTTGCTGTCGGCCTCTTGGTATCCTCCCTGACCAGTTTTCTTCTTGTCTTATCATCAATTTTGGACGGACGTCCTGTTCTTGGTAATGTCACCGTTATTTTCTCCACTTAATGATGACGGTCTTTACTGTGTTCCATGGTATATCTAATTCCTTGGAAATTTTTTTGTAGCCCTCACCTGACTGATATCTTTGAATAATGAGACCCCACTGATGCTTTGGAAGCTCTCTGCGGACCATGGCTTGTGCTGGAAGATGTGGCTACAAAAATGTCAGAAAAGGCTTTTAGAACAGCTGAACCTTATTTGGAGTTGATCAGAGGCACTTTAATTGGTGACAGGTGTGTGCTGACTCCAATTTAACCTGAGTTTGAATGTTATTGGTTAAATCTGAACACAGCCACATCCCCAGATATTAAAGGGTGTGCACACTTACGCAACCACATGATCTCAGTTGTTTATTTTTACTTCACCTCCCTGAAAGATTCCTGTTTGTTTTTCAATTGTGTTGTACATGTTATAGGTCACATTAAAGGTGGAAGAAGTTGTGAAATTATTCATCTTGATTTAATTTTTTTACATGACAAAAACCTGGCAGTTGAACAGGGGTGTGTAGAATTTTAATATCCACTGTATATTAATGCAATGAGAAAATAAAAGAGAAAGAATGAGGCATTATTTAGGCTATTGCACTCCAGTTAGAATGGATTTATACACAGTAAAAAAAATATGACTTAACATTTTACCAAATGAGCCTACATGAAAGCCTGTAAATCTCCTAATTGCACACTGTTTTTTTGTTGATGGGCCACTCTAGCTGTCTGATCATCTCCGAGTTTGGGACATCTCAGCAGGTCAGAGTCATTCCCTTTTTCTCGCTGATGGAGACTGTGTCCAGCCAGTCCTGCTGTACTGTGGTCAGCAACTCCAGCCAATGTCAGTGCAGAATGAGAGGTTAAAGAAAGGTCAAAGGTCATGTCAGAGGTCACCCAACAGAGCAGAGAGTTATACAATTAGACCTACTCTGCTGCCTTTCTGCACGGAGGTTCGTATACGTATGTTCGTATATGTAATATTGATGCTGTTCTGAGCATTATTTGTGCCTATAGAGTGGCGTTTTGGTTGAGGTTTGTGTGTGGCTCCTCAGACCGCTGTGTATTGCTATCGTGCGGTTGTTACCAAAGTTGGTGTAACTAGAGAAGCAAGCGGTCGGCAACATTCATCTCTCGAGGGGGTGTCTAACTCTCTGTGTTACGGTGTGTTTGACCCTAAATTAATTGTACGCCGGAATATCCCTTTGACAAAGTAACCAAAGAGCATGGTGGGCTACCGTTATAACCCCACCTCATGTTGGCAGCTGCAATCTTACCTAAACCAAATTTAATTTTGCCCCTATGGTACACTTTCACCCCAATGAAAAATTAGGGAAACCCAGCTAATTTAGGCAAGGAAATATTAAAAGTGTGTGAAAAGCCAAGGATTCCTTTCAAACAGGGAAACACATCAAGTTACCTGAGCACGTTACCATTCAGCTATCATGGCTAGGCTGCTGCCCTCTCCAGCAGAAAGATGCAGAGCTTGCTATAGCCCGGTGAACAACAAAATAAATAATAATGATAATAATAATGCAGAAACTTTAAAGAAATAGAACTTGAACTTGAAGGGGGGTATAACAAAAACTGCAAAATTACAAAAGTGGACTCCATACTGCATGTATGCAAAGTTTCAAATCACCAGGTAAACGTATGTTGTCATAATCTTAGAAAATAGATGTAAACTGCTCAAATTTAGGACAAACGCCCCAAAATTGGAACGGCCTGCGTCCAACAGCATGTGAAGTGACACCCACAGCAGAGCAGTGTAACCACGAGGGGTGGGAATCTTCAGGCACCTCACAATTGATTACAGTAATATTGAGAAACAGTGTGAGGAATTTATTTCTGTTATCTTTTTTAAACCAATAGAAATGTGTTAACTGGAAAGTTACAACTGCATTGTTGAGAACAAGAGGTAGCTATATCCTTGCCGTGTGACATATCTTGAATTACAAATATGAAAAAAAAGTCCTTGATTACATATTTAAGAACAAATGTGAACTAAATCTTACTTTTATTTGCAATATAGCATTCAGACAAGACAAAATACCAAAATTAATGACAGCATTTTGTAGAAAATATGTAACATATAGATCTGTTATGGCAGCCCAACAAAAGTTTCAAGCAAAAATGTGAACTTATGTACCAGCAGCTCAACAATAGTGATTTCAAATTTTAGTGAACATTTAACAAAAAAAAGCTGCCCTTATTTACAAATACAATATTTGCTTCTGTACCAGCAGCTCAACAATTAAACTTTCAAACGTAAGTAAACAAGTAACCGCTGCCCTTACTTACAAATGAGTTGGACCTCAATTTCAAACAATATCCTGAGCACAGGATTCTTCAGGCAAAACATAATAATGAAAATCCTTTTTAAAATAGCTCTCAATGGGTGGAATAGCATTGGAATGGAATGTTGTATCCCAGTGTGTTGGTTTAACAGGTGTTGGGTTAACTGGTGACACTCCGACAGATGTTCAAGGAGTGTGGCTCTTAAGGACCTTTGTTTACATTCTGCATAACATTCATCGACCAATTACACCACTTGCTACTGTATCATCAATTTATAGGGCCTTTTGAGGCCTGTGTTACTGTGAGTAGCACTCACAGTACCACATACGGTATGAAATTGTCTGTGGAATGTGTTAAACTACAGCATAAGGTCAAGGGTACTCCACATGTTACCTGCGTTTACTCTTTACAGTATGTACACCTCGCTTGTTGGTCGCATCCAATGTGTTTGTTAACGTCTTCACACATTATGATCCTAGTTGTAAATAAGTAGAAACTTAACGCTTGATGTCAACGGCGATGTATTGCTAGTAATATCCCTTTCTTAAATGTGGAACAGCGTCTGCTGTCACCACTCGTACTAATTGCAGACAACGTAAAATCAAACCGTGGATCACCGCGATCCGTCTTAGTGGACCAGCCAATTGTACTCTTCATTGTGATCATCACTGATCGGTGGATTTGGGATAATTTGCACATGAAGGCCCATAAACACAGTGAAATCAGACAAAAAGGTCAAAGGGATGCGTTAAAAATACACTGGACAGAGGTCTTCTTTGAGGCGTGTTTGGGGTTGTTGTTGTAGATATAGATATATGTGTATATGTATAGATATATATGTATATATATATATATATATATATACACTCACCGGCCACTTTATTAGGTACACCTGTCCAACTGCTCGTTAACACTTAATTTCTAATCAGCACAAGCTCATCGAAATTGGACAATAGAAGATTGGAAAAACGTTGCCTGGTCTGATGAGTCTCGATTTCTGCTGCGACATTCGGATGGTAGGGTCAGAATTTGGCGTCAACAACATGAAAGCATGGATCCATCCTGCCTTGTATCAACGGTTCAGGCTGGTGGTGGTGGTGTCATGGTGTGGGGAATATTTTCTTGGCACTCTTTGGGCCCCTTGGTACCAATTGAGCATCGTTGCAACGCCACAGCCTACCTGAGTATTGTTGCTGACCATGTCCATCCCTTTATGACCACAATGTACCCAACTTCTGATGGCTACTTTCAGCAGGATAATGCACCATGTCATAAAGCTGGAATCATCTCAGACTGGTTTCTTGAACATGACAATGAGTTCACTGTACTCAAATGGCCTCCACAGTCACCAGATCTCAATCCAATAGAGCATCTTTGGGATGTGGTGGAACGGGAGATTCGCATCATGGATGTGCAGCCGACAAATCTGCGGCAACTGTGTGATGCCATCATGTCAATATGGACCAAGCTCTCTGAGGAATGCTTCCAGCACCTTGTTGAATCTATGCCACGAAGAATTGAGGCAGTTCTGAAGGCAAAAGGGGGTCCAACCCGTTACTAGCATGGTGTACCTAATAAAGTGGCCGGTGAGTGTATATATATATATATATATATATATATATATACTACAGGCCACTACAAGTTTGGGAGCAAGGCCATTACAGGCCGAACAGTTGGGAGTAACTTTAAGTTTTTGTTTACAATGCTTTTCTTAAAATCCAGCATGAGTTTTATGTATTTTGGGATGTATTTACTCCATGATCAGATGTTGCTTTCATGGGAATGCACCATTTTATTCCATTTACCTTCAGATATACATTGATGTTAACGGATCATTGCTAAATATATGTCAGCAAAAGATAATAAGGGCTTAGTTTTAGGGTTGAAAACATTTGCAAGAGTCACAACTTCAGTGCAAAAGCAAAAAAACAAATCACAGTTGGATTATTCACTTCAACTTTTTGGCTTTTGAGAGTCTGCAGACAAAAATCCTAATAAATCTCAACTGCGTTCAAACTACCGCAAAAATGGAAGCAACTGAGTAAAGAAACAAAAGAACAGATTTGTACATTGAGAAAAGAAGGATACACAGAAAGAGAAATTGCAAAACGCCTAAAGGTGTTTAACAAAGGAGTCCACTGCACTCTGAAGAGACTAGAGGAACCTGGAAGTTATGATGATAGAAAAAGACCTGGACAAAAGAGGATTACTACAAAAGCAGAGGATAAACATATTATTGTCATCAGGAAGAGAGATCAGCGAAAAACAGCAAAATAAGGGAGGAGATCAACATGACAAGGTTGAAACCCATATCTCTGACAACCGTGAAATGAAGTTTGAAAAAGGCTGGTCTGAAGGGTTGTGTATCTGTAAAAATAACACTACTTCGTCCACAGAACAAGAAAAAAAGATATGAGTGGGCAAAAGCTCACAAAAATTGGACCTATGATGACTAGAAACAAGTTTGCACTATTTGGTTCAAAACGCAGAGTCTATGTCTGCAGACAAACTGGTGAACGTCTGAAAGCACCATGTGTTACACCCACAATTCAGCATGGAGGTGGTAGTTCCATGGTATGGGGATGTTTTGCAGGTGATGGAGTAGGAGATTTGTTTGGGGTAAAGGTTATCATGAAGAAGGAAAAGTACCACTCCATCCTCCAGCACCATGTTGTTCCTGGACTCAGACTTGTGGCTCATAAGTTTTTGCAGTAAGACAATGACCCGAAGCACTCTGCCAAGCTCTGTCAGGGTTACCGAGACAAAAAAGAAGAGGAAGGTGTTCTTCAAAAGATGGTTTGGCCCCCTCAGTCTCCTGACCTCTCTCCAATTGAGCTTGTGTGGGATGAATTGGATCGATCGGTCAGAAAAACGCGTCCCATGAATCAGCAGTCTCTTTTTAATGAACTTTTTTAATGAATCCCGAGAACATACCTTAAAAAAACTGCTAAGCTGTTGTTAAAGCGAGGTTACTTTAAAGAAAGCAAAGTCTAAGCAACAATAACTCAAATACCTAATAATTATAGTCAAAATGTCTTCTAAGTTACTCTTTACACAATAGTCATGTTTATTGTGTTGCAAATTATATATATGAAACTATGATCTTTTTTTGTACAAATCTGATCTTGCTTCCAAACTTTTGGCCTGTAGTGTAAATATACATTAATACATACAAATATGTAGAAATATATAAAAGGACATATTCAAAGACATAGCTAAATCAATTATTTTTTTATACACCACCGTGAAAAATGCAAGGCTTTTTTTTTTTATCTAAAAATCTAAAAATCATGTCAAGCTATTAATGAGGTATCAGAAGTATAGAGTCTAAAAATATGCATGATACTCCCATTCAAACTTCACATCTTTCTTTTGGGTGTCTGTACATTTAGGTGGGTTACAGTAGCAGTGTGTGTTGTGGTGGTTCAAGCTGTGCAGTATTGGCAGACCAGAATGTGATGGGTTTCATCTCAGCCATCCATGAGCTGGCCTCCAGAGAGAGACAGTTTTTCTGCTGGTCAAGCAGCATCAAGAAACTTCTCCTCACACCGCTACGCAGCAGAGGTCAGAGATTTGATTAAACTGTCCTCGCTCTGTAAATCAAATTCTGCCTCTTTTACTGGTTTTAAAAATGTGCAGTTGAATATTTTCCTTCTATATCTAAATACAGTGATGACTTAGAAATATTGGCTCAATTTCGGCAAGTCTTTTGTGCTGTAGTGGTGCGTACATAAACTGAGTGAATGTGTGTGCTTGTGCTCTCCTTCTCAGAGAGTGTCTGTCCATCATTAGGGGAGCCACATACTCATCTCTTCTTTTGTCTTCATGAGAGTTTCATCCGTCTTAGCCTCCTGATTGGTCGTCATTCCACGTCACTCAGCTACTTCCTGCACAATGTGCAAAGACTGGATGTCACTTCTCTTCCTCTGCTGATGCACACTGAGCACTTTGTGGACTTTTATAAAGAGTAAGTGTGTCTCACAAAAACCCGTACTTCAGTCATTCACATATGTTCATGAGCTGCTAGTTTATTATATTTACTCTTTTTTGGTCCCCCTGCTTTTATACAATTGGTTGAATATATTTTTTACCCAGTGTCCCTTTTCTTGTTTTTCAGGTTGCTGTCATTTGCATTGTGTTCATTTCATTTCTTGTGGAACAATATGTAATTATTTTACAGTAACTGTGAATTTACTTTTACAACACAAATCATTTCCAAGGCACAACATATTTGTCATATGCTTTGGCAGTTAATAAATACAAGTGAGGTCTGGTTATACACCAGCCTTTTATTCTTACAATATTAACACCCACGGGCTGTCTACTATATCAGCACTCCATGACTATATGACTTTGTTTCTGTGCACACATTTTAGTGAAGTTTTTACGGAATGCAAACATGAAAAATGAAGTTCCACTAACCATTGGTGTTAGAATTAAGCTTTATTGCCTTGTATAAGACAAACAAGGGAGGAGGCATGTTAAATGGAATAATTAAAAAAGGACATTGTAATGGTTCTTTAAAAGTATTGACTGGAAAAAAACTCTTAACTGGAGCCTCTTCCTCTCGTTGGATCTTCAGGTATTGTTCTTCAGTCTGTGATTTCCAGGTGATGGGTGGATTCCAGGCATTAGAGAAACTCTCACTGTGAGCATATGTAATTTTTCTTGCGTTGTTCTTTGAGTAGTTTGTCTTACCTAGCGGGGTTTTCCTCCCAAGATGTAAATGAATGAGATAAAACTGAATTTTATTGCAGAAAGCTACAATGGCAATGATCCTCAATGACTACTCTTGACTATATTGTTTAAAAAAATAATGTTTAGTCCTGGTGATCATGACCCGGCTCATGGTAAACCATCGGTTCCTCTGTTTATTTTATTAAGATCAAACAGTACCCATAAAAGGCCTTACCACCAGTCTGTGAAGAAAAAAATATTAAACAGCATGCCAACAGTGGGGGTGAAAAACTGCACATACATACACATGCAGTGCTTTATTTCCTTTTGGTTTTTCTTTCTGTCTTTAAGTGAATGTTTAGGCTCTCAGCAGGCTGTGCTGGCTCAGCTGAGTGTGCCGGACCAATCTGCTGGTGGGGAGGTTGATCTGGGTTCACTGTTATACTGGCCACTGCAGCAGCTCCACCAGTACAGCAGAGTCCTACTCAAACTGGCAGCCTGTTATGATGTGGTGAGGCTAAATTTCCCCCTCAGTCAGTGTGCTTCTTTCTGTTTTTTCCCTTATCTGAACTTTTTATGTTCCTCCTTTTTTCATGTGTTTACCTTTCTTACTACATTTCAGAAGATCTCAATTTCCTGTGATTGAGTAATTCTGGGTATTCAAAAGCACAGCTACAATTCTCTCCTTTTACTCTGTTTTTTGTCTATATGCAACAGATGGTAAGGGTACTTACATGAGATGCCAATTGTTCCTGACTGAGTCAAGACTTGCCATACTGGGAATTAGAACAAACTGCTGTCCTGTAGCTGCTTCAGAGCTGCAGATTAGAGAGGCTTTAAGACTGTTCCAACAATCTCTGGACATGTTAATCTGTTCTTCAAATTAAATATCTGTAACAGAAAAGGGGCACAACAAACTGAGATCCTCCCTTTGATTCTCTGTAGGGTTTTAGTTACCACCACACTCTCTCTCTGCATCTTTCTAGGCGGTGCCACGATCCTCACATCTTATTGTAACTTCATGGTTTTTGTTTGCCCAAGGTCTGAAAATAAAATGGATTTGTTTTAAATATCCGGTATTCTTCCTTGTCCTCTTGCTTTTTCTCCCTCCTACAGTTAACTACAGAGTATCAATCCCTCCATCAGGGCTGTAGTCAGTATGAATCCCTGTCTCTGTTGCTGACCAAAAGGAAAAAAGAAGCTAAAACCACCCTCCTCTTTTGGACGGACCATTCAGGAAAACCCAGTGTGAGTACGACTACATCTGGGCTTCTTAAAATGTTTTTTTTTTCTCTGATTCTGCATAATGTGATGCAAGTAAAGCTAATGTATTTGTGATAAATCCTCACCCTTTCATTTATCAAACACAACTGTCTGTGTGTTTCTTTTTAATGAGGTATGGGAGGTTGGTATATTTAAGTAACTGAAGACCAAATCAAACTGTAGATGAGTTGCTGCTATATGGAGTGTATTTCATTTCTCAGTGAGAAACAGCAGCTTTTGTGAAAATGTGCCAAAAAGCTGTGATATTTAACAAGAGGCATATAGACCTAACCAAGAAAATATAAATGTAAAAGTGTTGATAGACTGAGGAATGTGTTTTCATTAAGGCATCATGATCTTTCTCTGGATCGACTTTCAGGCAAATGGGGCAGGAATTCTGTCAGAGTGTACAGCAAGATTAATGTTAGTCATAAAAATGTGTACGTTTGGTCATCAGGAGGTCCTGCGTCTCCCAAAACGCCGTGTGGTGTGCGAGAGCAGAAACAGGTCCCTGACTCTGCAGAATGCTGGACGGTTCTCCAACCACTGGTTCATACTGTTCAATGATGCTCTGGTGCATATGCAGGTACTCCTATGCAAACACTTAACTCTGTGTATATCTGCTTCCTTTTGCTTTTGCCATGTTTTACATACATGGTTAATCTTTCTTGTATCTTCAATCACTCAGGGTGCCATTCCCTCACAGAGCCTTGTGAGTATATTTGACAATAGCTTACCTTTCCTGCAACCAGCAAACCTGTTCAACTACACTAAGCTTTGTGCTGCAGCAGCATGGGGGTCTGGCCTCTATTACACTGACAGGTTTACAAGGATAAAGCTACACTGTAACACAGGACGTTAAAATATTAAAGGGTCTGAACAACCTCATACAAGTTGAGATTTACTCTGCTTGGAGGAGGCATGCTAGTATTTAGAACAGTCAAGTTAGGTTACTTAAACTACACTAATTCTTATCAATCTTCATTTGATGCAACCTTTGATATGACTTCTGTCCTGTGTTCACATTTTCTTTCATATTGACCTGATGGCTTAATCTGATTTTAAGCTGTCAACTGCTGTTCATGGGGCTGTAACTTTGAACATGTTAACAGCACTGGCACCAGTTAATCAGTGGTGAAAACAAATTAGGTAAGAGTTTGAGTAGCTTGTAGTGGTAGGCAATATATATCGCCTACGATACTGCCGTAAACATTGCTTTGACAATGTGCATTTTTAAGTTATCGAGTATTCATATTGTCTCAAAACGAAAACAAATGGACGGTGCATTTAAGTCCTCATTCTCTGAATGCATGCCTCAGAAGCCAATCAGCAGACAAGATTCAGTCACGTGGCGAAGTGGCAACCAAAACATAACATGGTCTCACATGGAGATAAGATGCAAGAGTCTCCCATCCCAGGGGTTGATTTAATAGCGAAACATGGTTCCACGCTCCTAGCCTGAATATGGTTGGGGTTTGACAAGACTGATGTAGGTCAAAATACCATGATCTGTAAGACATGCCGAAAAATGGTTGCCATGAAGAGCAGCTCAACAACAAATCTGTTCCACCACTTGCAAATGAAGCATGCAAAAGAGTATGAGGAGTATGTAAAACTTTGCAACTCCACAAGCACAACTACCGCTAAATTGGTTGTTGTAACACAGTGTGTAGTGACTGCTCAATGACACTACTGAGCAGTCATTACACACTTCATAAAAATGGAAAACACAAACCTCAGGATATGAAACTGTAGAGATTATTGTTCACAGTGAGCTGAAGGATTTTTTTTAATCCTCTATGAATTAAGTGCCTGTGCACAGTAAAAATAAATTAAAATATGAATGAGAAGCACATTACAGTGTGAACCACAATAACAAACTCAAGTGCTTACAGTATCTACAATCATTTAGCCACAGCGTCATGTCGACGTGCTGGGTCAGGCCACAGGACTTTATCTACATTACAGGCCCTATTGACCATGTAACGTGGAAAAACCCCTCTGAAGTGCGCCACAAATGTGATCAATTTTGAGTAATTGTGTTTAAGCTGTGACATCTGCGCTTTAAATATGATCAACTTTTGCTACCTGTGCTCACCACTATGCAACACAAGTGCATCACAGTCCACAATATGTTTAAGTAAGAGAGAATGTGTCCAAGTTTTGTCTAACCAGGTGAAAAGTGCATATAGCTTAAAGAGTGACTGATTCAATCAATGGGTTCATGTCACTGAGCATTTGATTTGGTCCATGCCTATCATTATATTTTTAGTCAAGTGTTAATTCTGCATTGAAATTATTCACATATAATATTAGAATATTTATGAAAAAATCATGGATTAAACTGTTTTGCAGCATTTGAACACAGGGTCTATTAACATTTGTTTGCTCCCACATTCACTACAGCCCTTTTTGTCCTGAGTTTAAGTCAAAAGTTTGACATACTGACAGGTATTCACAAAATATACAAACTGTTAATCTGTTTCCACCTGCAGTTCTCCACACATCATGTCTATCCTCTGACCTGTCTGTGGGTGAAACCAGTGACAGATGACAGCAGTGAACTGTGAGTTGGTTGTTTTACAACAAGTACTCAAAATGACTAAAGTAACATAGCAGTTCTGTGGGTGAGGGATTAAGACAATAAAAATTGATGATCATACTGGTGATAATAAACTAAAAATTAGACATCTTCATGTCCAGAGCTGTACAGCTGTAGCCTTACCCTTGTTTCCTTATCTCACAAAGATGGGCCCAGTCTTATGTAACCCAAAGTTTTAATAGACACATTCCAGCAGTCATATTAGGTCATTGGTTTCAAGCTGAAACAGGTCCAGAAAACAGCAAACATAACAGCTTTCATTCTGTTTACACTCAGCTTGAAACAAACAACTCTTTAACACCAAAAAGTCCTGTTTATAGAACTTTTTCCCTAACACACCTTTTTGATGAATTCCACTTTTTTTTTTTACTCTACTACACCATCTTGAGGCTACTATCAAGTGTTTCAAGGCACCCCTGCAGTACTGGGTAGTCGGCCCCAGTGGTTATCTGCTTCATGGATGACACTGGTCTATAATGAAACTATTATTAAGAGTGAGTGTCTGCCAGAGTGAAAAGAGGCTTTTTAACAACACAACACAAGCTGAGATAAAGCGTTACTTAGAATATATTTTTAGGGCTTGTTGTCACCCCTGTGGTACGTGTACTAACTTCCTAAAACATAATGAAAGCAGTTATCTCTTATGCTGGCTCATTTTTGCAAAACTTCAGTGAAATAGATTTATTGATTTTTGTGTCTCTGTTGTGTGTCTATAGCTGTGCCATTAAAATTACATGCCCAGAGGAGAGTTTCACCCTCGTAGCATCGACACCACAAGAGAAGGTACAGTTAGTGTTGTATACACTCATTTAGCCATTTATTTCTTCCTCAAGCTTGAACTGAAGCTGCAGTTTAAAAATCAAATGTTTTCATGCTCAGGCCCTCAAACATTGGCTTTGGCTTTCTGTCTTAACTGTAATGTATTAGGTATTTTAGAATATCTTAACATCATTTGGTGCACAGTGTTCAAGCACACTTGAAAATTATCATCCTTGTCCAAGTATTCTCTGTATTCTCTTCTTTAAAACTTCACAAATACTTTCTCTCTCTGTCTTTTCAGAACAAGTGGCTGCAATATTTGAACCAGGCACTGGATCAAGCTCTGGGTGGTGGAGGTCAGGGATCATCTCCGGGTTTTACAGCAATGTCTCGTACTGCTTCCTACAAGTTCACTGGAGAGGGACGGTTCAAAGATGCCCATTACAGCGGGGGCTGGCTGGTAGGACAAGTTCATGGCAGGTTAGAGTTCATGTTCGTGTATCTCTTTTAGTGCATGCTTGTGTGTGTATGCCTGTATTGTTAACACAAATAAAGGCATGAGTGAAACGCTAAACCTGTTGAATTGCCTGCTTGTATTGAAGTTTGGGCTTTACTTTAGCATCTTGAGTGTTCTAAATGCACCACAGGGATGCATTTTAACAATGAATTTTGTTGAATTTTAATATGTAATAGAACTGACTCTCTGTAGAAAGCTGATAAAGTGCGAAATGCGTTTCCCTTTACAGAGGCACCATGAAGTGGACAGATGGAAAGACCTATAGCGGTAACTTTAAGAACGGACAGGAGGATGGGTGAGTACTGGACCCATCTCTCTACCCTGTGATCAGATCATAAGATGGTTTTGTACAGAAACAGAATTATGAAATCATCGGTGACTTGAACTGGAAACATTTCTGTGTATTTTTTCTTTTTTTGTCATTTAAGCTTTGGACAGTGTATAATACCCAATAAAACACAGAATCAGCCAGACATCTACCAGGGACACTGGAAAGATGGCAAGATCCACGGGTTTGGCAAGTACAAGTCAGTATACAGATTTTCATGACCTTTTGGTGAAGGTCAACAGTAGCTTATACCTTGTATAACAAATGTATCCTCTATCCATTCATGTCTATTTGTGTTTCACCAAGGTATGCCAGTGGAGAGGTGTACGAGGGCTGCTTCTGTGAGGGCAAACGACATGGTTATGGCATGCTGAGTTCTGGCAAGCTGGATAAGAAGTCCTCTGGGGTTTTCATTGGCCAGTGGGTACACAACAAGAAGACGGGCTATGGAGTCTATGATGATATCACAAGGTCTGTAAGATGAACCCTCCTTATGGTCAAGAAGCTTTTTGTATTAACAATAGGGTGTAGTTTTCATTAGGTTTTTTCTTTTCAGTGTAGACTGAAACCCTGAAGACCAACTTATGTTCTTGTTTTTCTGATATGAATTTGAACACAGAATTTTATAAAATGGTGATCTGGAAAAGTCATACAGTGACAGTATACTAGGAGGGAAGGTTTGTCACGAAAGAAAGAAAGAAAGAAAGAAAGCTAGATTGATTGATTGATTGATTGATTGATTGATTGATTGATTGATTGATTGATTGATTGATTGATTGATCGATCGATCGATCGATCGATCGATCGATCGATCCCAAACTGGGAAATTCGCATTCTAAGTGAAGTCATGCTAAATTTAAGTTATGGTCAAACACACCTAGCACCGAGTTAGACATCCTCTCAATACGACTCCACACACAAACCTCAACCAAAACGCCACTCTATAGCCACAAATAATGCTCAGAACAGCACCTGACTTCATCAACAGGACATGTAGGGTCCCAGCCATAATGCTAGCCATCAAACATCTTTTTAGCTTTGCCTGATTTCTTTAGCAAAGAGACTAAATGCAACTCACCCACTCTCCTCCAGCAGCCGCTTGTTTGTGGGGGAGCCCTGACGACTTGACCACCGAATGCAGCAGAGTTTTGCAGTTCAACCTTCTCAGATATTTTTGTTGCACTTTGAGAAGCAGATTGCTGGAGGTTTCAACATGACGTAGTGCCTCAGCCATTGAGCAAAAGTGAATAAAGCAGCACCGTCCCTTCTAACCTGTACTGTCTGTCTGTCTAAACATAGACTGTATATAGAATGGACACCGTCTGCCTCCTCGCTGGGTGAAGCTGCCCCATAGTCCATAGTATATACAGTCTATGTGTCTAAACAGAGCAAGGGCTGTGTGCACCATTGGGATGGAATCAGGCGTCTTTTCCATTTGTGCCAAGAAACCAAAGACACCAGTAATATAACAGAGCAGAGACAAACCTCCACAGTATATTTTCAGGGAGACCTTGTTTATTTTACATTTCTGTTCCCTGGGAAACATCAACCTTGTTTTAATTGGGTCATTTTTTTAATCATCTACTGCAGAATTTGGAATTTCCCCTCAGAGATAAATAAGGTTCTTCTTATCCTATCTTATCTTCGTTTTGCCCCCTTCCTGATTTCTTAATTTTTTGCATGTTTCTAACACTTAAATGTTTCAGATCATCAAACAAATTTAAATATTAGTCAAAGACAACACAAGTGAACACAAAATGCAGTTTTTAGATGAAGGTTTTTATTATCAAGGGAGAAAAAACATGGCCTACATGGCCCTGTGTGGAAAAAAAGGATTGCCCCCTAAATCTATTATGTCGTTGGTCCATCCTTGGCAGCAACAAGTGCGATCAAGCATCTTTGATAACTTACAATGAGTCTCTTACAGCACAGGGGAGGAATTTTGGCCCACTCATCTTTGCAGAATTGTTGAAATTAAGCGACATTGGAGGGTTTTCGAGCATGCACCTCAGTAGGATTCAGGTCAGGACTTTGACTGGGCCACTCCAAAGTCTTCATTTTGGTTTTCTTCAACCATTCAAAGGTGGACTTGCTGGTGTGTTTTGGATCATTGTCCTGCTGCAGAACCCAAGTTTATTTCAGCTTGAGGTCAAGAACAGATGGCCTGACATTCTCTTTCAGGATTTTTTGGTAGATGGCAGAATTCATGGTTCCATCTTTCACAGCAAGTCTTCCAGGTCCTGAAGAAGCAAAACAGCCCCAGACCATCACACTACCACCACCATATTTGACTTTTGACATGATGTTCTTTTTCTGAATTGTGATGATGCTTTTATGCCAAATATAATGGGACACACACCTTCCAAAAAGTTCAACACTTTTTCACACCAATTTATATAGAATAATTGTGCAACCCCATTATCTGGGCCAAACAGTATGTATTGTGAGCATAAATGGGATGGCCATCGTTAACTGCTTCCATATATTCTTTCAAGAGGTGAGAAGTACATGGGGCTGTGGCTGGATGAGCAGCGGCATGGCGGCGCTGTAGTTGTCACCCAGAATGGTGTCTACTTTGAGGGGATCTTCAAAGACAACAAGATGAGTGTAAGTTAATCCTGCTAGTGGATATTTTCTGACCTGGTTATATGTGCAGAGTGTCTGTGTTCACAGAGATGCTTAGGAAGTGCTGGAGTTTTACATGATGACAGCCTTTTATTCACTTAGTTTGATATGTAGTACCACCCATGGAAGTGGTGCCACCAAGCTTTTAATGTTTTTTCTCCTGAAGCTTAAAATTTTTTTCCCAGTGAAAGAAATGAATTTGTTAAAGTCGAGTCAGTAATGTCCTCTGTAGTTTTCTATCCAGGAGAAAGTCACCCTCAGATGACTCTATGGGTTGTGACTTTGATGTAACTTGTGTTTCTCAGGGTCCAGGTCTGTTGGTGTCAGATGATGATACAGTTCTTCACGGGGAGTTCTCTGATGACTGGACTGTCTCTGGAAAGGTTAGCTAGATCTCAGCCACGTGTTTGTATGTTCTTGAGCACTCTTTTCCTTTGTCCATGTACAGAGATGATATAACACAGAACTGAGTCTAATTTTGGACCCATCCATGACTTCTCCACTCTTCATCTTTAGGGTGTTTTATCATTTGCCAATGGTGACTGCCTGGAGGGCATGTTCAGTGGAAAGTGGACCACAGGTTTGAAGGTGGTTGGAACATACACCAAGACAGGCATTGAGAAATCTGAAAACGAAGAGAAAAAACACCTTGCGTGAGTATTAATGAGTTACAAAGAAAAGAGTTGTACATTTGTGTTAAGCAGCCAGTCCATCAAGCTGTTCAGTTGTTTCTATTTTGTTATCCTGTCTTATTAAGTACTTCTGGGGCGGCAGTAGCTCAGGAGGTAGAGTGGTCGTCCAATAACTGGAAGGTTGGTGGTTCGATTCCCCCCTATCCCAAGTCTGTCCGTTGTGTCCTTGGGCAAGACACTTAACCCACCTTGCTCCCAGTGTGTGTGTCCTCCACTAGTGTATGATTGTGAGTGTTGTGTGGTGGTGGTCGAAGAGGCCGTAGGCGCAGAATGGCAGCCACATTTTCGTCAGTCTGCCCCAGGGCAGCTGTGACTACTAAGGTAGTTTACCACCACCAAAGTGTGACTGTGTGAGCGAATGAATGATGTATCCAATGTAAAGCGCTTTGAGGGTCTCTGATAAAGCGCTATATGAAATCTGATGCATTATTATTACTCTGTGGCTCTTCAAATGTTTTCAGTTGTGTGATTAAAACATCGTTTTGATGCTGACAGGTCGTCAGAAACTGACAGGGAAAAGCTTTGAGGTAATAAGGGTTTATGATGGTTGTGCAATCTTAAAAATGTTTCTTTGTGTGTGTTTAAAGGAAGCTGGGTCAGTATGCGGTGCCTGCAGGCCAACACTGGGTTTGTGTGTTTGATGCATGTTGGAGCCGGCTGGGCTGTCATGCTGCTGGGAGAGGAGACAGGACCACAGCCTGGGAGAACATTGCTATCATAATCACAGCTGCACGAAGACAGAGGTAGACGGACAGTTGTAGAGCTCTTAATTGGGATCCTCATAGTCTTCCTGGGGTCCATAAAGCTAAATAAGTGCATATGCTTGTGTTTGTAGCCCAGACCTCAGCAGGTCTCAGTCCAAAATATTGGAGTCTTTGGAGTTCATTCCTCAGTATGGAAAACAAGTCACCACTGCAAACTATGACAACATACGAAGATATCTCATCACGGTATGCATCAGCTGTGAGAAAAACTCTGTTTCATATCTGTGTTCTCATAATCATCTCTGCATTGATTAGTTTGGTCAGAAGCATTATGTTTTAACTAGAATGGCTGACGTGGACTCAGTTACCAGTTGTAATTTATCTCGGAGTTCAATTATATCCTCATTCTTTATATATGTTGTATAATTGATCATTCCATTTTTATTTTCTATAAATATGCTGTATCTAATGTAATGTAATCTAATCTAATCTTACTTATCTAATCTAGTCTAATCTAATCTAATCTAATCTAATCTAAAGCTTCTTTAAAGTGGGTCATGGTCCTTCATGCTCCACACACTACATGCTGTTTTGTTCAAAGCTTTACTGTATCTCCTTGCGCTGTGTTTTTTTTAATTTCATTGTAACAGTGAAATATTCACGACTGTGTGCATGTGTGTCTTGACCTTTCTTTCATAGGCCTGTGAAACCCCTCACCACCCCCTGGGTTGGCTGGTGGAGACATTAGTAACTGTTTACAGGATGACTTTTGTTGGTGTGGGATCTAACCGAAGGTTGCTGAGGCAGGCTGTTCATGAAGTTCAGGCCTTCCTTACACATTTCTACAGCATTATTCGGTAGGATTAAGTCCTCAGCCCTTTATTCTGTTGACCTGTTTCTGTTTATTGCTCCCCTGTATTTTTAGGGTAAACATGAAGTCCCAAACATGAACAATGTAGTCTTCTGATCTGTAGAGATGTAATCTTCTTATGAATCTGAGGGGGAACACTGATATTTCACAGGTTTCTGAAATACCTATTTAGTTAAACAGAAACTCACCGCTTCAGAGATTCTTTTATAAGATTTTTCTGTTAATGTATCTCTGTTGTTTTTGATTTGTACAATATGTGTCTAAAAATGAAACAGAATCAGAAAATCAGCCCCAAGGGATACTTTATTCATCCCCAGGGGAATTCTGTTGTTACAGCATTATACTTGGTCTAAAAATACAAATGTTGGCAGAAGAAGAAGAGAAACAGGAACGAATAAGAATATCGAAGAGATTGCAACAGTTTGTAAAAAGTGCGGAATATTAGAAATAAAGAAATAAAGCTATTGACAAAGCGCACAGTATTGGAGAAATTTGCTATGTACAAGCATAAGAGTGTATACAAGACCAGTTTGTAGTGTAGGATGTTGCACAGAGTATTATACAGTTAACAGGTAACATAATATTGCATAGCATAGATTAAAAACAATAATAATGTTATCAGTATTGCACACTTAGATTATTGAGGTTTTGACCGGTTTACAAACACTGCACAATTGAAAGTAATTATATCCAGTGGAAAAGTTTACAGCCTCTACATGAGAATAAGTCCAGGGACAGTCAGAGTGTATGACATTCAAAGGAAGAAGTTATAAAGTTTGTTGGCCATGGGCAAGAATGGCTTCTTGTGACGCTCTGTGGTGCATGTAGGGGGAATGAGGCTAGCACTGAATGTGCTCCTGTGTTTGACCATTTTGTTATGGAGTCGGTGGTGGATGCTGTCCAAGATTACATATAGGTTTGAAAACCACTGTCAGAGTCTAGCTGTACCCCCACAATATCACTGGCTCTGTGGATGATGATGGATGTTTGTTAAGTCTGTTGGCGTCTGCTACCCTCAGTCTGTCACCCCAGCACACAACAGCAAACAGGATGGCAGTGGCCACCACAGACTCAGAACATCCTCAGTATGGTCTTGTAGATGTTATAGGACCTCAGCCTCCTGAAGGCTGAGGCCCTTCTTGTAGACACTTAAGAGGTCTTAGACCATTCCAGTTTGTCATCCAAGTACACCGCAAGCTTCCTGACGAACCGCCCCCAGACAGTGAGAGTGGCTGACCAGACATCATCCACACTGTGTGTCAGCATAGAAACGCCACAGGGCTGCGTCCTCAGCCCTCTCCTGTACTCGTTGTACACTTACAACTGCGTGGCGACACGACAATCAAACCACGTCGTGAAGTTCGCCGATGACACGGTAGTGGTAGGCCTGGTCTCCAGCAGCGACGAGTCAGCCTACAGGGAGGAGGTGGCCAACGTGGTGCAGCAATGCACAAGTGACAACCTCTCCCTGAATGCCAACAAGACCAAGGAGATTGTGGTCAACCCCAGGAGGAAGGAGGACGAGCTGCAGCCGATTACCATCAATGGCACAGCGGTGGAGAGGGTGGACACATTAAAATATCTGGGAGTCAACATCTCTGCAGACCTCTCATGGGATTGCCACACCACAGCAGTGGTAAAGAAGGCCCAACAGTGCCTATACAGACTCAGGCGCCTAAAACAGTTTGGCCTTAGACCCAACACCATCAGGGACTTCTACAGAGGCCCCATAGAGAGCCTGCTGACCTTCAGCTTCACAGCCTGGTATGGCAGCTGCACGGACAGAAACCGTAAGGCACTGGGGAGGGTGGTCCGAACTGCCAGTAAAATCACTGGGTGTGAGCTGCCCAGTCTGGAGGACCTCTACAGCCGGCGCTGCCTCAGCAAAGCCCAGAGGATAATGGAGGACCCCATCCACCCCCACAAAGGACTATTCATTCCCCTGAGGTCCAAAAGGGTGAAAGGTTACAAAACCCACCCAGCCCGCACGAGCAGGCTGCGGAGAAGCTTTTTCCCACAGGCCATTAGACCGCTAAATGAATGTTGACAGTAGAAATGATGGGCAATATCTAAATGTGCAATAACACACTGCACTTTGCACTACTGCACTTTCCTTACCGCCTGTTTTACTGTTGCCTGTTTGCCTGTTTTTTATTGCCATTCTCTTAGATATGTGTCGGCTTTTTAGTCTCTGAGGAGCTACCGAGCAGGAAGTATTTCACATGGATGTACCCGGTGCATCTAAGTGACAATAAAGTGAAAGTAAAGTAAAGGTACCTGTAGTCCTCCACAATGCCCACACTGATCCCTTGGACAGAAACAGGGGTCACTGGTGTCTTTGTCCAGGACTGTTGTAGTTAAAGTCATTTCTTATCTATTAAAGAATAGATTGAGTTCGTTGGCCTCTTCCAAACTGCCTTCAACTCCTCCACTGTCAGGAGTCCTAGGGCCTATGATGGTCCTCACGCCACTCAAGATCTCTCTGATGTTGTTTTGCCGAAGCTTTCGCTCCAGTTCCCTCCTGTAGTTGCCTTTAGCCTCCCTGATCTTCATTTTAAGGTCCCTTTGGCTTGTCCTCACCTCATCCAGATTACCAACTCTGAAGGCCCTCTTTTTGGCATTCACGATGGTCTTGATGTACTCTGTTATCCATGGCTTGTTGTTTGATTCACACCCCCATGCATCAGCACACCATCAAATTGTAGAGATCCCGAGAAGGAACTAAGCTGAATCATAAAAGGTGTATGTCTGATATAAAAAGTGGATTTGTTACTTTACCCAACAGCATTCACATTTTCCCACAGGTTTCTGTTTCCTGGTTTACCTGATGATGGAGGTATCCTCCCAGACCCCCCTGTCTCTCAGTCTGAGAGCAGACCCAGCTCGACCTCTGCAGAGCAAGGGTGAGTGGCAACATTCACATTCACATACACATGCACAGTTTGAATATTTTTTAAAACCTTCATCTCTCTTCCTCTAGTGTTGTGGTGGTGAGCTGCTCCTCTCTGCTCCTCCCCCTGTTGCTCCCTCGTCTCTATCCCCCTCTTTTTACCCTCTACTGCCTGCAGGAGGAGCAGGAAGAGGCCCAGTACTGGGAGCGCATCCTCAGACTCAATATGCAACCAGACCAGTACCTACTCAGCTTCCTTGGAGTGCAGGAGTGAGTCTGTACATTCAACACAATCAGACACACGGGGTCAGTTACTAGTAAATCAAGCCCTGAAGGGGGATAAGTCAAATAATGCAGATGTAGTTGGGACTAAATAAAAGTACATCAGTTTTAGTATCTTATTAGTATCTTCTGTCATCTATTTTTCTCTCTTGTAGGAAGTTCTGGCCTGTTTGGGTGTCAATTCTGGGAGAGAAAAAGCAGGTCAGTCTATGAATGGACTTATTATCTTAAATGCTAATATTGAATCTCTTTATCACTATCCAGAAATTTCTTCTATCTGCTTTTATTTCACCCATCATCTCACAAATCCTTGGTGTAGTCTATGAGGACATCATTATCAGATTAAAGTATTTGACCTCGATTAAAGTTCGTGACCTAAAGTATTTGTGCTTTCCTGTCTAACTGGTTTCGTTTTAACTTGATCACAGATCGTGTCCAGCACAAAAGATGCCTGCTTTGTTTCTGCTATAGAGACGCTTCAGCAAATCAGGTAGCCTGTCATAATTAATAATTTCTCTAAATATGACGTGACTCACCACTGTAAGTTACAGTGCACTTTCTGAGTCCAAGTTCTTAGTCCATTCTCCTTAAAACAGCAGATCTTTTGAGTTTCTGTGCCAATATATACAATAAAATAAAACAATACAAGAAATTCATTGATCCCCAAAGGGAAATTAATTCATCTGGAGTCTCATGTCATCTATGTCATCTACTATTTACAGAAGAATTAAACAGTCTGATGGCTGTGGGTACAAAAGATCTTCTATCTTTCCATCTTGCAGCAAAGAGAGAGGAGCCGTCCACCACCATTGGTCCTTTAGTCCATCAAGGTGTTATGAAGTAGATGAACCATGTTCTTTAGAATGGTTCTCCTGTGAGTCCAGCTTGAGTCCTACCACAGAGCCAGCCTTTTTCACCAGTTTGTTCAGACGTCTTCCATCTTTATGATTGATGCTTCCTCCCCAGTAGACTACAGCGTAAAACAGAACACTGAAGACACCACAGACTGATAAAACATCTGCAGCATCTTACTACAGATGTCTATTGAGCAGAGTCTTCTAAGGCAAAAGAGGCGGTTCTGCCCCTTTTTGTAGATGAAGTCTAAATTCTTAGACCAGTCCACCTTATCATCCTGATGTACACCTAGGTATTTATATGATGTCACCACTTCGATGTCCACTCCACAGGTGTTCACTGGCTGAAGAGGGGGTTTGGATCTATGGAAGTCTATGACCATCTCCTTTGTCTTTGAGGTGTTGAGGAGGAGGCAGTTTTTGTGACTCCAGTCACTGAAGGCTCTTATCAGATCTCTGTATTCAGCTTCTTGTCCATTTCTGATACATGCCACAATTGCGGTGTCATGTCAGTATTTCTGGATGTGTCAGGACTCAGTGCTGTATTTGAGGTCTGACATGTACAGAGGGAACAGGAATGGAGTCAGCACTGTCCCTTGTGGAGCTCCTGTACTGCTCATTAATGCCCTAGAAACACAGTTCCTCAGCCTGACAAACTGTGGCCTTCCTGTCAGGTAATCTGTGATCCAGGAAACACAGGAAGGATCCACTCCCATCTCTGTGAGCTTGTCTTTGAGGGTGGTGGGTTGGATGGTGTTGAATGCACTTGAAAAGTCAAAGAACATGATCCTCACATAAACCTCAGACTCCTCCAGACGATACAGGGCACGGTGAAGCATGTAGAGGACAGCATCATCCACTCTAATGTGTTCTTTGTATGTAAACTGCAGGGAATCCAGTTTGTCTTTGACCTCAGACCTCAGAAGGTGTAGAATCAGCTGCTCCAGGGTTTTCATGATGTGTGAAGTGAGGGCCACTGGTCTGCAGTCATTGAGTTCAGCAGGACATTTTGTTTTTGGTACTGGCACAATGCAGGAGGTTTTCCACAGAGCAGGTACCCGCCCCAGCTGTAGACTCAGGTTGAAGATCTTGTGGAGAGGTTGACACAGTTCTGCAGCACAGTCTCTAAGCAGCCATGGACACACACCATCTGGACCAGCTGCCTTCCCAGGACAAAGTCTTCCAAGCTCCATCCTCACCCCTGTTTCTGTGACAGAAAAGGACTGGTGTTCAAGGAGATAGGCAGTTGTGACATTGTGTGACATTTAAATGAGATGGAAGAGGAAGGGGAGAAGTTGTAGTGGAGAAGGAAGGTGGAGTAGCAGTGGAAGTGGGTGTGACAGCAGTGTCAAATTTGTTGAAGAACAGGTTGAGTTCATCGGCTCTTTCCACATCACCCACCACTGGCTGTCTTTTCTTTTATTGCTGTGTAATATTGCCTGAATTTCCTTTTGGGGATCAAGAAAGTTCTCTTTATTTTTTATTCATATTCTTGTTTATTCTAAACAAAATAGAGGTTGGTTTAGGTTCTTGCCAGCTCCCTTGTCTCACTGGAACCTTACATAGGATCCCATGCCAGGAATCTTGGTGCTTGATGGTGCTTAACTAGACAAACAGGTCAGCTCAGCTGTCAAGTCTAGCTTTTATTAGCTGAGGTTTCTTGCTAAAGTTAAATCATATCTGAGCCAGAAAGACCTTAAAAATGTTATTCATGCTTTTATCACATCTTGTGAAGATTATTGAAACCCCCCTTATGTCGGCATCGACCAGTCAGAGCTTAACCGCCTGCAGCTTATTCAAAATGCTGCAGCTTGTCTCCTAACTGGGATGAAGAAACGGGAGCACATAACTCCAGTGCCTTCCAAACTTCACTGGCTCCCTGTTAGGTACAGCATTGGCTGGCCCCTGAATACCAGTTTGACCTTATTAAATCAGCCCTCCAGAGCCCTGAGGTTGCTTATCAGGTGGCTTCAGATGGTCAAGCGTTTGCTGATGTGGCTCTTACTCTGTAGCAGGGGTTCCCAAACTTTTCCATGCCAAGGCCCCCCAAATAGCTTCTGGCCGGGGACCCCCTGTGCAAACCTACTGACAATATACGATATACTATACCATAGTACAGGGGTTCTCAACCTTTTGTGAGCTGGACCCCAAAGGTGGTTCAATGCAGTTGAGCCCCTGTGGTCTTGGCTCCATACCAGATCCAGAGATGCTCCTCCTGTCGGTCTCTATCAGGACACCTGAAGCTAAAGCGAGCTAAAACTTTTTTTCACATAATGCAAATGGATGAAACGTGCTGACCGTGAGAATGGGATGTGAATAATATCGGTGGATTATTAAACTGCCAGAGCTGGATGACTGATAATGCTGACTAGTGACTCCAGAGTGAAGGCAAGAAATATTTCCTGATATTTCTTACCTTCACTCTGTCTTGATGAAAATAGCGTTTCTCTTGAATAAACTCCTCTTCCAGCAGAAATATCCATCAGCAGCTGATAAAACACAGAAAAAGTCTGTTATAGAGTACTTCCTCTCAAGTATTAGACTGCTCCTAACTTATAGATGAAGTTTTCCCTTGCATGGTGAAGTGTATTTTACTCTTCAAGTAGTGAAGCCTGTCAGGGATAGATAATAGTGTTTTCTGACTAAGCAGTAAAAGTACATGCATTCTTTACTGACATATAAACAATGCGTAGACTGCTAGAACTTGCTCTGACTCAAGTTATGACAAAAGAATGAAGATGTAGGAGGAGCCAATAGAGGCTGATGACCATATTTTTTTCTAGAAGACTTTAGAGCAGAGTGTAATCAGGGCTGTTATTCATTTTTGTCATGATTAATAAAACCCCTTTGCATACAGCACAACGTTCATTCCGTCAGACAAGCTCCTTGTCATCCAAAAGACTTTTGATGAGTTGACCCAGGAAGTAAAACCCATGCTGAAAGATGACTTCCTGTGGTGCATGGATGACCTGCTTCCTCTCTTCCTCTATGTGTCACTCAGGGCTAAGTGTGTTACACACACACACACACACACACACACGCATGCGTGCACACACACACACTTAAACTTCAATAAATGTTAATGCTCTGTCATTCTGGAATTATGTGCATGTCTGTGTAAAATTGTTTTAACCTGATAACAGTTTTTTGCTGCTGTACTCAACAGGATCAGGAACCTGGGGGCTGAGGTCAGTCTGATAGAGGACCTGATGGACCCCAATGTTCAGCATGGAGAGCTGGGACTTATGTTAACCACTCTAAAGGTGTGACCCTTCATGGCACACACACTTATAAACTCACATACACATGCTCACTGATGACAGCAACTGTGAAAAGCATTTGCTTAGTGCTAAAAATATAACTTACCCTTTACCCAGGATGTGTTAACTTTGAAATGACAAAAAGAGCTCAACAGTTTTAAAAATTATTGCATTTATTCAATTATCATACAATACCTCTGCTGCAGGCCTGCTACATCCAGATTCGGCAGGAGTCCATTACCTAGGAGCGGGCAGAGGGACCCAACACTGTTTACAAGATGTGGACAACACAGCACTTCATTTGGAGGAACTGACACAAAATAAATGATCAAACCACCCACATGTACTAGAGGTTACAAGGACTCAGCAACAAGGCCACGCAGAAAACAGCAGCAGTACAACTGCCATGTTTACTATCACCCCATCTGGTATGTTGGAACACGCTAGAGTCCTCACTTTCCCCACTTTTGACAATAACAGCAAAAATAATATTATAATAATGCATCAGACCAGGGGCACATTGCACAAAACTAGGATAAGGGATTAAGCCAGGATATCTTGGTTATCCTGGCTCAATTTGTCTGTGATATTATGGCACAAGTAATCATGGAGATTTCTCCTGTGGAGCTGTTCCAGACCAGGCTGAATTCCAGGATTTAATTAATCTCATCCCTTTTCTCAGTCAGCAGTCACCACAAATGGAAACCAATAATAGTTCCACTGTGCTACACAATGTTATCACATTCAACTAGACCCACTGTCATTATTCAAACATTTGGGATATTAAATTTCTATAATTTTAAATGAATGATCATTTTAGATGATTTTGCAATCATTACATAGTTGACAGTTTCCTAAAGACTATTTGTGCCATATAAATACACATCCAAGAGTAACAATCAAAGCAAGCAAACCATCAGCTCCTTTAAAAGTGAAGTCAGACAGCGACTCTACAGGATAGAAAGCACGGAATCGAAGCATATTATACAACATAAGAATAGATACACATTCTTGCAAGCTTGTATACACACAGTATGCAAAACAAACAACAGAAGAGGCCAAATCAAATTAAATTGAATAAAAAAACACATTGTTTTATAACTGTAGCAGTGTTGCCTTTATTTATTATTTGGTTCTTTACCTCCTCGTAAGCCTCCATGAGGATTTTGACCTCTGACTGGAAAAAGTACGCCACTCTCATTGTCACCATGAATCAGTAAATCTGTGATCCATGGCGGGGTCTATGTGAGGAAGTTGTGTGTGCGCACCAATCCAGTATCAGTTTCATCTGGCTTGATACAACTTTGTTTGCTTATTCTGGCTTGGTCTTTGTGCAACCAATTAAGCCTGGATGCTCTTGTTTTGAATTTGTTGAACCCAGCTCAGTCATTAATCCTGGATGATTTTAATCCTGTGCAACAGGCCCCTGGTTCCATTTCTAAGCTCAGATCACCAAAAGCATGTAAAGAAAAAACCCAGTGGTGGACTGTTTTGAGGTGCTTGAGCAGCTTGGGGTGTACTTTGTTTTTCTGCTCACTGTAAAGGTTTGCACTTACTCCAGACACTCACTTTGCATCTCCATGATGGGAGATGCAAGCCAAGGCCAGAAGTGGAGTCCCTGAAATGAGAATTTCGGATTACGATATGAGACTGATTAATTAAAACTGACTTGATGTTTGATTTCTGAATTAGACTTTTGTTTTTCTTTCTTTTCCCACCATTAAGAGTGGGTGGTGCCCCATTCAACGAGTGCATAAATGTCGTAATTTGAGATTATTAATCTTCATACATTTATTATAAATTCAAATCACTACAATAGTATGAACATTGACATACAGTTTGACTGCTTTACTGAATATATCAACTTCTGTAGAGACACAGTTATACCGACAAGGACTGTTCATTTCCCCAACAACAAACCCTGGATCACAAGTGACATAAAAGCAATCCTTAACCAGAAAAAGAAAGCTTTTAAAGATGGTGACAAAGACCGACTCAACCAAGTGCAACAAGAGTTGAAGAGGAGATCGCAAAGCTGGAGTACAAAAAGAAGATAGAGAAGAATCTACAACACAGCAACATCCGTGAAGTGTGGAGAGGAATCAGTGTTCTGAGGAATCAGAACTCTGGACACAGCAATAAAAATGAAAAGACAGAAAGTGGTGGGTGATGTGGAAAGAGCTGATGAACTCGACCTGTTCTTCAACAGATTTGACACTGCTGTCACACCCACACCCACTTCCACTGCTACTCCACCTTCCTCTCCACAACAAATCTCCACTACAACTTCTCCCCTTCCTCTTCCATCTTGTTCAAATGTCTCAACCACTTCAACTCCCTCTCCCTAGAACACCAGTCCTTATCTGTCACCACAACAGGGGTGAGGATGGAGCTTGGAAGACTTTGTCCTGGGAAGGCAGCTGGTCCAGATGGTGTGTGTCCATGGCTGCTTAGAGACTGTGCTGCAGAACTGTGTCAACCTCTCCACAAGATCTTCAACCTGAGTCTACAGCTGGGGCGGGTAACTGCTCTGTGGAAAACCTCCTGCATTGTGCCAGTACCAAAAACAAAATGTCCTGCTGAACTCAATGACTACAGACCAGTGGCCCTCACTTCACATATCATGAAAACCCTGGAGCAGCTGATTCTACGCCTTCTGAGGTCTGAGGTCAAAGACAAACTGGACTCCCTGCAGTTTACATACAAAGAACACATTGGAGTGGATGATGCTGTCCTCTACATGCTTCACCGTGTCCTGTCACATCTAGAGGAACCTGGGGTTTATGTGAGGATCATGTTCTTTGACTTTTCAAGTGCATTCAACACCATCCAACCCACCATACTCAAAGACAAGCTCACAAAGATGGGAGTGGATCCTTCCTGTGTTTCCTGGATCACAGATTACCTGACAGGAAGGCCACAGTTTGTCAGGCTGAGGAACTGTGTTTCTGGGACATTAATGAGCAGTACAGGGGCTCCACAAGGGACAGTGCTGACTCCATTCCTGTTCCCTCTGTACATGTCAGACCTCAAATACAGCACTGAGTCCTGCCACATCCAGAAAAACTGACATGACACCGCTATTGTGGCACGTATCAGAAATGGACAAGAAGCTGAATACAGAGATCTAATAAGAGCCTTCAGTGACTGGAGTCACAAAAACTGCCTCCTCCTCAACACCTCAAAGACAAAGGAGATGGTCATAGACTTAAGTTTAAAGCCACATCACAGAAAGTCAAATACTGAGTTGTTTTTTTGTTCTCTGATTTCTATGATCAAAATGAAAAATGGAAAATGATTTGCTCTCCGTTTTTCGTTTTCTGCTTCCCACTGGTCATCGGGAGACGGCCCGTTTCCTGATTTTTGTTTTTTATTTGAAAACGAAAATCCGTTGGCCACCAAGTACACGGACCTTGATGGACCAAAGGGCAAATGGTGGTGGACAGCTCCTCTCTCTTCGTTGGAAGACAGAAAGATTCAGAAGATCTTTTGTTCCAACAGCCATCAGAATTTATAACTCTTCTGTAAGATAACTTTTAGAGACATGTCAAGTGAGACAACAGACAATTGAATTTCAGATGACTGTCTTTCGGCCCGTCAACTTACATGTGGGATCAAAAGAGAAGCAACTTAGCTAATCATTTACATAGTGCTCTTCTCAGCACTTGTGCACAGAGTTCTTTATAAGAGTCATCAAGTAAAAATAAACAAATAAGGACAGAATAAAAAAGATAGACAAAAAGTATAAGTAGGAACAACAGAAATAACTTGATGAATAAATAAACAGTTATTCAGGAGTCCCGCAAACCTAAAGAAACTGAGAAAAACAATGATAAAAGTCAGAAGTATCACTGCACCTAAGAGATTTGAGAAGAATAAGTTAAGCCTAGCGCACTAAAGCTTGTCTAAACAGGTGTGTCTTAAGGTGCCCCCTGAAGCTGTTTACAGAAATAGCCTCTCTCAGGACCTGAGAAAGAGAGTTCCACAGACGGGGAGCCACAAGCTCAAATGCCCGCCTGCCCATCAACGGATCTAAGGAAGCGGCTGGGGGTGTGGTTATGGAGGAGGTCACAGATATAGCTGGAGGCCAGGCCATTGAGGGCCTTGAAGGTGATCAGCAACAACCTGTACTGGATTCTAAAGGAAACAGGAAGCCAGTACAGGTCAGCCAGGACAGGTGAAATGTGACATGACTTCTTAGAGCTGATGAGCAGTCTGACTGCTGCATTCTGAACCAGCTGCAGACGGTGAAGAGGAGATTGGTTAAAACATGTGTAGAGAGAGCTGCAGTAGTCATTCCTGGAAGAGACAAATGCATGAACAGCCAGCTCCAGCTCCTTGTCTGAAACAATCAGCTGGAGCTTGGGGATGTTTCTCAGGTGGAAAAAACTGTTGCGGATGAAGAGCTTTCACATGTTGGTCAAGATGCATTGACTGGTCTAAACTAAACTTGAGCTAGACTTGGACTTGAACTAAAGACAATGAAAGATAATACAGTAAATAATTCCAGATATCTGTGCTTGTGCATTTAAAAACCATAGTGTAATTCACAACCTAAATCAGATTTTGCTTCATATCATATCTTCTATTACCTTGTTAGGGCCCACCGCCCATTCTGGAAATCATTTTCAGTGAAAGTAAAGATCTTCCTCGAATTCTGCTTCAGTACCGGGAGACGAAGGAGTCAGAGAGAATGTAATTCACTCTGAACTGTCTTTAAAACTGATTTTCAATATCGTTGCTGGATGTATTCATCTACTCACAACTACACACAGTCATTTCTTTGACAATTACCACTTGTCAAGAAAACATTATACAAAACATTATCCGCCTGTCTTTTGACCTCCAGTATTATCCTTGGCTTTTGTTTCACTCTCATACAGTCTTAGTAATAACCACAATTTTAATAACGAAAGACTAAATCTCACATCCTTAAAACGCAACTTTCATGGACCACAGAGGGCATTATTTGTCATAGTGTCAATGTTTTTCTGTCATGAATAGCCTACTCACAGGATCCATCTATTTTCTCAAATGTCAAAAGTTGAAAATAGTAGAAACATTGGTTTGGTGTTCTGTGTGTGCTGTCAGCTCCATGTATCACATGTTAACTTGTCTGTACAAACGTTTGGCTTGGATCATTTAGCTGTATAATATTTGGCAGAGTGTGTTTGTCATCCGCACATCAGGGATCGGCTGTTTGGACTGGGTAGACCTATCCCTATTTGCATCATCAGTGGAGTTTGTGTCCCTCTCTATGAAAACCCTTTGGTGCAGTTGCTAAGCAACCTCTGCTCTATCCTTTTCTCTGGCTGCCCTCATTTCTCTTGGAGCAGCAGAGCTCACAGTTTGACATGTGGAATAAATGATAAAAGACAGTCATAGCTGATGTCAGGACCGTGCTGGAAAACTTCATGTTGTAAAGTTGATTCAGCTTGGACCTATAAGCCAACTGACAAACTTGAGCTAGATTTATTTCGGTTCAACATCCTTAATGCAGCATTTATTAACAGCTGTCCTTACACCATTGCCCAGTCTGGGAAAATCTTTTCGTTTATAAAGAAGAATGAAAGTACTGTGTACAAGTGGCTGGAGAGTCAGAGTTGGAGTCAATGTTTTTCTGTCATGAATAGCCTACTCACAGGATCCATCTATTTTCTCAAATGTAAAAAGTTGAAAATAGTAGAAACATTGGTTTGGTGTTCTCTAGTCTATCTCAAAGCTCTAAAAGTGATCAAACTTTTTGCACTTTCATTGCAATCATTCAGCAAAACGATAGTGGCGCGCGCCGTAGGCCACGCGCTTCTTTCAGCACCCTTGTGATAACAGTGCAACAATACACCGAAACCAGACATGCTAGTTCCCGTAGTACATTTCAGAGTAAATGTTCCGACGCTCGGCTATCTTCAGTTCCTTCTGGGAGACAAAAAAGCACTGAAAAATATTTCAAACACATATCTGAATGCAGCTATATATTGCTTTGACAGTAAACCTTCACCCAATTACTATCTCCTAAAATCCACTGTTGCGTTAAATCTTCATAGGATACATGTACTCTGAAGGACGCCTTTCCGGATGTCACTGTATCACAGGTGTTCAGGCTTGACGGGGATGCTATCGGAAGCCTGCACCCTCAGAAGAAAACAGGCTGAACACATCCATTGATCCTTTGTTTTTCTTCTGTCGGTTACCCCGGAAGATGGTGGCAAAGCAGAGGATCCGCATGGCCAACGAGAAACACAGCAAAAACATCACGCAGAGAGGAAACGTAGCCAAGACGCTGGTGAGCCGTGAACTGACAGCGGGATGCCAGCATGACATTAGCCCAGACAGGTGACGTTCACTCCGGTCTGATCACAGCAGCATGATGAGGCGGATGAGGAGGGAGATGATAGAGCAGACTTTCACATCAGCACACATATGTCGATCAGTAAGAGCTCTGCAGCCTAATATTGATCTCTGGGATGTATTGAGTGTTACCCACCACGGAGAGCTGGCTCAGTGTTTGATTCACTCTGCACTGTAACTTAACTTTTTAAAAAGGCCCGCAGTTGTAGAAATAGTGATTTTTTTATTATTATATTTTTTTATTGATGCCAATACAGCCGAGTGACCAGAGTCAGAGCTAAGAGTCAGTGAAACAGAGTCCCCCCCAAAAAAATTCCACTTAACTACAGAAACATTTGTATCTGTATTTCTAGCTCTCCATATTAGGCCTACTTCAAAAATGTTCACGTAGGTTTATAAGCCATAACTTCCACATGGTGTAGGGACTTGACTTTGGGGGTTTCATTTAAGTAAAAGTGATGGCTGCAAATTTTATTGAAATCTTGAGCAAGCATCTCTCAGCTACTTCACCTGCATCCTGTGACTTTATTGTTCAACATTTTATCAACAAACTTGAAACAACAATTGACCTCGTAGCTACACTCACGACAAAAAAGGTACTGCCTAAGCGCACACCTCCGTGGAGAAACAAAGAAATCAAAAAATTAAAAAGGAAATTGCAGGGTAGCTGAACGGAGATGGGGGGAAATAAAATAACAATTAATCACCAAATATACTGCGAGGAACTGCAAACTTATGCAATATATGCTCTCAGACATGCAAGATCCACTTTCTTTACTAATATAATCACTGATCATAAAAATAACCCTAAATTCCTCTTTGATACCATTGATCTTTTGATCAATCCAGTTTTTAACAGATATCGAATCATTCCTTCAGATACACTTTGTGAAGGTTTTGCAGACCACTTCAGGGGTAAAATTGATTCTATACGATCCTCTATTTTATCTATTCAAAACACTGTTTCTAATACAGTAGTAAGCTTGTTTTTCCCTGAGGAAACACTGGACAGTTTTGTCCTGGTTGATGCTGAGATTCTTGGTAGAGTTTCCTCTCAAGTAAAACCAATTCCTACATCACTTTTTAAAATGTTTTATGGATTCTTTGAAGGTGAGCTTTTAAATATAGTGAATTGTTCTCTTCAGATGGGCTCTTTCCCTGCTGCCCTTAAACAACTGGAGTGAGACCCCCTCTGAAGAAGGACAATTTGGGTCCTAATGTTCTTAATAACTACAGACCAGTGTCCAATTTACCATTTTGAAGTAAAATTGTAGAAAAACTTGTTTTTATTCAGTTGAATGATTTTTTAAATAACCATTTCATCCTGGAGAAATTTTAATCTGGATTTAGGACAAACCACAGTCCAGAGACTGCACTGCTGAAAACTTTTAATGATCTTAGGTGCAACTTGGACTCACACAAGCTTACACTCCTTGTGCTACTGGATCTAAGCGCTGCTTTTGGTACAGTAGATCACACAATTCTTTTAAATAGACTAAAGCATCTGGTAGGCCTCTCTGGTACTGCCTTTCAATGGTTTAACTCCTATCTCACAGATCGAAAGTTTCTTTTAAGTTTGGACACATGCTCTTCAAAGATTCATGACATTAAATGTGGTGTGCCCCAAGGCTCAATTTAAGGCCCCATACTATTTAATTTATATGCTCCACTGGGAGATGTCATCAGGAGGCATGGTATCACTTTTCACGACTATGCTGACGACACACAGCTGTACATATCTATGTCTCCTGATGACACAGGGCCAACTGATGCCCTTTTTAGCTGTAACCTAGACATTAAATCCTGGATGGCAGTAAACTTCCTACAGCTCAACCAGGACAAAACTGAGGTTTTAATCATTGAGCCTAAGGCTCAAGAAACTTTTATCAAAACTGAAAACCCTGTCCTTAACTCCATCAAATCTGGGCGCCATCTTTGACTCTGAGCTGATTTTTATTCCACATATTAAAAACATAACGAAAACAGGGTTTTATCATTTGAAGAACATAGCCAGAGTCCGCCCCTTTCTCTCCCGGGCTAACACAGAGACGCTAATGCATGCTTTTATCTCCAGTCGTCTTGACTATTGTAACGCCCTGCGTTCTGGTCTTCCAAAAAGAAACATCTCAAGTTTACAACTGTTGCAAAACTCAGCAGCACATGTGCTGATGAAGACCAGAAGGCGGGCACATATTACACTGGTTTTAAAATCGCTGCATTGGCTCCCTGTGTGCTTTAGGATAATCTTTAAGGTTCTTTTAATGGTTTTTAAATGTCTTAGGGGTCTTGGACCTTCTTATCTTTCAGAATTGCTTTCACAATATGAACCCTTGCGTCCCTGAGATCCTCAGGCACTGGCCTTTTAATAGTCCCCAAAGTGAGAGCATGAACTTACAGTGAGGCATCTTTCCAGTAGTATGGCCTCCATCTGTAGAATAGCCTGCCGGAGGATTTGAGGACTGCAGAGAATGTTCATGTTTTTAAAAGCAGTCTCAAGACCCACCTATTTAATTTGGCTTTTAACTAATGTCTTATTTTTTATCCATATTTTTATCCTATTTTTATCTCATTTCATTTCATTTATATACTTTAGTCCATATTTTATATGTTATGTTTATTCTATTTACTTGAATGATATTTTAGCTATTTATCAGTATTTTATGATTTTATCTAGTTTGATGTTTTTAGCCGATGCTGTTTATGTTTTTATACCATTTCTCCAGTGTTTCCTCAGTGGGGCGCCACCTGCACTAGGGGCTGTGACTGGCTCTGTCTGGGATTTCTCTGCCTCGTGGTGTGCACTCAGCTTGGCCAGGTGGGGCTCTACAGCAGTATCTGCTGCTGTGGGCCCTGTAGCAGTGTGCGCACCCGGGTGGAGGTGTCCTGGCCCTGGGCCCTGGTGTTTCCTGACCTGGCTCCTGTGTACTCAGCCACATGCTTTTAAAATTGCATTATCTGTGTGTGTGTGTGTGTGTGTGTGTGTGTGTGTGTGTGTGTGTGTGTGTGTGTGTGTGTGTGTGTGTGTGTGTGTGTGTGTGTGTGTGTGGTCTCAGAGGGGGGGGGGAGGTTTGGGGAGAGGAAAACTGTTTATAACATGTAAAGCACTTTGTGCTGCATTTACTTTAGCATGAAAAGTGCTATATAAAGTTTGATTTGATTTGATGTAATCACTTTTACTCAAATGAAGCTTGTAAGCTTTTATTTCCTTTGAAGGTCACCAAAATGACCAAGGCATGTCAGGACATGTTATTAACAAATACTTATTCACTGGTTGTTAATAAAAGATGCTTGACTTGGTTGTAATTTAAACACAATGGTTTATTTCTTAAAAACATCCACATGCTCACTCTTCAGATGACTGGTCAGAATTATTGTGAGGACACATTATTGTGACCGTATGTGTGTATGACCATTATGATTTTACATCTTTTTGGGGGGCTTTAAGACGATGGCACAGCCAAAACAGTGTGTGCACAAAGGTTATCTTTTCTCATTTATGTTGTGGTACTATGCATATCTTTTCCCCTGCCACAGGTCAAACAGGGCCAGTCTGTTTTGTTTTTAGTCTCTATAAAAGGCTTAACACAAGCAACTTCCTCTATAAAGAAAACAGCCACTTCAGCTAACATAACTGAAATCTTTGCTATCCCATTGGCTTCAACAACTCCTCTCAGCAACAGCAGACAGTGAAATCATGTCTAAACTGCTGATATCATTTGGTGCAGCTGATGGATTCTCCCTAAACCATCTAGAATAACTCAAGCTATTTTTATTTAATCCCCAGCATCTTTCAGAAGATTTGGAGACACCTCAGTTTGTCCACCGCAATAGCAAAGTGTTTACTGTGAGCATTTTGACCTAAGTGGTGGTGCAAATGAAACCTTAAAGTGAACCTGAAAACATTCACATGTCTACAATTGCTTTGCAGCATCTGGCACATGTCTTTAAAACCAGCAAGGCTAATTTACCGTGTTTGTGTGTTTGTTTATGTTTCCCATAGCGACCACAAGAGGAGAAGTATCCTGTGGGTCCCTGGCTGCTTGCCCTCTTTGTGTTTGTTGTGTGTGGATCAGGTATAACCAAGTAACCCTTTTGCATTTGCACAGAATACTATCATTATGTATATACAGTGATAGATGATGCAAATATAAACTGTAACATGGTAGCTGTAAGAAAGCAAAGCTAATAGCATGGAGGGTTGTCCAACAAAGCTCTTTGTTTGATTTCAGTCAGCTGGTGAAAATGACAAATAAATACATCAAGTTTGAGGGAGAATTGTTTTAAAATAAAACACATTTACAAAAGTTGTTTCATCCTAGGAGAAGAAATGAACCAGTGATAACCTTTTGCTCTCAGCTATATTTCAGATCATCCAGAGTATTCGTATGGGGATGTGATCCATAAGAATCTTATGGACGCCCTCTTCCCCCTACTCAACATGTCCTCACTTAGCCCACACCTGCACTTCGCTTGGACCCCTCGGAAGGGTCCAGAGACGTACACCTTAGCTTCAGATCCAGCAGACCTTGGAGAGAGAAGCTACTCTCAACACTCCAAGACATCTCCCGAGCCCTGATCAGCGTTTAGTGTCGCAGTCTGTGGTACTGACAGCTTTTCTATGGACAGTCGAAAACCACAGCTGCTGGCACTTGTGTGTGTGTTTGTGATCATGAAGGTATGATTGTTGTTGTGAGAGTATGCTTGGCCAGTGATTCCTGCTGACAGTAGGCCACATCTTTGTTCAAATATTTGTCTGTCATATGTGAAGATTTTTTTTTATTTCAAATAAACATGGAGCATTTAGGAAAGACCTGGTTTTACGTCTGGTTTGGTAGACTATCTGTGTTCGACAAACACAGGTAAAAATCTGTTCATGTCAGAATGATCATTAAAGAGGACTACCTGGGGAGCAGCAAACTGCCTAAATCTAAACTACATTAAAACCTCCCTACCCCACTGATATCAAGAGTATTTAAGGAGACACTACTGTCTTGTTGACTACTCTATGCAGAAAATAAGCCGCGACTACAAGTGCAAAGACGATTTCTCACATGCCATGTAGTTGACAGTATGACTATATGTGACTGTCAGTATTCAGGTGCTTGGTGGTCACTTACCTTGTCATATTACTCTGACACATTGAAGTAACAAAATAATAACGGGATGCTGACAAGGTGTTTGTTCTCCTTTAAGCATGTTTATTGAAAGTTGTGAAGTGCAGCTGTCAAGTGCAATTGTTGAAGTATGTTACAATATCTCATCCGGTCTTTGCAGAAACATGCACAAAAAATGAGCATACAACTAATACACAGATTGAAAAAAAAACATTTCAGGAATTTGTAATTCTTTAAATGTTAAGTTTTAAGATACTGTTCATCCAGAAGTACGTCACTATAAAAAAAAAAGTAAAAAAACATAAAGGTGCAATACTCCAGAAAGGAAAGAGCCAAGTGATCCTGCTTTTACAGTAAGAGTTAATGTTGCAGTGTATTGTCAACACTGTTTGTTATGTGTTGTCAGTTAAATTACCTAAGCTCCTCTCTAACCACATTCTTGAAAATACAGCATTAAAAATAGATGACACAGCCTGGGTGAGACCAGCACATTCATCATTCACCTGCTTCAGTCTGTGTGACCCAAGATAGTGTCTGTTGTTTTTCCTTCTCCTACCTATTTTACATCATACTTACACTATACAGAAATATACATCATCTTTTGCCCATCAAACTTTTAGGAAAAGAGAAAATGCAGCTTAGCCCAATGTCTCAACCCTGTCAAAAAAAGTTTCAGTAACATGCCACTACAGGGTTGAGCAAACAGCAAGATGAGCTTTGTCAAGGGCAAAATGAGTAGCTTGAAAGAGAAATATTGAAATAGATTATCATAATCATCTCCATAAGAAGTCACATGTTTTCTTCATCACACAGTTGAAGTAACAACGCTGCCAAGTGTTGCGCTGCGCCGCGCCCCCCCCCCATTCCAGATGGGGACATCTTTCTTTCATGATAACAATTGCTCACATTCTTCATTTGTCACTCTGAGAAGGCCTTTTCTCCTTTTCTGCCTCTCTCTCTTACACCCCACAGCTTGTAACTTAAGGATTTAGTGTTGAGAGAGAAAAACAGTTATTTACAATATTCAGCAAAAAAAGTAACCAATAAAATCCTCCATCTCCCTCTTTTCATTGCCAGCATCAGTAAAATCGACATCACTTAAAATCCAGACACAGGCACAGTGATTTTTTTTTAATCTAAAGTTAAATATATCCTCGCCACTGATGAGCTGTTTCTTCTTGGTAAGACATTCTAGTTGATATGTCCAGGGGTTATTTGGCAAATGTACGATAATTCAGTCCTCCTCTAAAACAAACCACACACATACAGCATTGCCAGATTGTCACCCTCCACAGAGCTGTGGACCACCATTTTTTCCACAAGCGACAACCTTCTGAGAGATAAATATGTGCAAAATTCTTGTCTTAACAGCGTAACATCTTGCTGTAGAAGGCAAGTTGAGCCCTGCTGCTGTAGCAGAACAAAACAAAACAAAACAACAAAACAGTCAATCAGTCTGTCTTTGAGCGCAGACCAGGCTACGCCGAAGGTCCAGAGCTGTGAAGAGTGGGCTGGGCAAGAGTGGCAGAGCTAGTTGGTCCTGGTGTTGCTGCTGTTTGAGGGGCAGGCGGGGAGCCAGTCTGAACCTGGGCCTGGAACTGGGCCATCTGCTCTGGACTGGCTAGTGTCTTTAACAGGGTGTTCTCCTGCTCCAGCTGCGAGTTGCGCTCAATCAGTTCCTTGATCTGTTCTTTAAGGACCTCCACCTCCTCACGCACAGCATACATCAGGTGACTCTTCACCAAGTCCTGACGGAGACAGATATATAAAATGTTTAAGCCACAGAAAATTCTGGAACTGAAGTTTTCACCTTTGGCCAAATTTTGGAGAGCAGAAATATGCATGAAACCGAGCACTGGGAGAAGCAGCTTCATTTGAACACACTTTTATTAGGTTACGAACCCAAGGGGAATAAGCTGTATTTTCTGGATAAAAAATATCATCCATAAATACTGAACTACTATAAGATAAAACTTACCTATAACACAAGTTAATAATTTCTAATGTTTGATGTATTTTGAGCTTATATAGTGTGAATATAGGATTAGCAAATACTGCCATGTTAATTTAATATTAATCTTGTTTGATCTTAACAGACAGATTCTGACTACGAATAGGACTTGTGAAGAATGATTTACAGCACGAAACAGCTTAAATCCATTTTAATGTGCTCCTTTGAGGATATGGGTGAGGACATTCCCAGGGTGTCACGTCATAAGCCCTGCCCACGTTTATGTCTTGACCAATCAGAGGCAGAGATATTTATACCCGTGTTGAGAGACTTTTAGTTTGCCTAGCAACAGAGCTGACAACAGCTACAAAAACAGTGAGTAAAAAGAGAAAACAAACACGTTTTCCTTCGGATAAGTCAGCGATTTTTGAAATTAGATTTTACAAAAACAAACAGTGAGCTTAAATGCTTAGGGACTTGGTTTTAGTCGACTACAGTTTAACTCTTCAGTACAATAATTGTGTTGTGGTTATTAAATCATAGTTAGGATAGACTTGAGACAAGTCCATCCTAACTATTGTAAAGGACATTGCAATGCTGGTAAATAAAAAGGAGAGCCTAATTGAAATTAAGTAAATGCTCATCAACCTAGCGCCTATTTCTCTTTAAAAGCCAAGACAAACCTACTTTGATTGTATTTTGTGTATTATTTACCAGTATTAACTTTATCAAACTTTTCTTCTGTACGAAGTCAAAAAAGTTGTTAACTCACCATCGCTTGTTCAATCTTGTTATCTATGGCCACGACGCTGGCTCCTGACGAGCTGTCAAAATAAAGGAAGAATTCATTAAACAAAAACACTTTCTGCACAAAGAGTCACACAGAGAGCCAGGACACGTGGCGACAAAGTCTTCCGACCTACACCGAAGAAGAAGCACTGGTTTTGACAGGAAAACTCGGAACTGACTGTTGAACACAGTTGAATAGTGAAACAGTTCTTGAGTGTGTGTTAGCAGGAAATCTAGCATGAACACCAGAGTTCCCTCCATAACAGAGGGAGAGATATTACTGCTGCATGTGAACACAGCTCAGACATGAACACACATGCAGCTTCTTGTGCTCAACGCTATTACCTATGGTCGAGCCTGACTCGCGAGTTCTCTGCGTTCAGTAACGACGACAGAAACGACATGGAGACATTTCTCAGCTGACAGACGCCTAGATCCATAGCCACGGTGTAGCACGGCGTATTCACGCGGGTCATCTTATACCAATCAGCTCACAGACATCCCCGTGGTTCCACTCGAGCAGCTCCACGACCCACACATCGACACGCGCCCTAACAACTCTACCTTCTGGGTTTCGTGCACCGACGGCAGCGGTACAAATTCATCCAAGGTCAGCTCATCTCTGCTCTACACGAAGGTCTGCAGCTCGGGACATAACCCAAAATTGATCCAGTGACCAAACAGGCCGGCCCCTGATTGGTCGAGAGCGGAGGCTGTTTGCATGAGTTATTCAGAAACGCCCCCACCTGCCGCTCAGCTGACACATTTTAGCATAAAATATTCCTAAAACTGAAAGGAGGTGGCTGGAAGCACAGATATATAGAAAGCAAGATACGCCAGTGCTCTGTAGCAGCCAACTTGGCGGGGGCAACGTTCCCATGAAAGGCTCTAAAATGTACATAAAATTATATCTCATCTTACTTATTTCTCAACCGATTAAGGCTCATAACATAGGCTGTCTCATAACACCGACAACAAAAGACGCCCCCTGTGTTTTAAATAGTTTTTTATTTGATTTAAATAAGCAGGGTAACTGAGAGGTACTGAAATCAGTCTACTTCAGGATGTTCAGTCTGAGGGATTGAGGTGCTCATCACATTTATTGACATCCACCGTGCTTCTCTCAACACTATGAGCAATAAACGCAATTTTTTAAAACACATTCACCTCTTCCTGCAAAACAAAACAATTGCCAATGATCAACTTTTGCAACCTGTGCTCACCATTATGCAACACAAGTGCATCACAGTGCATATACAGTAAGTGCAGGTGCAACCAGGTGATAAGTGCCTATGGTTTTGCCAAAAGGGTGACTGATTCAATAAATGGGTTCAGGCCACTGAGCGTTTGAATCAGAAAATAAGGTTTAATGTTGTAGCAAATGAGAAATATTGTCATTTCCTCATGCCCACACCTCTGTCGCCCCCATGTGGCCTTAAACAGAACTGCGGCAGTATGGGGCTGTGAAGATCTGTGAGATTTCAGCCTTGAATGTCTACATTTTTGCTCCAAATTATTAGTCATCTGTTAATCTAGATTAGCAGGCAGTCAAGTGTGGAGTCAGGGACAATTGAATGTCATTGGAAATAAATTCAGCAAAGACTGGATGAACAACACTCCTTGTCCAATATGACATAAACCTCTATAGCTGCGTTTACATGGGCACAAATAATCGGAATATAGGCCCGATTGGAATAAAAATGCGTTGTGTAAACATGTTGAACGTAAGATTCTGATTCAATTCGGCTCAATCAGAAAGAAATTGTATATTGATAGAGTGTGGTTTATGCATTATCCCGAAACGCGTCCATGTTAACACTTACTCCGATCGGGACTCTCTGTTGGGGCAAACCTAACCTGACTGTGCAAGTGTTCCCTACATCAGCGTGATGCATTTCAGCCTATAATGACAAGACATAAACATGGCGAGAACTAAGAACAATTGGTCCGTGTCTGACACAACTTTCTTGCTAACCCAGGATCAGAAGTGGCCCTCGTTTATCAAGCTTGCGTACGGCAGAAAACTTGCGTACACCTTGCGTACGACAATTTTGACGTGAGGATCGGGATTTATCAATCTGCACGTGAGCGTATGCTACGACCGTATCTCACGACAGGTCTGATATCGTGTACGCAAGTTTGAGTCTGTGTGGATCTGTGGTGCAGCACATGTCTGTCTCAAAATAATTAATAAACAAACCTCAAACCTGTCATCAAGTACAATCAGCCAGGTTTCATTAAAGATTAAGACGTAAATAAAATAAAATAAAATACATTTGTTATGTTATTTGTTTTGTTATATTTACTTTTAATTTATTGCGTCTTTGTAATGTAGAGCAGACTGGAGAGTCTGACAGAGGCCGAACAAAAATAATTATTAACCTCACCAAACGGTGTGTTGCTGCCCCTGAGGCACATTTTTATGGATTTGTATTGGATTTTTATTACTGATTTAATAGCAAGAGCACTTTCTAAACTTATACTTTACATCAGAATCCATGGATAAGGTCCTGTCTCCTCTGTGCAGCACCTTTGTGGAGTCTCTCCTCGTTATTGTTCTCCGGGCATCGGGTCCTCACGTTGCACCGGCACAGCCAACGGCACTCCATTCGCCAGAGCAACATTTTGCAAAACTGTACAGGCCGAAATGATGTCCCACACCCTTTCAGGAGTGAAGAACAACGTCCCCGCTGCTGGGCCAAGACAGAAACACCTGCCTTTTAGGAGTCAAACACAGCGCTCCATAGTGGCGCGTGTGCGCAATGTTAAAACAGCGCTCCTGCTCTGTGGTAATGTTTCTGGGCAGAGTTATCGAATAGGCCTATTCACCAGGGACATAAAAAAATTTATTTTATTTTATTTTATTTTCGTCTTAATCTTTAATGAAATCTGGCTGATTGTGCTTGATGACAGGTTTGAGGTTTGTTTATCAATAATTTTGAGACAGACATTTGCTGCACCACAGATCCACACAGACTCAAACTTGTGTACACGATATCAGACCTGTCGTGAGATTTGGTCGTAGCGTACGCTCACGTGCAGATTGATAAATGCCGATCCTCGTGTCAAACTTATCATACGCAAGGTGTACGCAAGTTTTCTGCCGTAGGCAAGCTTGATAAATGAGGGCCACTGTGATGACGCTCGGCTCAAAAAGCGTCTCCCCCCGGGGAGCTATGCAATCCCTGAACGCCCATAGGCTGTATCAGGTGTCAATCATAGAAAACATGAACCCCCTAATAACTTTTAAAAATGGAGCTTCACAGAAAAAAAAGGACTTGAGCACAAACTAGTCTTACAATAACTACATGTCAACATCACAAGCAGGGGGGAGAAAAAATTATGTTCTGTGTGATAAATTTCTAAAGTTTGTCCACAGCCCCATAAGCTTTGCTGGCGGAGGCTGGATTTATGACTTATACTGCAGCCCATCAACAGGGGGCGCTGTTCTCGAAGTGGCTTCACCCAGCGAGGAGGCAGACTCTGTCCATTCAATATACAGTCTATGGTCCTATCGTACAATGAATCCTGCGCTCAGATCTGCGCAAGATTGATAAATGAGGGCCTATGTGCTGCTGGGCCCGCTAGATGATCATGTACACTAGGAGCAACACAACCACCCCCAGAACCTTGGGTCTCAGGTCTAATCTGAGTGTAGGGAAACATCCTGAATTGGGTGAAGATAGCCACTTCTGCGTTTGTTGGTTTGTTGACAGCACAGGCGTAAATACAACTGTTCTTCTTCTGCGCTTATTTTAGCGAAAAATTAGACAACTCTGCACATGTCCAAATGCTTTAATCTGAATAAAGCTTGGTGCATGTATATGCACGTCATGATCAGATTATTTGATTTTGCGCCTGCATAAACAGTTGATTCAGATTGTCCAATCTGTCAAATTTTTAATCGAATAAAGAATTTTGCACATGTAAACATGGCAAATGATAAAGTCTTCTGTCAGGGTTAAAAAAAATCAAAAAGTTCTATGCATCAAATTTATTTGACAAACATGGGTTTTGTTGGCATGTTAGACCTCTCAAATGTGTTTTCTATGAGACAAACAACATTTTGGACTCAATAAAAAATGCCAAAGAAACAGTCAACCTGCAGTGCAACACTGAACACTGAGTTAAGTTTTTGTCTTTCAGCAACTGTCTGAGTAACTGAGACTACAATCTTCTTTAACGAGAAGAACTACCCAAGGAATCTTGAATAATCTCAGTGATTATAGAGGCGTTTGTAACACTGTAAAGAGGGGAGTATCGCGGTCAAAAAGCCAAGCCTAAAGAATACATAACTGCTGTTTTAGGTGTGTGATACTCCCACATCAGACATTAGGACATACAGAAATATACCTCCCTAAACCACAGCAAAGGGCTGTTTCAACACATATTGTGCACACCCAAACCCTTAACATGATATCGACATACTAACAGTAATCCTCAGACTAGTCACACACACTTACAGTATTTCTCCATTGCTAAAACCCTAAACCCATTTTATTGTTAGAACCAAATGCTCAGCTGCCTAAACCAATTGCTAAACCACATTTCTTGACATCCACCGTGCTTCTCTCAACACAATAAGCAATAAAAATAATTTTCAAACTACATCTACCAAACCTCTGACTATTTAAGCAAAACCAAACGATCACCTCAAAACAGTTTCATCTGTGCTCAAAACCAAACAATGTTGTCAGATCATAACCCAAGTCAACCAAAACTAAAAACATTTCTGAGCAGTCATTATACACTACATTACAAAAATGTAAAACACAATGCGCGGAACATTACACTGTAGAAATTACTGTTCACAGTAGACTAAAGGAAATCTGTGAATTCAGCACCTGTATACAGTAAAAAGAAAGTAAAAAGAAAGATAAATAAGAAGCACATCACACTGTAAACCACAATATCAAACTCAAGAGCTCACAGTATCTACAATCATTCAGCCATAGCTTCATGTCGACGTGCAGGGTCAGGCTACAGGATTTCATCCACATTCTCCCTGACCATGTAATGGAAAATACTCCCTGAACTGGATTATATTGGATTCCTCACATCATTAGCCTCAAATATGATCAATTTTGAGTAGTTGTGTTTAAGATGTGACATCTTTGCTTTAAATATGATCAACTTTTGCTACCTGTGCTCACCACTATGCAACACAAGTGCATCACAGTCCACGATGTGTTGAAGTGAGTGAGAATGTGTGCAAGTTGTGTCTAACCAGGTGAAAAGTGCCGATGGGTTCATGTCACTGAGCATTTGATTCAGACAATAGGGTTTAGAGAAATACTGTGAGCACCAGGGTGAGGAAGAGAGGCTGAGACATGGCCTCTGAGCACTTCTACTGATGTCAGCATGTGTTTATCGCTTATCCGAGCCAGACACTTCAACAAGAAGGCCAATAGCTTAATTAGAAGCTCTAAGCTGCTCTCATCTCTTCCGGTGTGTTCTTTGACTGGAATGGGGTTTAGCCAATTATCCAGACCCAAATAGCCAGTACAATTGCAGCCCTTCATTAGAGCCTATGGCACAGAGAAACATGAAGTGTTTTATCCTGTTAGATGAAGTCCAGTAATCTAAATTATCAGATCATTTCCCAAGATCAACCCAAAAAAGATTTACCAAACAGAAGTGTTCAAACTTTTGATATGTGTTAGATTGTAGTTGGTTCTTCTCATCTTCCTCTAAATGGTTCTCCACAGATTCTCTACAGGGTTTAGGTCAAGTGAGTTAACTGGTCAGTGAAGAACAGTGACTTCATGGTCAGAAAATTGCTGGGTAGTAGTTTTGGCACCGTGGGCAGGTACCAAGTCATGCAGAAAAAGGAAGCTGACATCTCCATAAAGGCTGTCTGCAGACTGGAAGTCTCTTAAATCTCCTCGTAGAAGGTTACATTGATGTTGGACTTGATAAAGCACAATGGATCAATACCAGCACATGACATGGCACCCCAAATCTTCAAATACAGCTTTAAAATGTCCTGGATTCTGTGGCCCTTCATCATTTCATCCTGGCTTTTGGACAATAATTTACAAACGACATACATTTATTTTTATCTAAGAGGAGCATTTCCGACCTTGTCTTTGTTTCCGGAGTGGCTTTAAGATATGACTTTGAGACTTACTGAGCTTTAGGCCACCACCATGAAAAGTAAAACAGTAAAATGCACGAGCATTTAAGTTAACCTGCAATTATTTACAAGACATCTTATCTGGATTTGAAAACCTTATTAATTGGTAACTTTTTATTGGTACTCTGATTTGTTGAGCTACACCTGTAAACAAACTGCAATAGCACCAAATCTGAATGTAGCAGTGGCTTCTAAACACATGCAACAAAAAATGTTTTTTTACTGATAAATTGCTTAATTCAAATTTGATTTGGAGAAATAAACTACAAATAAGATTATGCTTCACAATCTTAAGGTCTAACATTTACCATTTCAAACTAATTTTGACACTCAATGCAACAAAATTTTCTGCACAATAAATGACCGTGTAAAAGTGGTTTGAACCACCAACTTATTTCCTCATGGTGAATAATACAAAATTGGCTCTATTGTTCCCAAGAGAGAGAAATACTGGTACTTGATGGCAACAAACAGGTTGGAAATAGCACAGCACAGTTAGTGACAAAAAAGAGAAAACTACAAAATCCAGAAAACCAAGGCCATGAGTTTAATTACTGATGGATGGTCTCCTGGAGATATTAAGTTGCACACATTCATGACATTGTCACATGTCATCCAGGTTTCCACATGACTGAAAATGATAGTAATTCTAATATAGAGATTGGCTCAAGATTTGCTCTACTGTACAAACTTCCCAGGGACCCTTGTCCTTGTTTACCTTTTAAGATGCTGCTCCAGCTCCCAGAACAAAAGCTTCAGTGCCATCTCGTCATGGCCCTGCACTTGTACTCCCCGCACTCTCATGGAGCTGTCCGTCAGTAAAATCATTAAAGTAACAGAGTTCCAAACTTCTTTGTTCGGTCTTCACTGATATTTCTGTTGTAGATGTAGTGTGCACCCTATGGAAGCATGAGTAGGTGCAGCTGCACAGGAACTAAGTCTTGTGATGACACTGTTTATGTGTGCTCCTAATTTCTCCTCTGTCTATGTCATCTATTTGTGTTTGACTGGCTGACAAGGGAGTGAATTACTGAGTGCAGACAGTAACTAGGCGGGTGGTGATGTGTGATCATGTGACACTTGGAGTTACATAAACCTTCAGCAGAGATCAGCATGAGCCCGAGTGATCCCCCTGCCCTCTATAGTCTTCGACATAGATATACAAGTTGAGCCTTCTTCATTTAAAACCCTTTCACAAATGTTATTAAAAATATAGTCTCTAACAGTCTCTGATGGGCCTCTTTTGAATACAGCAATCCAATCATCATGTAGGAACTTTATTTAAAGATACGAAAAACTTTATTTATCCCTGAGGGAAAATTTGATGTAAATGTAAATAAGATCAAACGAATATGGATGCACTGTACTGTAAATATTGGTTTGAATGTGATGCAAGGACTTAAAACCAGAGCTTGTTTCAAAACTCAGAGATGGCTAGAAGTACTTATAAGGCTACATAATTAAATAAAGTCTTTTCTAAAAAAGTGCTACCAGTGGTTCATGTCTTCATTGTCAAGGTTTTTGTCTCGCCACTCAAAATTTCATGAACAATACTCACACTACCCCTAAGAATCAGAACAATTTTATGCACCCTATGGCTGGTATAACAGCCCTCTGCGTGATAGACTAAAGACCTTTTGCTTCAGGGTCTTATCCTGTCATTTCTTATTGACAGACTGCCTTAAGATGGCTTAGGGCCTCAACAGGCAGTAAAGACAACACACACTCAAAGCGCCTCTACAGGCTCAAAGACAGCCAGCCAAGAAATAAGAGGTAAAGGATGAGCACAAAGACCAGGATTTTCCTTGTCCTAACAGATCCTATGTGCTGGGGTGAATCAGTATCACATGATCACATGACTTCTGGTTTGTAGTTCAACAATGTATATTTATCTCATGTATATAACCCATCTGTATGTAATCACACACACACACACACACACACACACACACACACACACACACACACACACACACAATTCTCTCTCTCTCTCTCTCTCTCTCTCTCTCTATATATATATATATATATATACACACACACACACATACACACACACACACAATTCTCTCTCTCTCTCTCTCTCTATATATATATATATATATATATACACACACACACACATACACATACACACACACACACAATTCTCTCTCTCTCTCTCTCTCTCTATATATATATATATATATATACAACACACACACACACACACACACACACACACACACACACACACACACACACACACACACACACACACACACACACACACACACACACACAATTCTCTCTCTCTCTCTCTCTCTCTCAATATATATATATATATATATATACACACACACACACACACACACACACACACACACACACACACACACACACACACACACACATATATATATATATATATACACACACACACACATACACATTTATATAACAGTTATGTATATGTAACAATTTTTTGTCAAATTTCATGACAAATGTTTGTACATAGAGAGCAAAGTTGACCGGAGTTAAATTCCATGTATGTGTACATACATTTGGCCAGTATGGTGGTTATGGTTCTGAACAGTCCAATAGCAGCGGGCCACATGACTGGACAAGATCTTACATCCTCAGTCAAACTCTGACCTTCTGCTGCACTTTACTTTAAAGTCCACTTCCTTCTTATTGGTCTTTAAATTGTGATTTTGTGAAATCACACATGTGTCAAAGTCAGAAGGACTTTTCTTCTGCAGAGCTCCAGTGGCTCATTATTAATTCACCTCTGAGTTGTGGGTGGAGACAGCGCTGCTCTGCACACTCCCTTTCAGTGTAGCAGAGGTGGCAGGTAATATAGGAGGTATTAAGCTCTCGGACACTAATGTCTTTGGGGACATGATGACAGCTAATATCAAAAATAACTTTCTTACAAGCATTGCAATCTGCTACCACACACACTTGTTCCACGATCGTCCTCTGTATTTCTCGGAGTCTGGCCTGCATGTTGGTGCTCCAGGGGCGGAGCTTGCAGTTGTGACGTAGGGCTGCTTGTGCCTGTGAGAGGTTCACAACAATGTGAAAGAAGAAATACTTAGAAATGCGATTTTGCTCTTAGTTTTCGCATGATATGTCCTCTAGGATCATATAAATGCCATATGAACATGAAGACAACAAAAAAAACATGATTTTCATCAGAGTGGATCTTAAAACATTGATGCTAATACATAGATTTTCTGAGAGAAGCAAAGGGGACTCCTGTTTTTAACTTGAAAGTGTGTCCAAACTTTATACTGTGGAACTATGAAAGTAATATCAAATCTTTCAGGAAGTCCTTACGATGACCATGGTTTGCTTATTTTTCTGATCAGAGCTACCTTTTGTCAGAATAAGCACAAATGTAAGACCAGTGCGAAGGCAAAAAACTGCTCTTTTTCTCATTTTGACTGCCTCAGCCTGCTGTGCGTGTATCGTTATGGGCATCAAACTCCAGTTACCGTGGCAACTTTGAGCCTCAGACCAGGCCCACAGCTGAGAGCAATTCACTAATCAGGGACTGCTCTGATACCTCTACATCACTGAATTGCTTTTAGAGCAATTTAAATCAACGATAAAATGCTAACTCAATCAAAATTCTTATTAAGGCCACAGGGCAAATGCATCAAGGCACTGGCCCTTACAGCAGACACACCTAGGCATTGGCCCCTTTACAATAGAGATGCTGAAGAGTTGTAGGACAACATGTATATCAGAAAAGTGCTGTTTGATTAGGATCTGTGTGCTATTACTCTTCTCCACTGTGTGGAAAAAAATTGCATTGAAATCAATGGGAAAAAAAAGAGCAATGATTGGAGTTTTACAAACATCTGCTGCTTGCTCAGGCTCTGTTTTTTTCTGTTGTATAAATAAATAATGTTTGTTGTAGGTGTGCTCCTTTAATATCATATCACAATGCTTCTAGTATTAATTATTGGTAATCTCTGAAGAATCTTATCGTAATGCACACAGTTTAGGAGGAGCCCCTGTGGCCCTCTAAAATTTCCCAGAGGGAATTTTCTAGTTTAGCTTTTTGTTACCTTCATCGCTATGACACATGCTGATCTGTGTTAGGTGGCAAATGAAATTTGACTGCCACAGTTTGGAAGCAAGTGTCAATATTGTTTTATATTTTCCTATCATTTCAATGAAATTCAAAACTCTGGGATCACTAATGCCATGTGATGATTAAATTTTCTGTAATCAGGTGAACTCAGCCATTGCTTTGCGTATCATTAGTTTGTTTAATAGGACTGGACAGTATGAACTCCTCATGTTTTGGCATTAAAGAGGTATATCAGATCCTAGGGTAGACTGGCTGATGGTGTAGCAGCCTTTTGTGAAAGAGTGAATAGCACTTATAGCAGGGGTTGGCAACTGTTGACAATGGAATTCCATTGTTGACTACTGTCGCCAGAGGTGTTTTTTCCAGTGGAGTGAGGCATCTTACTTCATTACGATCTCTGCCTAGAGTCACACATGTGCAATAGTGTCTACGCTGAGTGGTACGGTTTTCCAACATGGCGGCGCCAGCATGCCAGACAGCAGCTATGATTATGCACTTAAAATCCTCCAAAGTTTGGGAGCACTTTAGCCTCGACAAGGCGAAAATGTTAAATTTCAAGCAGCTGGATGGAGTTTTTATTTTCTGCTGATTTTGGACAAAAGCAGTAGTGTTGTAGCGCGTATTGTCGTAAAGACACTTATCTGGCTCGCACTTCAGGGCGCGAAAAACTAACTTTTTTCAGAGCAGTTTGAGGCAACTTACTTTGTAAATGTGTTTAAAATGGGAAGTGAGTCCTGGTCAGCCAGCCGCGGAGTGTGAGACAGACCTGGAGCAGCAGGACTACTGAGGTTTGTGACACAAAATCTAGTTAAAAGTTCCTTACAGGAAGTTTAAAGACCCACTCTGATGAAAATCATGTTTTTCTTGTTTTTTATATGTTCATATGGCATTTTTTCTTATGCTACAGGACATATCATGAAAAAAATAAATGCAAAATTGCTTTTCTGAGTATTTCTTAATTCAAATCGCTGTGAATCTCTGGCAGACCCAAACGGCAGGTTCAGAAACAGTGAAGCCCCGCTATGCAGACCAAACTCTTCATAAAGAGGAGAAATACAGAGGATGATCGCGGAACAAGTGTGTGCGTTAGTGGATTGCAATGCTTGGAAGAAAGCTATTTATATTAGCTTCCATCGTGTCCATAAAGACATTAGTGTCTGAGAGCTGAATAGCTCCTTTGTTACCTGCTACTTCTACTACATCAGCAATGGTAGGCTACAAGCTAGTGTGAAGAGGAGTGTGCAGAGCAGTGTTGTCCACGCCCACCACTCAGAGGTGAATTGCTAATGATCTACTAGAGCTCTGCAGAAGAAAAGTCCTTGAAAATGGCACAGGTAATGGTATTTTTGGTAAAAAAACTTCATAATCACAATTTAAAGACCACTAAGAAAACTAAAACAAAAAACAAACAAAAAAAAAAATCGATCCGAGTGGGACTTTAAGAAAATAGTCATAATTATCCTATTAGTCGACTAATCGTTTCAACAGTCGGTGACTAGTGGACTGTTAAGATAGTTGTTAGTTGCAGCTCTAGTGATAAGCCTATCAGACCTGATGATAGACTTCATAAAGAAGCTGTGGGACAAATTCAGAGGACTACTTCATCCCAAAAGACATTTTTGCCTTTGTTCACAATCACTGGCGTGCCCTTGGTTGGACCAGCTCACTCTGTAGATGAGGTTAAATTTCAGATACAGTTAATTAATTTCAAAACAAGCTCCCTAGTCAGTAATGCACTCCAAAGTGCGGCATCTGTGAACGCTTTTTTGGGTGGCATGCTCTGAAGAGTACAGCACGACTGATGTTTTATGTGCTCACAATGTTCCCTTCCATGTACACATGCCAGTCAAGCTTTGAAGGAACCAGCTGGAGAACTGCCTTCATATTAAAATGACAAACTTTGCCCCAGTCATTCAAGAATACATGACTGAGGGGAAACGCCAGTTTTTACATTAAGAGAGTGCGAGGCAGATTTTGTGTTGTTCATCACTTTCTTCTAAATGTTAAGAAATTAAAGAAAGATTTTTTGATACAAGAGGATGCTGCCTTTGTTTCAGCAGTGAGCACCGTCTGTTGCTGTCTGCAGTCTCGCTTGTATCTGCTCTTTGGCGTAATTGTTGGACTCCGCCAGTGACAGTTGTTGCGAAAAATATATAAATTAAATTCATTATTAAAATGATTTCACAGGCCAGACTAAATGTTTGGTGGGCCTAATATGGCCCACGGGCTGCTAGTTGCTGATCCCAGACTTACAGATTGAAAGAGTTTTGAGGGACCCAAACACCAGAAATGCTCCATCAAGTGTAAACTGAAGATCTATTTTGAAAATCAGAAAAACTAAAACATTTAAAAAAAAAACTTGATTTGAACTTTCCATCAAGTATTTAAGCAAATCTGAAGAAAAAATGAACAGTAATGTAGAATGTGTTTTTATGAAGATTTCCCAAACCCGCTTGTGAAGGTTCAGGAGTCTCAAAACAGAGCAAGTCATCATAGAAACTTTCACAACAGTTCCCCGGTCTATTACTGACCAGGTTCTGATTAATGTGGCTCTCTGTGGAGCCCTTTCAGACTTCAGCATAAGTACTGGGGAGGTACAATAATAGGAAAGAAAGTAACAATGAAAATGTGCACACTAGGGCAATTTATGATGCAAGGTGTCCCTTAAAAAGCAAACTTAAAAAAAAATGGCAGACCCTTTTCATCACATCAATAAATGCAAAACACAAACTAAAGGCAAGCTGGCAGAGAGGTAGGCATTAGGCCATGAAGCAGTGCAGTGAAGGTGCTTTATTACCATGGCATAAGCACATATTTCAGCACTCATTTATGGCCCTTGTCATTAATTTGACTGTACTTTGTAATGTAATTTCTGTGATTTGTAAAATAGGCTTTACTCACAGGAAGAGGAACTGCCCTCACATCTGCTATGTTCAGAGAGAAATGCAATCTGGCATGTCCCAGCGACAAAAAGAGGCCTATTGAAATTTTGAATTGTAAGGACTTTTGGCTGAGCTGTAGTTTGATAGTGGGAAGCACACACAGAGTTTACCAGCAAGCCCTGGCTGTCATTCTCCATAGTCACACCCTGACTATGGAGAATGACAGAGAGATACTAAGTGTGTCAGTCAGAGAGGCAGGAACGAATGATGAGTGGCCATTTTGGCCTCCACACATAAGAGAGAGAGGGGCTGTTGGAGGAATAGGGCTGACAGCAGCAAGTCCTTAATCCTCATCCAAACCATACCCTAAAACACACACACACACACACTGAGGGTGGGTGTGGGTCAGTGGGAAGTGAGAGAAGGAGGGAGAGAGAGAAACAGGCAAAAAGACAAAGGTAGAATTGTCTCGATCCATTGCCTCAGCATTCGCTCTGTTCCATAAAGACTCAGAAAGAGGAAGGGCAGAGAACATTGTTCCCTAAACGGTTTGACTGACCAGGATTTCTTTACTCTCTTTGACACTGTGGTTAACAAATCTGAACATCTGTGCAATAGCCACAAACTCACCCTACCTTGGTACTGCTGTTTGTGTTATTGGGGTGGTGTGGTCTGTTAAGCTGCAGTCAGCCTGTCAGGTGACCTGCTGCAGCCAGGTGAGCAGAGGTGTGAAGAGGGGGAGAGGAGGAGGAGGAGGAGGAACAGAACAATAGAGGAGCAGGAAGGAAATGTTGGGAGGGGGGATTGGTGCAGGGAAACAAGGTCTCTGATTCCAAGTGAGGAAACCAAGGACTCCTCTAGAGCTGCAGGTATTACCCTTTGGCTGGGAGCTGTGGAACTGTCAGAGTTCGGCTCAGAGGGAGCATTCCAAGGAACAGAGAGTCTCCCACATTAACTTGGATGACTTTTTTGTATTTTCTCACACTGCCTTGCCAACGTTTTCTTTTTAATGGATTATTCTCTTTTTGAGTTGTGAGGACTTTTTTGTTTTTGGACTTGTGTGGTTGGATAGGGACCCTACCTTGGGATTTTTCTTTACCACCTCTTTTAAAGGGAACTCAAACATTGAACAGGGGACAAAGTGTGTTGGGGATGTTTGTTGGGGAACAGGAAAATTTGTGTTGAGATTTTGAGGAATATTTGTGTGTCGTGATTTTTGGGGGCTTTGAATTCAAATCTGTGCACATAGAAGAGTTCTCTGTGGTGATATCTATGTGAACATTTTTCAGCTTTCAGGAGTAACCAATCAAAACTGAAATGGTTATAGCTAAGCTTTAAGGAAATTAAAGGAATATTGGTAGTCCTGTATGCCAGTTACCACATGTTATTAGAACAGAGGAAAGACAGAGCAGCAGCACACTGTCTGTGAAGAGGCCTGAAGCAGCTCTCTAAGAGGATTTTTCTGACCAAACATTTATTTTGTGTCTATGTGGGAGTGGCTTTATGAAGCACAGAGCTGCTGATGTGGATGAAATATGACGCTGCCCCACCCTTCTCTTATTCTGATGTTATTTTAAAATATATTTATCGATTTTTTTCTTTATCTTACGTCCACAACAACTAAAGAGCTCAGTTCAACATGGGTCTGCAGAGCAATTATGGATAGAACATACAGATGTAAAAACAAAACTGTCACCTCTAACAGCTAAGTGCACAAGTACAGCTGCATAGGTACTAACAACAATATTGCCAATCTCGCAGAACAACACGTGATGTTGGTATAAAGACCTGACCTCCTTTGGTCTCCAAGAGGAGAAACTGTGGATGCCAGTCCTCAGAGGAGTCTAAAGCATTCTTCCCCTCTATGTTCTCTGGGATGTTCTTGAGAAGTCCTCGATGTGGTTTGTGTGAAATTCAGCTTATCTCCCCAGGGCTAACATTTTAGCCCTCTTTAGCTTGTTGGTATGCAAGTTTTAATCAGGGGGTCCAGTCTGTCATTATTAGCCATCATTAGGGCCATGGGGTATGCAAATCAAGGCACTGCCCCCAATAAAAAAGTATAGAGATTTTTTCCTATTCCTCTTCAAGACAAACTTTGATTTGCTAACAGCCTACAACTTAAAGAGTTGTAGGGTAAATTAGATATCAAAACACACAATTTAATTGGATTAGTGTGCTAGTACTTTTACTATACATATGAATACATATGAATACATGTGAATTTTTCACAATGTAAGTCTCAAAAACTATCTCAGCAACTATTGGAGATTCTCAAATGTCTACAGGCTCATAATACCTTCAACTACAGACTTCATTGAAACTTTAATATGTAGACAAAAGTCTTGTCTATTAGTGTATTCATCCATGTTTCCAAAGGTATAGTAATGTTTGATCACTCACTGTTCAGTAATTATGATCAGTTTTGGAGAAATTTTGAAATTATATTGGGTGGGAAGTTCGTGCCAGAGTGTGTGACTAGAGTGAGAGAAGTTGCATGAAATTGTCTGAACCTTTTCTCTTTCCACACTACTACTGGCCAAGAGTTACACTCTACATGTTTTTTCCACAGTTATCATCATCCAATCATCTCCTGTACGATCATCCAAGCAGATGATCACATCAATCAATCTATCTATCAATCTATCAATCTATGCTTTGGCTTTTTTAGTTAGTTTTTTTTAATGTATAAATAACTACTTGAAAAAGGAATGCTTGTTGTAGGTGTGCTCCTTTAATATCATATCACAATGCTGCTAGTATTAATTATTTAAAATAAAGTACACACTTTAGGAGTAGCCTCTGTGGCCCTTCAAAATTTCCCAAAGGGAATTTTCGAGTTAGTTTAAATGTCATTAGTTTCAGCACTGTAGTGAGCTCAGGTTCCAGCTCAATCTTCATGCATCGTTACCATGTTGAGCTAAAAACGTAGCTGTGTCTGTGGTTTACAGTCACAATCTGCTACAGCTTTGGACTCTGAAATATGGCACTGTCTGGTGTTGTTATGTCCAGTAATGTTAAAGAGACATACCCCTGTCTCAGTATTAACGAAAAAAAATACATTTCAAGTGAAATGCTAAATAAAAATGTGGTTCTTACGGACGTTGCTCAAAGTGGATCATCTCCTTACCGGTCATGATGTAACCCCCTAACTGTTGGAGTAAATTGTACACTAATATCGTTACAATGATGTTTTATGTCGCTGGTAATTGTGAGGTGAAAATACCATGTCATGACAGCCCTACTTTGAATTCAATTAAGCAAAATTGTCAATAAGCATTCATCCCCAAATGTTAACACTACAGAAAAAAAAAACACACAGAAAAAAGCTCAAGTCGACGATGAAAGGAAACAATTCCCCAACAGATCAGGGATGATCTATCGCAGGATCTAACAAAGCAGCAACAAAAACTTTGCACATTATCACAATGCAAAACCATGAAAATCACAGCAGGCTGTCAAGCTTTATGTACTTCAAAATGATTCAAAAAGACTAAAGTCAAGGAAGCTCTGGGAGAGCCTTCAGTCTCTGCTGATTAATGCGACTTGTGGTGAGCTCTACAACTATGATGGTCCTTTGATTTGACAGGAAATGCTTGATGAAGAGGAAGAAAACAGGTCCAAACTCTTCCACTCTATTCAACACACTCACATGGGAGATCTGAGTTACATAAGTGTGTTTGACTCGTGTATGTGAGCAGCAGGTTTAAGTAATGTGGTGTGAAACCTGGCATTAAAAGGATTAGCAGTCTAAGAACACACAAGGCCCTGAGGGCAGACAACAGAGGACAGAATTAATGCTAACCATAGGAGTGGGTACATTCTGGCCTTCAAGGGCAAATATAAGGGTTGCAATTACCCATGTGAGATGTATATGTTTTTTATTATGGACAACAGGTAACTAATATAATTCATTATATGAACTGGTTCTGCTGTGATATGAGATACAAAGAAGACAACTACAAAGCAACCAGGACTTTGGTGTTACTGTTTAAACAATCATCCATTGGGAAAAAAAAATCATGTGAATCCCCCTAATGTCTGGGTTGGAAAGCTACGTGAAATTTTATTATTACTACGGGATATCAGAACATTAGGTTTGTTTGTGCTGGCTGGTTACAGACTGTTTTCTCTCTGAATATTGTGCATACCCACAGGAGAAAATAAGCCATCTCTCTTTGAATCCTCAGTCAGCGTCTGAACAAACCTCCGTCTGACACACAAACTGCAGAGCTCCTTGGTTAAATCAGCATGAGCATGGGGAGGCTGCACTGGTATAGTACAGGAGAATTCATGTCCTACGGCTAAGGTATGAGATAACGTAGTATGAGCAAGCAAAATTAGCAATGTGGAACCCAGACAGGGTGAGCAGGAACGAGACACAGAACAGAGGTCACACTCAAAGCTGTGGTAGGAAGTTCGTAGTAATGGCTAATTCTGCGGCCTTAGTAGAACAAGCAGTGCTCATTGTCACTGTCAGAACCTCAGTCATTTAATTTTTACATCTACCATCCCTTAAGTTCTGCCATATCCTATGCTGTGCCTGAGATATGGCAGAATTAATATGAGTGTATATACAATTGTCATAGCGTCTGGACCTGCGTGACTACAAGCTGCAATGCTGCTATTGTCACAGATAAAGAATGCTGGATTTTGGATTTTAAAAGTGTTGTCCTGCTTCTTTTGGTGATGGATAACGTCAGGGGCACAGGTGTGGACTGCTAAAAGGGACCATAAAGTGTCTACATCAGGCACCTGATGCTCAGCAAAGGCCCTTAAATTACTGGCCCTACTTTTCTCTCCTGTTATCCCTAAACGGTGGAATGAATACCCAACTCCATTCCACCCACAGAGTCTGTCTCTACTTTCAGAAGACAGCTAAAGAGACAGCTCTTTAGAGGACACTATGCACCTAGCTAGACCATTCTCCGCTGATGTTCCCAGTGGTTGAATGAGTCTTCCAGTTACAGCTGACTTGCACTGTCCTGCTCTACTCTGGGAATTTAAGTGACCCAGCAGTTGGTACCTTGTTTTTTTTTTTTGTGGTGATGAGGAAGGATAGGTCTTAAAATTGAATGATTGCATCTTTTTTGATGTTCCTTATTAAAAAATAAATAAATAATATTCATTGTGCATTGCCTTTGCATTGCCTGGAGCGGCTGATTGTACGCCTTCTGAGGTCTGAGGTCAAAGACAAACTGGACCCCCTGCAGTTTGCATACAAAGAACACATTGGAGTGAATGATGCTGTCCTCTACATGCTTCACTGTGCTCTGTCCCATCTGGAGGAACCTGGGGTTTATGTGAGGATCATGTTCTTTGACTTTTCAAGTGCATTCAACACCATCCAACCCACCATCCTCAAAGACAAGCTCACAGAGATGGGAGTGGATCCTTCCTGTGTTTCCTGGATCACAGATTACCTGACAGGAAGGCCACAGTTTGTCAGGCTGAGGAACTGTGTTTCTGGGACATTAATGAGTAGTACAGGAGCTCCACAAGGGACAGTGCTGGTGCCATTCCTGTTCCCTCTGTACATGTCAGACTTCAAATACAGTACTGAGTCCTGCCACATCCAGAAATACTGAGATGACACCGCTATTGTGGCATGTATCAGAAATGGACAAGAAGCTGAATACAGAGATCTAATAAGAGCCTTCAGTGACTGGAGTCACAAAAACTGCCTCCTCCTCAACACCTCAAAGACAAAGGAGATGGTCATAGACTTCCATAGATCCAAACCCCCTCTTCAGCCAGTGAACACCTGTGGAGTGGACATTGAAATGGTGACATCATATAAATACCTAGGTGTACATCTGGATGATAAGGTGGATTGGTCTTACAATATAGACTACATCTACAGAAAGGGGCAGAGCCGCCTCTTTTGCCTGAGAAGACTCCGATCAGTAGACATCTGTAGTAGGACGCTGCAGATGTTTTATCAGTCTGTGGTGGCAAGTGTGCTGTTCTACGCTGCAGTCTGCTGGGGAGGAAGCATCACACACAAAGATGCAAGATGTCTTAACAAACTGGTGAAAAAGGCTGGCTCACACCCCCCCCCCCCCCCCCCCCCCGTAAAATTAAGTTAGGGTCAAATACACCAAAACACCAAGTTTAAGAGATGAATGTCGTCGACCGCTTGCTTCTCTAGTTATACCAACTTTAGTAATGACCACAGGATAGAAACACACAGTGGTCACACGCTCAACCAAAAAGCCACTCCATAGCCACAAATGATGCTCAGAACAGCACCTAACTTCATCAACAGGACATATAGGGTCACAGACATAGTACTAACCACCAAACATCCTTTTAGCTTTGACTGATTTCTTTAGCAAAGAGACTAAACACAACTCACCTACTCTCTTCCAGCAGCTGCTTGTTTGAATGGAAACCTCAAGTCCATCACCGACTGCAGCGCAGCTCAAGGAAGAACATTTATGATCATTACTTTATCATTTCCTTGAAGTAATAATCATCATATTAATCACTTTGCACTGCAGACACGGTAGCTCTTCTGCCTTAGTGTCGCGGTGTGATCACATTTCCATGAAGAAATGATCTTTTTTTTTCATCCTTGCGCTGCATCACCCCGCTGCAGTCGGTGATGGATTCATCTGAGGTCTCCGTAAAATATGGGCCCAATCCGCCTGCCAAATTTCATGAGTTTTTGAGCCCATGTAGAGGGGCTTGCTGCATCAGCTCAGGCCCTAATAATGGCATGCTCACATGTGGCTCTGATACAACCTTTCAGTCCACTCATAACAAACACAGCAATCAACACTACTATCTACAGGTACAGAGGAGGAAAACACTTTCAACAGCCCACTGACAGTCATTTAAACCCCTTCAAATAAGTTTGTTTGCAATTTATACAAAATTTTTGTTGTAAGTAAAAAACAGCGAGGAAGCTGTTAACTCAGTGGCTTTGAGCAGCCTCAAAATAAACAACAACCTCCTTCAGATTCAATATCAGATACTTCTGGATGTCTTTATCAAGTGAGATTTTTTAACGATTAGAAAGCCATCAATGTATCAATGGAATTCAGTGTTCCAGGGATTACACCCTGTTTACCCGTAACATTTATCTGTATATATATTGAGTGACCACATCAAATTTGGGCAGGTCCTTGCAGCAGTTTGAACAGACTATAAGAGGAAACTTTTTTATTCAGTTATCCAGCATTGTGGAACTAGTCCACCAAAAGACTGATTTGTCCGATGGGCGACAGGGCAGTCAGATATTTCTTGATAGTCATTAAGGCTTCCAGGTTGTAGTGTCCTTTGTTGAGGTATATTTTGGAGTGATCAAAAAAGAAACTGAGCATCACTGTCTGCACAGGTTCCAGTTAAAACGTTGTTGGGACATTAAGTAAGTGATAAACTTTACTTTTAGTGCCTACACTTCCCTAATTTCTTTTTAAATATTTTAAAAAGACATTATCACAGAAATAAAAGTAAGAGCTACGCTGAACTGTTGTCGTAAAAACAGTAACTCTCATTAAATCTCATTAACTCCTCAATTTTCTGGCAGATGCAGGTTTATTTTCCTGATTTGGCTTACGGACTTCTTTAAGATTTGGATTTTTCTACATTGGGGTTGCTGTATTGTAGCAGAGACTTCCAATTTGCACTTAAACAGCCCATAATGCATTGAGACCCAAGCTGGTAGACACTGCCATCTAGTGATGGATACTGAAACCACTGGTGCCTTCCTCCAAATTAAACAAATATCAGTAGTTTTGTTTCATGGATATTGCCTGCAAACTTTCTAATATCTTCCAGAATAATATCAGCTGTTCCTAATGCATGTCTAATATGTCTTACTGTAATATTGTTCATGTGACAAAGTTACAGCTGACAAAAACAACAAAACAAAGCAGAGGAGTCCCTGCTGTTCTTCTGCCCATTAACTCTGCAGGCTTTTTACCTCCTCCCTGTGATGGAAGACCAATGAATTTTCATTCGTTTTATTCAGTGCCCCATTGTGTTGAAGTCACCTAAAAGTTCATCAAATTTGCTTTCACTTGCATTAGCCTCCTTCAAAGGATCTCCTGGCCCTTACTAACATATTTCTTAACTGGTTTCATGCTCAATAACACCCATAATGTGCCTTAAAAAATCACAGCTGTCCTTATATTGTGCTAAAATTTAAACAGGCTTAACACTAAAGTATGGAACACAAGATGTAGTGCAACAATCCATCATGCAAGAAATCATTCCAGAGTAAGTGGCACAATAATGATTCAGTTTACTATCATGCACAAGAACTGTCAACTATGCGAGTTCATCTCGACTTGAGGGTGCCCCCAAACACAAATGAAGTCATTGAATTTGCAGTTATTAAAGGGTCTTTTTTTCCACCAACAACCAGTTTGTTCAGTACTAAAACATAATGGACCTGGAAACAACTCGTGTCTGCTGGGTACTAGAAACCAAATTTGCTCTGCTCTGTTTGCCTCTCGGCCCCAGAGGTATTATTCTGTGACAGGGTGGAGTCACTGCTGAAATGATTAGGACCTATGGTTTAAGCCTCCTGGTGACTAAATGTGAAAGGGAAATGCCACAACATTTTCCATCCATAAATATGAGGTCCTGTTTTGGCACCTCAAAAACTCTTCATACGACGGATCCTCAAGTCACAGTCAGTGAAGCATATGAATGCTTAAGACTCGAAGCACTGAAGTTTAGTTTGAAAAGAGAGACTGAAAGTTATTGAAATGGCTGAGTGAAAAAACAGCAACATTATGATTGCGCAAAACACATCAGGACACCATATACACTAAAACACAGTAAATGTGAAACGATTCAGAAACAGCTAACACTAAGCAAAAATAATTGTTCCAATGCCGAGCAGACACTTTACAACTTGCTTAACTGGAGGCAACTAAGTATATATTCTTATAATAGAAACTCAACCCTGTACTGTCAACCAGATTTTGGTTATTCTGCAAGACCCACTTACCTAAAGACGCACTCACAGTAGCAGTAACGAAGCCATTGCTATGAAACACAGTATTTGGTACTTCGAGGGCTCACTGTAGCTATCACATGACCCGTAGACATTCTAAAAAATGTGAGTCTGGTTTATGTGGGCTGTTCCATCCATCCATCAGGTGGCAGTGCAGCACTATTAAGAGGGCTGACCATGGTTGAAGAGCAGCATGGATTCAGAACAGTTTCAAAGTAAAAGCAAGCTTTCAGGTGAAGAAACAAAGAGGGACATCTCTGCATGCAACTCCATAAAACACAGACCGACAACCATGCATCCGAGTTATCTTTATTGTTAAATTTGATTACTATGATGAATATTTTATTTCTGCCGAGTTATGTTAAATTCAATTTATCATTTAGAAAAACTAGTCCAATAAAGGGCTGAATGCCAGATATGCACACGAATAAGGGCAAAATGTTTTTGCTTTATTCATGCTAATACAAAGCAGTTGGCTAGACCACTGAGGGAACAAGAGGAGTAAAAAACAAAATGTTCCCCTCCCTCCAGTAGCCTACCTCATTCAGCCACAAAATATAGAAAAGAGGATTAGCTCACACAAAGCAAGAATAAATATTGGACCCTATGGGAAAAGACACTCACTGGATGGAGCTCTCATGTCATCACGGCCAAGTACAGGGACTGTTGGACATTAATGACCCGAGCAAAGCAAATAAACATTGGTGTGACACCTCAGTAGGACAGCGGGACACACAGACAGCTCCTACTTTTTGAGAAGCAGTCTGAAACAACAATGCCTTGTCCCCCAGCTTGTGCTCCTGAGTGGCCAGGATGAGGCTCAGCAAACTCCCTTTTTAAATGCATAACATGATTCTTATCAGCTCCTGTTTAGAAATTCCTCTAAAAGTAAATGTTCTAATATAGCAAGACCTGTTATCATTTGAAATCTGTTATGATCAAATTTTGTCTGCAGAGTTCTGTCCCTCAGCGCATTTCTGAGGGTATCTTGCTGAATTTTTTAAACGCCTTCACGGTGAATGGTGTCTTTCTTCTCCCTTAAATGATTCAGTCTTTCCATGCTTTCAGCAATGTGCGCAATTGTAGAAGAGTGGTAAGGATGCACAATGACAGATTTTTGCCAGTATCTGACATGCAGATCTTTTCAGACTGATTTTTCCCATTACCGAAACAGAACCCCAAACCAATCCGTTAGCCTGTGAAAGCCCTAATCTTCCACTATGCTGATAGGCAAAAGACCACCAAATTCAATGGTTCTACCCACTCCTTTAACTTTGGATAGTCCCTGCCACATTTCTTTGCTGTGCTGGCACCATTCCTGTTCACACTGTATGTCAGACTTCAAATACAGCCCTGAGTCCTGCCACATCCAGAAATACTCAGATGACACCGCTATTGTGGCCTGTATCAGAAAAGGACAAGAAGCTGAATCCAGAGATCTAATAAGAGCCTTCAGTGACTGGAGTCACAAAAACTGCCTCCTCCTCAACACCTCAAAGACAAAGGAGATGGTCATAGACTTCCATAGATCCAAACCCCCTCTTCAGCCACTGTGGGGTGGACATCGAAGTGGTGACATCATATAAATATCTAGGTGTACATCTGGATAATAAGTTGGATTGGTCTAAGATTATAGACTTCATCTACAGAAAGGGGCAGAACCGCCTCTTTTGTCTGAGAAGACTCCGATCAATAGACATCTGTAGTAGGACGCTGCAGATGTTTTATCAGTCTGTGGTGTAGATCTACAGTGTTCTGTTCTACGCTGCAGTCTGCTGGGGAGGAAGCATCAAACACAAAGATGCAAGACATCTGAATAAACTGGTGAAAAAGGCTGGCTCTGTGGTTGGACTCGAGCTTTACTGGGTGGAGGATGTGGTGGAGAGATCTACACTGAGGAAGGTGGAGACTATTCTAAAGAACATGGATCACCCACTTCACAACACCTTGATGGACCAAAGGGCGAATGGTGGTGGACGGCTCCTCTCTCTTTTCTATAGGCCAGAAAGATTCAGAAGACCTTTTGCACCCACAGCCATCAGACTTTACAATTCTTCTATAAATAGTAGACATGACAAGTGAGACAACAGACAGTTGAATTTCCCTTCAGGGATAAAATAAGGTTCTTCTTATTATTATTATCCATATTCTTACATACCACTGACAAGTTTTCAATTATGCTATTTCATGCCTATGTTTCAGAAGCTTTTAGTGCTCTAAATTAAGTTTCTTGAGATCCACAATTTAATTTGTGATGTTAAAGGAGGGTTGTTTTGCTCTTCTTTGCATTACCATTACCAAACAAGAATTAACTGAGCAGCAGCTAGATGAAATCTACAGAGTTAAAGCAGAAGGAGCTTATGTGAGATTCAGAAAACAATGGCTGGAGGAAGGGGAGCAAAACACAGTGTATTTCTTTAGAGTGGAAAAGTCGTGCAGCAAAGCGAACTGCTATTAAAAACAATATCCACATGATCCACAAAAGGTATACAATCACTGTTCAGATTACTGTTTTGGATGTCTTTCTCAGTTAAAATTTATTAATAATGACCAGAGGGACATCTGTGACAAGCAAGTTCTGCCATTCAGCAACTTAAACAAATCTTCTGGAACTGATGGCTTAACATCTAAATTCTTCCTAACATTTGCTGATAAACTAACCCCCTTCCTCCATAGTGTATTCGCCGAAAGATCCAAAACCAAACTCCTTCTCCCGCTTTTAACACTTATTCCTTAGCCTAGTCAGGACCCACTCTGCATCGACGTTTATGTCTCCTCAATAATGCTATATAATAGTTATATAATATAATCGCAATAATAGCTGGAATTTTTTAGCGAAAGACTTAAAGTAGTATTGAATTACATTATTAATTAAATGCAAACAGGATTTCTAAAGGGCAGACATATACTCAACAGCATCAGACTCGATACCATTGAACACAAATTTATGTCTTAGGCATTATAGAAATTTGGATTTGGTAAGTACTTTTGTTCAGCAATTGAAACTATGTACAAGAAAGTAAACTGCTCAATTAAAATGCAGACAGGTACTTGTCCACATTTTGATTCAAGTTGTGGAATCAGGCAGGGTTGTCCTGTGTCACCATACTTATTTTTGATATGTGCTCAGTTGCCCTGTGACCTTATCATGCAGAGCCCCATAAAAAGGGATATCTATAGCAGACAGGGAAGTCGTCGTCAGTCAACTGGCAGATGACGCTTCCTAATTTTTAAAAATTGCCTCACCGATTTCTGCTATTAATTTAACTTTTTCTCTAGAGCATCCGAAACTCACCTGAATCTAAGTAAGTGCAAACTGCTACCAATCAAAAAACTGTAGTATTACTTCAACTTCCAACATACCTGCATGTAAAAGAGTCAGTCACCTATTTGGGAATCATCATCAACAGAAACATAGGCAACAGATACTCTCTGAACTTTACCCAAATCATAGAAAAAAATGAAAAAATTTAACTCTTGGCTCCGGAGAGATCTATCCCTTTAGGGCAGAATTCTTCAATCTAAAGCAGAGGGCTTATCTCTGCTTACATATACAGCAATATCTCTGGATGTAAATAAATGGACCACCTCAGCTAATGATAAAATTCTCTAAAACTTAGTGTGGAAAAACAAAACTATATCAAAATATCTACTTTAATGAATCCTCATGAAAATGCAGTTTTTAGTTTTCTTGACTTTTCCACTCTCATTCATAACACATTCAAAATCAACTGGATCAGACAATTGATTAGAAACCCAACATCAATCTGGAACTTTATTCCCAACTATGTATTTTCCTTCATTTTTTGTTACTCTGCACCTTCAATATTGAAAACCTTCCCACAAAACAAGCCAACTTTCATAAACAGATACTCTGTTTCCTGGTCTCTGGTTTATAAATATAACTTCACCCCCCACAGATATCATATTTGGAATAATGGGGACATACTATACAAATGCAAATCACTTTTCCTAAAGAACTAGTTCACCAATGGCATAACTCTAGTCAGCTGTTCAAATTTAACAGCACATTATTATCATATTCAGAATTTTAAATAAATATACACTTTCTATTCCTCCAAAAGAATATGCAATAGTATTTGATCCAATACCCTCTGGTGTGATTATGCTATTGAAAAATGTTATGTTGCCCAAGATTGACCCCTTACCTCTGAAGCCTGTACAGACAGAGGTTGGTCGAATCTACCTCTTAGCAAAAAACAACTGTACTGTACATACACTATTTCAAAAAAGAAAACATCAGTACTCCCAATGTTAGGTTATACTGGAATAATGTGTTTTACATCAACCTATTTTCATCTGTAACCCCCTCACCCCATATGGTTGTAATATGTCTGTCAACTGCATTTAATTGACAATAAACAAAAAATGAATGAATGAATGAATGAATTAACTAATTTAAAAAAAGTGAGCCCAAACAGTTAGTGTGCAACAATATCAGACAGTAGAAACCAGCCAGAAAGTACAGAAAAAAAGTCTGAATCCTCCTTTGGTCATGACTGCCAACACAAGCAAGAAAACAAAGTGATTACCGCAGACTCTGGCAGAACAACAGGTGCTTGAAAAGGAGGTAGACCAGACTAAAGGTAAAAAGCTGGGGAACATCAGTGAAGCTTGATTGATGGGGGATGCTTCGTGGTCTAAGGGACCCTATAACCTTTCTGCTGGACAAGTAAACCACTAAGTTTATTTTACCTTTTGTCCTATAATGTGTCACGTTTAAGTTGCACAGTAGGTAAAAGCATTGTGTTCGTAGGTAGCCCGTTAGCATGCTGCTATATTAGCACTGGTGCTATATACATTTATGTCTGTAACACAAATGTAAATAGCACTAGTGTCTGTTCTTCTGTTAAGTACCTGTAACAGAAGTGTTTCTTGTCAAACGGGACCTGCTGCGTGTTGTAGCGCCAAACTGTTGACCTCGGTTCCTGGAGTATGCCAGTTTATCCTCGTTGTAGACATCCTTCAAACATTGTGTTTGCTGGTAGTCTTTTGGCATCTACAGCAGTACCAATGCTTTTTACTTTCATATTGATTGGGCCCCATTTCTAATTATCTCAAGTATTTGCCTGCATTATATATGTTTTTATACAGAAGCACCATTGCTGTTTAAAAAAAAACCCAGTATATCGGAATTTTGTTGACTTATGAAACAGCTTGGAAAGTTTACAGATGAAATAAGTAGAACAGATGTTTTAGACAATATCTTCATCAGTTTGTACACCATAAAGGCCCCACAAGATGTACATCTGACCAAGTGGACTTATTGTTTGGATATTATTATTTCAATAAATTTATGTTATCTTATTATGCTTATCCTATTTTATCTTGTGTCATCTTTTATGCACCATTACTGTTGTTGTTTAGTCTTTGCTGATGTGATTGGTAATGAAACACATATACCTTTTCTAATTTATTAGAAAACAATTTTATAATAACAATAGTACAATAAAAAACACATGTATAAAACAGCATTTACATATAGATAAATAGCCTTTTAAAAAAGCACTTCAATATTCTCCGGACACAAGACCCGTGAATCACTGCTCTGAGCCCCTGTCTCCATATTGCCAGATCACAATGTCTATATGTGGCAAACCAGGACTACTTGTTGCTTTCTCCAGGGTCAGGGCAGTCTGCAGTAACTCCAATGTTGTTCCAGACCCTTCTAGGCAGCCTGTCTATCCATATGTGGGAAGTTACTTCGGCTCCTCCAGGTTCAGGCTTCTAACCCAGGCTGGGGAATGTAAAATCGGATGTAAATCGGAAAATTCACTACAATCATACATTTCCAGAAATGGCATACCTCATTTTATGTCAGTGAAACTATCGTATTAGTCATGCATACCTGATCATCTGCCAGTCTCTGAGCTTGATTCCCTCTACATGGGTAAGATCCTCTAGTGCCAAGGCACAGGGACCCTGGTCTATTCGTTGACCTCTCCCCCAGTCTCTGCCTCTGCCCGGCCCAAAGCTTTGCTGCCCGGCTTGTGGTGGCCTGCCTCTGGAACCCTCTCTACCTCAACTTGCTGGGGTGTATTCATCCTAACAGTCAGTGCTATCTTTCTGAAAAAAGCACCAGAGAGAGTTGTTTATAATTTGCCACAGTCTGCTTTTGTAACCTGTATGCAGGAAGCTAGCTGCTATGGCTAACTCTAAAGTCGGTAGAAAGAGCTAATGCTCACTAGCTCAGCTGGTATACAGTAAGCTAGCTGAGCTCCGTTTTCTGTCATTTTGGCAAATTATACTTAAGAATAATACAACATGTCACGGTTAGTTGTATGTAATAGTAAAAATTTAACTTTAGTATCACTGAAAGTGCTCTTACCTCAGAATCAGACATGGTCGAAGTCTTCAGGTATTCTGCTAGTAAATTACAGGTGAATTGGAACGATACAAGTGAGTACAAGCGTCTGTTTATGGGCGGGCTCACTGGAATAGGGAGGGAGGGGAGAGGAGGAGCTGGGGAAAAAGTGAAAGGGAGGGGTAGTGTTTACATTCAAATTTTCGCCCCAAAACTGATACTTACTCAGATCCTGCCTCAACCTCAACTTTAATACAGATCTTACGCTAATAATATCATGCATCATGCATGCATACTGATATAGCGGGTAAATGTCTACAATGACATTAATGCTTTGTTACATTACAAAAAGACAATTAAAAAAGTGGAAATTCCAATAGATTAAGCAGAGTCATCCACAACATTTCATCTGAGAGAGAGTGTGTGTGTGTGTGTGTGTGTGTGTGTGTGTGTGTGTGTGTGTGAGAAGGAGAGAGAGATTCCTGGAGCTGACTGGACAGTGTGTTAGCCACAAGAATGCCAGCCATGATTCAGCAAATTGCCTGCATGTTGAAGGTAGCAGGCCTTTAACCCTGAAAAATAACATCACTCTATGTAAAAGTTCAATTAACACAACTCCATAATTTTAAACACTACACATGCATTATGCCAGCAAAAAGGTCTACTTCCTTATTCATAACCCAGCTGTGTTTAATACTGGATACTGGACAATGTGATACTCAGTCATCACGGGAAACGTCAACTCTGCCCAACAAAAGTGACAAGCTGGAGATATTAGTGACAACTGAGAAAGCATACCATGAGTGCAGTCTATGGAGCCAGATCAGGCTCAATAGTATTGAAAAAGTAGTGTAAGTGAAAAAATAAAAAGTGAAGTGAAAAAATAAGATTTGAACCTGAAAAAAATAAAATGGTACCTGAAAGTCTTGAATTTCAAAATTGAACTTTGAAAAAACACCAGAATGCATGAAAAAAATCTGTTCAAATGTAACTTTGATTCTGTTTTTTAATACTTTTGAATAAATTACTTATTTCTATTTTTCACTTCAATGTATATTTCGATCTTTGAGTACTTTTTTTTCCCGATTGAATTTTATTTATTTATTTCAGATTCAGATCTTATTTTTACAGATTCAAAACTTTTTTTTCGGTTTCAGATTTTTTTTTTTCAGATTCAGATCTTTTTTCAGATTCAACTTGAAAAGTTTCAGGTTCACTTTTGAGCCTGTTTTTCAGTGGGGGCGGGCCTCGACTGAGAGGGGCGCGGTCTGCCATGAGTGACAGGCCTCCCCATCCTTCCCCACCCCATCACCCTGCGTTCAGGAAGTGCCATGAATACACATTAGCTTAGCCTACAATTAGGCTGTATTGGCTGAATGAGATCGTGTTGGTTCGTTCCACTTTAGTGGTGCGATATAAACTGTGATTCATAATAAAGCTCTATTGATAGTAGAATAGAATAGAATATTCCTTTATTGATCCCCCATGGGGGAAATTTTTTTGTCACAGCAGCATCACAGACAAGCCAAAAAGTGCAAAAATGCAGTTATAACAATAAGGGTCCTAATATTAAGAACTTAAATAAATGTAATAATTAAGAAAAAAATTAGAAAAGGGAGAAGAAAAAATAAAGCTTTCTACAATATACACAATTTAAATGCCATAAAAAAAGTGGTGGTGTAAAATCATTGTATTCTGTTTTTATTTACTTTTATCACAATTTTCCAACTTCAATGGAATTGGGTTTTGTAGATGCTGGAGATGTTTTATCAGTCTGTGGTGTCTACAGTATTCTATTCTATGCTGCAGTCTGCTGGGGAGCAACAGCAAGCTAAGAGTTCCTTTATGACCTTTCCGAGCATGAATTTCTGATGTTCCCGCAATCAAATGACAAGTCTAAACCATTTCAGAAATACAAAACCACAATTCAGAAAGTTGTGGGGTCGTTTCAATAATATTTAGAAAACACCATTTTCCCAATTGTTCCTGAATAAGATCCTGCTCTGTCCTGCTGCTGGCCTCTGTTTATCAACTAAAACCTGTAATTATTGTATTGAAGTCTGTATGTCTTTAGTGTTTCTTCTTTTGTCTTACCTTTTTTATTCCGCTTTAAGGACTGAGACTGTTATGCATACTCACAGCCGTGAGCCATAGAATGACCGAACTGACTGCCCTGTACCAATGTTGTTTGTTTTTGTTTTTTGTTTAATTGTGTGTTTGTTGGTGCAACACTGCAACTCATAGTTACTGCAAACCTATTGCCTTCAATAAACAAAACTGTTAAAAACAAACAAACAAAAAAAAAACGCAGTCACCTGAGTCTCATCTCAACAACAAACATATAGTTTCTGCAAATGTCACAAACATCTTTTGACTACACAAATGCCATTTTAACGCTTGAGCATTTTTACTGATCCCTCTTTTGACCTTTATACTTACCTAATACATTTATGTAACTAATTAACAGTTTTATTTATTCAAGCACTACACCAGACTATAGCAACTTATTTTGATGCATTCCCGCCAAATCCCTTGATAAAAAGACAATCAATAATCATTTAAGGACAGATTTGCAAGACACCTCATTGTTTTCCAGGCAACAAAAGTACAGAAATTTAAAGAAAAGGAGCAGCTTAGATTTTCATCACTGAGTGAGTGTGTGTTCACAGGCAATATTTGTCATAGATAAAAGGCAGACTGAAAGCACAATCCATTATATCCATTACGTGCCATTAGTTTCCCAACCACACTCTCAAGTGAAAGTTGTATTTGATGGAACCCATCAGAACAAAGGGGGCGGGGACAAATGAAATCAATGGCTTGTCAGCAGAAAGCATAAAAATAAGCAGGAAACAAAGGCAGTTGGTGATATATAAAGCAGTATGTCCAAAGGTAAGGACTTTTGTATTGACCTGTCTCTTATGAACACACAGAGAACTGCACAAGCTTAGCTTCATTCTGCCATTGATGATTTTTGCATTTTGCAAAAGAAGACAAATGTTTCAGGAACCTGTGGTGGTGGTCTCTCTCTCTCTCCCTCTCTCCATGTGTGTGTGTGATGTGTGTGTGATGTGTGTGTGATGTGTGTGTGTGTGTGTGTGTGATGCAGCACATTTGGTCTGCTGTATTCTGGTGCTGTCTGCCTTGGTCTATGTGAAAGGAATGGGGGAGGTGACAGCAACATAAATAACACTGTTTACTTTCACTGAAACATCTCTAAATTAACAGTGATGTACAACTGCAGACAAATCAAAGATATTCACTGAAAAGCAACAACCCTTTAACAATACTGGTGCATATACTAGAGGGGACAGTAAATCATACCTGCCAACATTTGGGTTAGGAGGTGGGCAGGAGATAGGTCTGAAATATAGAAAAACGGGAGTGTTGGCAGGTATGCAGTAAATAATGGGGTACAACCCTGGAAACTGGAGCATATTTACTCTATGTCATATTTGTTCCAGCTTTGTTCGATTTAGAACTTTGGCGGCTTTTATTTCACTGTGGCGGTGCGCCACAACTAATTACATGTAGGGGAAACCCTGATCTCATTCTCAACAGTGCACAGCACCATTAAGTAGACAGAGAAACGAGTAGGGTTGGGTATCCTTTGATTTTGAACGATTTAGAATCCGATTTCGATTCCGATTCCTATCGATTCTCTATTTCGATTCTTTTAAAAGGCAGGATATCAAAAAATAAAAATAAAAAAGCAAAGGTTGGATGAGGGCGCTAACCGGAGCTCTTCTTTTTGGATGAAATTTCTGAACTTCTCCATGAATTTTTAAATCATATTAACTTTTTAAGAACTTTACTATGAATTTCTCACAGGGCTATTTTCAACCAGTATATAAATATCAATTTTTGTTGTCAGGTCATTTGTCTATGAAAAAGTACAAGGGCTAAAGTTAGTTGGATATTTAAGTTTACTCACCATACACAGTACAATTTGTTTACCGTTTCAAAGTTAGCAGAGGACAGAAGTCATTTATTGTTTCACTTATCTGATCCTGACTGGTTAGCGGAAGACAGGTGTTGTGCTGTAGAATGCACCCCTGCCGTAGAATGCCTCCTCTCCACTCATTAGCTTCTTAAAGTGGAAGACAATGATCTCATATTTTAAAAAAACATGAGTATTAGATCATGAAAACATGTCAAATGGAGCAGTAAACTTTCGTTTTGTTTTCATGTGTCTAAAAAATGCACACATAAAGGTGTACTTGGGTATATAGACTGTAGAGTAAGCTGTTAATGTAGAGAACATTATATTTTCAGGACAGTAAATATTCAGAAGCAGAGGGCTGTTGTTTTCGGCATATCTGAATAGTCTGAATGAAATCATTAAAGGCACACGCTTTAGATTCCGTCCAACGGTAAGAAAAACTTTGATTGTTTCGCCTTGTTGTGTACTTTCAACCGCGCTCCCGTCAGGTGTGCATTCAACAGCAGGGGTGCATTCTCTGGCACAACACCGGCGAAGCGCGTCAAAGACGAGCACTCGGGTATTTCTCCTCCATGAATCCTGAGGTGTTTAATCATGTTGGTCGTTTACCCTCCTTTGCATGATATAACTGTATTGTTAATGTTGCATTGAGATAAGAGTTCATTCTTCCTGCTAAAGTTAGCCAAACTTTTGACCAATGAAGAAGAAGCTGCCGAACACCAACGAGGACGGAGCGTATGAGACGAAGTCACACATGAGAGGAGAGAGACAGAGAGAGATTGTAACCCACAGCGGCTGCATTGCTGTGGGTTACAATGTACTTTCTCTCTCTGTCTCTCTTCACTTTCTGTGTGGCTTCGTCTCATACGCTCCGTCCTCGTTGGTGTTAAGCGGCTTCTTCTTCGTTGATTTTCGGCCGCTATTTCTTCCGGTCGGCGGACTCCGGCATTGAAACTTGGAATCGAAATTTTAATATTTGAACGATACCGGAAGAATTGAAATGTTAGTCCCGGTCCCCATCGATACTCGATTCTCGATACCCAACCCTAGAAACGAGTCAGATTTATGTACCCTGGGGACAAACCGGAAATCTATATTGAATGGATGTGATGTTCAGGACCTCAGACAGCACTGTACAAAAATCCCAGTGTGTGCTGGACAGCACTGCATCAGCTCAGTGACACTTCGAGACACCACTGTCTGTGAACACACTTCACCCACAAATGCTAATTTTGACTCTACCATGTTAAGAGGAAACAGTATATGAACCAGATCTGGAAAGGCCATCTCCTTCAGGGCAAACATGCTTTTCTGAGATTAAGTAAGCTGGAGAAAAGAACATTTGTACAGTGGTTTGGTGAGAGAAAACTTGAAATTTCTTTCAGAAATCATTGATGTGGGATGCCATTAAAGGAGTTTGGCATAGTTGCTAGATCACACACACACTGGGTGTGCAGAGGTAGCAGTCCAAAATTAGAAGTCACAAACAGACGCTCCTGCTCGCTCGTATTGTTCTAATTAAATTCAGATATAATGCAGATAAATACTTCAGATAATTACAAATGGAGCCCAGTCAACGTGAAAGTAAACAGCGTTGGTGCTACTGTAGATGCCAACAGACTACCAGCAAACACAATGTTTGCAGGACTTCTACAACTACGATAAAGTGACATACTCCAGGACCCGAGGTCAACACGCTACAGCAGGTCCCGTTTGACAAGAAACACTTCTGTTACAGACACTTGGCTTACTTTGTTAAAGCGGTTTACCTGTCCAACAGAAAGGTTACAGGGTCCATAGGATCCCGAAGCGTCCCCAAAGCATTTATACTTCATTGAATTTGACACAGCTTTTTAGCTCTTGTCTGGGTGGTCTACCTCTTTTTAAATGCCCCGTTATTCCACCAGAGTCTCCGGTATTTACTTTGTTTTCTTGCTTATGTTGGCACTCAAGGCCAGAGGAGAATTCAGACAACTTCCGTACTTTCTGGTTGTTTTCTACTGTCCGATATTGTAGCACGCTAACTTTGTTTGGGCTTCTGAACGTTATTCAAGGACGTGGAGCATGCCTCACAACATGAGGAAGCAGCGTCTGCCTCACAACCAACCAGTTTGGGGGAGGCAGAGAATGGCTTTGTTTACAGTCAGAAAGAGCAGGCCGCTCAAAAATTTTTAAATATTGACTACACAGACATAACAAAACACAGCGATATCATTATGTTCCCAAATGTCATCAATAAGTAATACCTATTGACTGATGTTAAAAGATTCAAAATGTTAAAATGTTCTTAACGGAATCCTGCCTATCCCACCTTTAACTGTCCTGCCTATAGTCTTGACTTGATCACCACTGAAAATGATTCAACACACTATGGAGAACCCAAACTCTTTAGCAAATGAATCCCAGCATCAGCAGAATGGGAAAACATTCTACTTTCAAAACTACTACAACTTGTCTCTGCAGTTCCTAAATGCTCCCACAGTGACATGTAGAAAAAAGATGATGAAAGTAGTACACGTTTGATAGGTGGTCCATTTTTAAAACATTTAATGGGCATCAGAGACCAATGGATTTAAACTGCGTTAGCGTCGGGCTAACCGTTATCATAAGCTAACAGCCAGCTGTTGCTTTTGTATTGCTGCTACTTTGGTTAATGTAGCTATAGTTATAGCATTGTGGGCAGAGTAGTGATAGTGTTTCACACCATTAAAGGTGCAGTGTGCTTGAGTTTGAGTTAATAGCTAGTTTATTGAGGGAGTGTTTGCCTTTGTAACTGATGTATTGTATGTATTACTTAGTGTATCTATTATATGTATTCTTATATTTCACACATGGTTGGTTCCTATCATTTAATGGATTAATAACAGGTAGGTTTAACATGTTAAAAAGCAGAAACAGAGTATAAGAATAAGAACTTTATTGAAGGGAAATTCAATTGTCTGTTGTCTCACGTAATATGTCTATAAAAGTTATCTATTATTTACAGAGGAAATATAAAGCATGATGGCTGTTGGTACAAAAGATCTTCTAAATCTTTCTGTCCTGCAGCGAAGAGAGAGGCGCTGTCCACCACCATCGGTCCTTTGGTCCATCAAGGTGTTGTGAAGTGGGTGATCCATGTTCTTGAGAATAGTCTCCACCTTCCTCAGTGTAGATCTCTCCACCACATCCTCCACCCAGTAAAGCTTGAGTCCTACCACAGAGCCAGCCTTTTTCACCAGTTTGTTAAGACATCTTGCATCTTTGTGTGTGATGCTTCCCCTCCAGCAGACTGCAGCGTAGAACAGAACACTTGCCACCACAGACTGATAAAACATCTGCAGCGTCCTACTACAGATGTCTATTGATCAGAGTCTTCTCAGGCAAAAGAGGCGGCTCTGCCCCTTTTTGTAGATGTAGTCTATATTCTTAGCCCAATCCAACTTATTATCCAGATGTACACCTAGGTATTTATATGATGTCACCATTTCAATGTCCACTCCACAGGTGTTCACTGGCTGAAGAGGGGGTTTGGATCTATGGAAGTCTATGACCATCTCCTTTGTCTTTGAGGTGTTGAGGAGGAGGCAGTTTTTGTGACTCCAGTCACTGAAGGCTCTTATCAGATCTCTGTATTCAGCTTCTTGTCCTTTTCTGATACAGGCCACAATAGCGGTGTCATCTGAGTATTTCTGGATGTGGCAGGACTCAGTACTGTATTTGAAGTCTGACATGTACAGAGGGAACAGGAATGGCACCAGCACTGTCCCTTGTGGAGCTCCTGTACTGCTCATTAATGTCCCAGAAACACAGTTCCTCAGCCTGACAAACTGTGGCCTTCCTGTCAGGTAATCTGTGATCCAGGAAACACAGGAAGGATTCACTCCCATCTCTGTGAGCTTGTCTTTGAGGATGGTGGGTTGAATGGTGTTGAATGCACTTGAAAAGTCGAAGAACATGATCCTCACATAAACCCCAGGTTCCTCCAGATGGGACAGAGCACAGTGAAGCATGTAGAGGACAGCATCATTCACTCCAATGTGTTCTTTGTATGTAAACTGCAGGGAGTCCAGTTTGTCTTTGACCTTACAGGACTGTCTCAGAAAATTAGAATATTGTGATAAAGTCCTTTATTTTCTGTAATGCAACTAAAAACATGAAAATGTCATACATTCTGGATTCATTACACATCAACTGAAATATTGCAAGCCTTTTAATTTTTTTAATATTGCTGATTATGGCATACAGCTTAAGAAAACTCAAATATCCTATCTCAAAAAATTAGAATATCATGAAAAAGTATACTAATAGGCTATTTAACTAATCACTTGAGTTGTCTAATTAACTTGAAACACCTGCAAGGGTTTCCTGAGCCTTTAAAAACACTCAGCTTGGTTCAGTAAACTAAATCACAAGTATGGGGAAGACTGCTGACCTGACTGCTGTCCAGAGGACCATCATTGACACCCTCCATCAGGAGGGTAAGACACAAAAAGAAATTTCTAAAAGAGCAGGCTGTTCACAGAGTGCAGTTTCAAAGCACATTCACAAAAAGTCTGTTGGAAGGGGGAAATGTGGCAGGAAACGCTGCACAACCAAGAGAGAGGACCGCAGCCTTAACAGCATTGTGAAGAAGAGCCGCTTCCAGAATTTGGGGGAGCTTCAAAGACAGTGGACTGAAGCTGGAGTCCAGGTATCAAAAGCCACTGTTCACAGACGTGTTCGGGAAATGGGCTACAATAGCCGTATTCCCATGGCCACTCCTGAACTCAAGACAACGGAAGAAGCGTCTGACTTGGGTTATGGAAAAGAAGCACTGGGCAGTTGCAGAGTGGTCCAAAGTCCTCTTTTCAGATGAAAGCAAGTTTTGTATTTCATTTGGAAGTCAAGGCGCCAGAGTCTGGAGGAAGGCTGGAGAGGAGCAAAATCCAAGTTGCTTGAAATCCAGTGTGAAGTTCACACAGTCAGTGATGGTTTGGGGAGCCATGTCAGCTGCTGGTGTTGGTCCACTGTGTTTCATCAAGTCCAGAGTCAATGCAGCTGTGTACCAAGAGATTTTAGAGCACTAGATGCTTCCATCTGCTGAAAAGCTCTCTGGAGATGATGATTTCATTTTCCAGCATGATCTGGCACCTGCCCACAGTGCCAAAACCACCAGTTACTGGTGTACTGACCATGGCATTACTGTCCTTGATTGGCCTGCCAACTCCCCTGACCTGAACCCCATAGAGAATTTGTGGGGTATTGTGAAGAAGAGGCTGAAAGACACCAGACCCAACAATGCAAATGAGCTCAAGGCCGCTATTGAAGCATCCTGGGCATCCATAACACCTCAGCAATGTCACAGGCTGATTGCCTCCATGCCACGCCGCATTGATGCAGTAATCCGTGCAAAAGGATTCCCAACCAAGTACTGAGTGCATTAATTGACATTTTCAAATGTTTGATTTTGTTTTGCTCTTATAAATCCTTTTTTTTTTACTTGGTCTGAGGAAACATTCTAATTTTTTGAGATAGGATATTTGAGTTTTCTTAAGCTGTATGCCATAATCAGCAATATTTAAATAATAAAAGGCTTGCAATATTTCAGTTAATGTGTAATGAATCCAGAATGTATGACATTTTTGTTTTTTTAATTGCATGACAGAAAATAAAGAACTTTATCACAATATTCTAATTTTCTGAGACAGTCCTGTATACCCCAGAAGGCGTAGAATCAGCCGCTCCAGGGTTTTCATGATGTGTGAAGTGAGGGCCACTGGTCTGTAGTCATTGAGTTCAGCAGGACATTTTGTTTTTGGTACTGGCACAATGCAGGAGGTTTTCCACAGAGCAGGTACCCGCCCCAGCTGTAGATTCAGGTTGAAGATCCTGTGGAGAGGTTGACACAGTTCTGCAGCACAGTCTCTAAGCAGCTTTGAACACACACCATCTGGACCAGCTGCCTTCCCAGGACAAAGTCTTCCAAGCTCCATCCTCACCCCTGTTTCGGTGACAGACAAGGACTGGTGTTCTAGGGAGAGGGAGTTGAAGTGGTTGGGACATTTGAACGAGATGGAGGAGGAAGGAGTGAAGTGGTAGTGGAGATTTGTTGTGGAGAGGAGGGTGGATTAGCAGTGGAAGTGGGAGTGACCACTTTTTCTTTTGACTGCTGTGTCCAGAGATGGTTCTGATTCCTCTCCACACTTCACGGATGTTGCTGTGTTGTAGATTATTCTGTATCTTCTTTTTGTACTCCAGCTTTGTCATCTTCAGTCTCCTCTTCAGCTCTTGTTGCACTTGTTTGAGTTGTTCTTTGTCAACATCTTTAAAAGCTTTCTTTTTCTGGTAAGGATTGCTTTTATGTCTCTTGTGATCCAGGGTTTGTTCTGTGTCTCTACCGAAGTTGACATATTCAGTAAAGCAGTCAACCTGTTTGTCAGTGTTCATACTATCCACATCTGTTTTCAGCAGCACATTCCAGTCTGTTGATTTCAAACAGTCCCTTAGAGCTTCACTGGCTTGAGGTGTCCATCTTCTGATTTTGACTTTGATCACAGGCTGCCTCAGCACACAAGGTCTGTAACAGGTTTGCAGATAGACCAAGTTATGATCTGATTTGCCCAGTGGTAGTAAGGCAGTGGTTCTGTAGGCTTCTTTGACGTTGGCATACAGCAGATCCAGGGTTTTGTTTTCTTTGGTAGGACAGTTCACAAACTGTGTGAATCCAGTCAGGTGAGAGGAGAGGGCGACATGGTTGAAGTCTCCTGAAATTATTATTATTAGTGCCTCAGGGTGTTGAGTCTGTAGCCTGGCAACACTATTTTGCAAAATATTGCAACATTCTTCAGTTGATTTGGGTGGAATGTAAACAACTACTGTTATGATATGACTAAATTCTCTTGGAACGTAATATGGCCGAAGAGCAACTGCCAACAGTTCAATATCTGGACAACTTCTCCTTGACAGTTATGTGTGAAGGGTTACACCATCTCTGGTTGACAAATAAAGCCAGACCTCCTCCTTTCTTCTTGCCACTAGCTTGAGCATCTCTGTCTCACCTTATGAGAGTGAAGCCAGGTAGATCCAGACTGGAGTCCGAGTTGTTTTGATTCAACCAGGTTTCAGTAAAACACAGGAGACTGCACTCACGGTATGCTTTCTCAGTCTTCACCAAGATCTCCAGCTCATCGCTTTTGTTGGGCAGAGAGTTGACGTTTCCCATGATGATTGATGGAAGAAAGGGTTTATATCGCCACCTCCTAGCATTCAGCTTTGCCTTCACCTTTGCACCAGCACGGCAACCATGATAACACCTCCTGATGTCCTCTGGAATTGTATGTTGTTGTCCAGAGTTGCTTTTCCTCAATGAAAGGAGCTCTTCTCTTGAGTAAACTCTTCGCCCAGCAGAAGTATCCATCAGCAGCCGACAAAATTACAATAATAATATGAAAAAAATCTAGCATAAATTACAAAAATTACAGCTAATATAGAGAGACCAGACTTGCAGCAAAATCTCTGTTCTAGCGCATCATTTGAAATATTGTATTTTTGATACGTTCTATGATTTCAATTGTGTTACATTAATATGACAGAACAAGAGTACATGATTGGTTGCTCATTTGCACTAAAATATCCTGATGTAATGTAATGTGCATCTATTCATTTCATAATGATTAGAGCATTGTATATCCCTGATACTTGATTACACTTGATAAGAAAGTTTAATGATAGTAATAAGTTAAGGAAATCGATGAAGAGGAATATTTTGACTTACGCATTCTGCACTGTGTGCATAGATTGTTTTTTTTGATTTTGTTTTTTTTTTGCCTGACAGGATTGTTTGGGGTCTGAACGTGTTGTTCAGTGTTGTTGCCAGCTTGGAAGTGGACTGTGGAGGAACCACCGTTGCGGTGTGGCCGGCCAATCACCCAGTTGTGTTTGTGTCTGGTTTCTCTGCAAATACACACTTTCAGGCTCTGTAGCTGTTCATAGAGCTTACTGATACTTGCTCAACATTTTAATATAAAATCATACTTTAGTGTGGTAACCATTATACACAACTGTCAGAAGGATGGTTGAACCACACACTGCCAGGTTTATTACAACAGTAACAGTGTTACATAGTTCTGTTGAGTCTGGTTCCATCTGGTCCTGCCTGCTGTGTACTCAGTGCTCCAAACAAGCTTCAGTGGACCAGACTAAATTGGGTTAGGTCAGATTAGGTCACTTCCTCAGTGTGTTGTGAATTTTGGGGATCTTATTGATCTCCACACAATGAGCACTGGTCACAACAAACACTGGCTCCCTGCACTGCCAGGGGGCAAGGCTACATTCAAAACAGACAGCATTTAGATAGTCATCATGCCGCCAGCCAGCCCACATTCCCCTTTCACACACTCTAACACACACAGGGACGCTAAAATACACACAGGAACTAAAGCTGCATCCATAAAACAACAACAACAAAATTTATTTAGATTATTTATTCAAAGCAATCTTGATTAGGTGAAGCGGGGCACCAGTATAAGGACACTATTAGCTGAACTAAAAATCTTACCCTGGTTCAACTTTTACTGTGACACAGCCTCACTGGCACCATGCTGGGCAATCAACTACAGACATATATAGTGCGACCTCCTTCACGGCTTAACAAATGTGAAATTACAGTTTCAAATGTTTCCCTTTTCAAGCTATGACACAGTACTTTCAGAGCTTCACGCTATATTCTGTCATTCTTTACATGTGAACACAATGACCCAGCCCACCCTGGTGTAACATGCACAATGCCCCCCTTAAGAACATAGTGATTATATATTATACACTTGTAGTAGCAGTCTTGTGGACTGGTAGGCACACAAACACAACTACTTTAGAAATAAAATGCAATAAAGTCAGTTCAAAGAAAGAGTAATAAAAAAGGATTTATGTACAGCTAAGTGGTCTTTGAAAGATGTAATGAAATGAATCTCAACAAATTGATTAAAGAATTGATGCTTCAGAGAACTGTTCAGCCTAATAGTTACATTTTTATGTCACAAAGGAAAATAAAGGTTGAAGATTTAAATGTAAGGTTTGATATAACAGTAATTTAAGAAATATGTGTAGTATTTAAGGGGTCTTTTGAGGATTAGGAAGAAGCTAAAACCTGAAAAGCTTGACCTGAGTTAAAGGTGTTAAATGTACTGAAACAAGATGTGGATGACTAGTGTTTAGCTGAACTACATAAACGCAACTGAATTCAGTTTGAGAGGAAAGAATATCAATAGCTTTTTGTGATGTTTAAAATTAGCAGCAAGTGAGCAACAGATAGTCTTAACTAACTTAATAAACTTACCTGGTTAATGCCAACTCCAAAGCTATGATAACAGCAAAAGGCTTGAGGGTGTAAAAAAACAGTGTGTCTTGCATGATGTGTGTGTCTTAGAGCATTTATTAAGCTCATCTCAGTCGGTTGTGTCCTTTACTGCAATAGAGGTTGCCATGGTAACAGATACTGTTGTCTCACTCGTGGGACAGATGAGGCATTTGATTTAGTTTAGATTTAGACCAGCAAAATCCTCTTTTACTTGATTTAAAGCAATGGTGGTAAAGGTGTCAACCCTTTGTTTCGATAAACCAGCTACAATAAACCTGGAGAGACATTTGTAAACTTAGGAGTTAGTTTTCAAGAAGGTGTCTGACATATTTTTAACAAGGTCTTGAGCAACAGGGACTCACCCATTAAGTTAATTTTCATATAATGCATATCACTGAGAGAAAAACAAAAAGGGCTGAAAAATCACTGACTTTAAAACAGCTGAATTTACTTCAAAGTGAAGGGAACTTTTGAAATTTTGAGTGAAGTTTCTTTGATGATCTTTGAGAGGCAGTTGTCCATTAAAACTTGAAACACAGTTATTATGGCTCTCTACATTTTCACAGTTTAAAAAAGTTTAACAGCCAGAATGCATAAAAGATGTGGAGTATTCTGGTGTTCAAAGGGAGTTTCTAGCTGCAGTATGAATAAGTAGGTAAGCTTAGACATAATGTGGTGAACATTTTTTCCCCATTCATTTAGAAATGAGAATTTTCCTGTTTGGAAACCATTAATATTATGGAGCTCATGATACATGCATGAATTTCGTTAGTGTGCTGTACAACATGTATATGGTATTATTACACTAAAAACTATACCCCTTTTTGTTGAGTTGAAGAACTATGTTCAGTTACTGTTTTATGCTGAACATTTACTAATAATTCACAATGCTTTAAAAATAAGTGAGGAAAAATCACAAGCACAAAAACTTCCATTTGAAAGCTATTAATCAAAGGAAAACTTCAGGACTTCTGCACCTATGACTTAGGAAAACACGCATAGGGAAACCAACCGCTGATCATTTTCAAACTCTTATTTCTATAGCCAATGTTTTCTTTTCAGTAATGTACAGCAAATGGCTTCAAAACCCCCACAGTTAATAAGCAGAAGTCTGCCATCTCATGTTCCAACAATCTAAAGAGACCCTCAGTTACAGGTACAGCTACAACTTAGCTAGTGTTTTGAGAACACAAAGTCATTCCACACATACATATCTGAAAACAGACTGACAGAAGAAAGACAGTCTACCATAGATTTGTCTTACGACCACCTGTATGGCACAAACCCCAGTCAGATTACGCATGTAACAACAGGATAACCTACTGTGTGTCACATGTATGGACAAACAGCTTACTTTGGCACTGAAGGTTTGAGGGTCTGTCTTAGCCAATCACAGCTAATGTTTAACATAAATCCTCTAAAACATTAAAACCTTCTTTCCACTATTTTCCAATAAATCTGCAGCAAAATCAGGTATTCTGGTCTGTACCGATAAAAAGACAATGCAAATGAAATCATGGAGGGCCTTCAACTGGGTTAATTTGTTGTCACTACGAAGGTCTCATCATCACCAACATGATTTTGTTTTTATGAAAAGGATCTCTTAGAGCTGATATGGAGTCAGATTTCATGATACACAGTTTGTACAACCTTAAAAAAAATCAAGAACTATTTGGAAACAGATTCCACATTGTTTAACTCTTTCCATATTCATACACTATACTACTGGATTCTTTAACAAGGTGTCATGATGGAGTTTAAGACATAGGCCCGAACTACACGAAGGCGGATATATTTCAAACCGCACATATTTATGTCCGATTAGGCCTCCCTACCACACCAAACCGGGAGTTTGGAGCACTCAAACCGGATAAATCTGAATCCGGAAAAACAAGTGGAGAAATAAAAAAATATCTGTATCCCGTATCCGCAGTGGATTCGTGTGGTCGGACTTTTACGGATCGATGACGTCAAACTGCAGCTCACACATGCGCATTAAAAACAAAAACAATAACAACAACGATATCGGACATACAGGGTATTCTTTACGTTTGTTTTGCCCTTTTGGGGCTAATTTCAGCCTTGCAAGTGAACCTTATTTTATACAATTACATCCACCAGTCAGTTTTTTTAAGCGGCACCAGATAGGATTGAGTTTGAAGGCTACGTGTGGACGCAGATATTTTTTTGAACTAACACGTATGGACAGGTACATTTATTTAGAGGGGAGTACAAAAATATCCAGATAAATAAATATCCGCCTTCATGTAGTTCGGGCCATAGTCAAAAGTATGGGCCCATTTCAGAGAAATAGAGGATAATAATGCTCACTGTATTATCTTTCAACCGGCAAGAGACTGAACTGAGAGACAGAAACATTTTTTCTAATTTTCTCTCGAGGTAGAGAAAGAATTCAACATGTTGAAGATTTGGAATTATGAATCTATAGCATTGTAGCTGCTTGTTGAAAATGTGCAGCTTTGTACTGCCAGGAAACAGGGCTGCTTCAAGTCCAGGTCAGAGGAAACCCAGCAGGGAGTGTTGGTGAGGACAAGGGTTATTAACCAGGACTCTGATTTAGGGGGCAATGTAGATACACTAGTCTCAGATGAGATAAAAGCAAAAGAGGAGTGAGTAAAAAAGGTACTAGATAGGGACAGCATCACTCAGTGCCAACCTCTAGAAGCCTAAAAAGAGGTCACGTTTGGGTCAGAGTCGGGGTGCATGGGGCTAAACTCTCAAAACTAGACATCTAGCTGGCTTTACTTTTTCAGATCCATGCTGAGCTCCTTTGACTTTCCCATTGTAGTGTTTGTGGGTATTTGTATCCAATAAGCCTTATTTAAATGGCCTCAGAGAAGTCACCAGCTGTAGTCACTCATAATCACTCACAAGAAGTAAAGAGGCCTTGCTATGAAGCTCATTTCATTGACACAACTTTCTAAGTCACCAAAATTGCTAATTCATGTTGCTGCATGTATATTTTTGACCCAGCAGATTTTGTCCTTTTTTTCTGTTCACCCATAATAAAGTCATAAAAGAACTAAACTTCATGAGTGTTTTTTCTGTTCCAATCACTCTATCAGAGAAAAATCTGAGTTGTAGAAATAACTGGAAACTCTGTTCTTTACATGTTACATGTTCTTTACAAGTGTATGTAAACTTTTGACCACAACTGTACACACACACACACACACACAAATATATATACAGAAATATAAAACACACATATATACACAAATATATACACATATGTGTTTGTGTGTGCGTGTGTGTGTGTTTTTATAGGTGCTCATATGGTTACTTGCTTGCCTTGACCTAATACTGCGAAGAAAACAAAGAATTTATTGAGTTGTTGTAAATTGTGCTATAATACATAGTCATACGATACTGTCTTTCTAATTCTTGAACAAAAAAAAACAGCAAACAATGACAGGCTTCATGGTGGGGGAGACATCATGTACACCACGACAAGCAGCTGTCTTGACTGAAAGCATCCTTAACATGGTCATCAGTGACATGAGGCCCCTGTCGATGGTTAAAGACAAAAGGCTTGACTATAATGATCCGCACCTTTAATCCAGGTTACACGCTTCACTTGAGGACAAATTTTAAAAAAGCTCATGGAGAGAAAATAAAAAAGGATTTTCAAGGAAGTGAAGACTGCAATTAACACAAACCACAGCGCACTTGCTCTTACTGCTGATGTATGGACAAGTGTAGCCAATGAAGCCTATCTTGCTGTTACCTGCCACTTCATCACAGATAACTGGGACATGCAGTCAATCTGCCTCACCACCATGCCACTGCAGGACAGACATACTGCATCTAGCATCGCACAGTGGTTGAAGGAGGTAGTAGCTAGGTTTGACATTCCTCCTTGTAAAACCATCACCATAGTGCATGACAATGGTGCCAATGTTGTGGCTGCAGCAAACATCCTGGTGGAGAAGCATGGATGGTCCTCTGTGCGTTGCACTGGCCAAACTTGCTTGTGATCAATGCTGCGTTGAAGCGACCAAGCATTGAAAAAGCTATCTGGGATGTGAGATGTCTGGTTGAGCATTTTAAGAAAAGCAAGCTGGCCTGAACTAAGCTAAAAGAGAAACAACAAACGGCCACACCTGAGCACAGCCTTGTTCAAGACATTAGCACTAGATGGAATAGTACACTCTATATGATAAGCTGACTTCTTGAGCAAGGGTTGCCTGGAACAGCAATGTTGTCTGACAGCTCTGTCACACAGAAAGGCAAAAGGTACATGGATTTAAAACCAGAACAGTGGAGCCTGCTGGAAGAGCTTTCAGCAGCTCTCAAACCTTTTGAATGTGCCACTGTGTTCATGAGTGGACAGAAATACACAACAATATTTGCCATAGCTCCACTTGTGAAGGGGCTATTGAAGTCCAACCAGAGTGCTGCCTTTGAGTCAGCCTGGCTCCGGGCTTTCTAACTCACTGCTACAGAGAGGGGAGACCGCCTTATCAGATACAGCACCTGACACAGTGATTCCTGAAATGGCCCTTGGCCCAAGGTTTAGAAGACTAAAGTTTCAATCACCTGCTGAAGTCCTACATGTCCAAACTTAAGTGCTATCAATGGCACTTGCAGGGAAAAGGGAGCTAATGTGCAGCAGGTCAGCAGTTGCAGTAGCTTCTGCACAGATACTCCAGCAGCTGAATCAACACCTCCTGCCACCCTGCTGGATTCACTCCTTAGTTCTGATGGTGAAGATGAGGACAGAGCAAGCAAAGGGGAGGATGTTCAAAACCAAGTGAAAAATGAAGTCCTCGCAAACTTGGTAGAAAAGAACCATGCCAAGAAAGAAAATGTATTGCAGTGGTTAAAGGCTAACAGAGACAGATATCAAAAATTGACCGGGCTAGCCAAGTCCTACTTATGCATTCTTGGTACTTCGATACCATCTGGGCGTTTGTTCTGTGCAGAAGGACACAGCCGCCAAAAAAAGAGCCAGCCACAGCCAGGGGCATGTTGACATGCTAACATCTTTGCATTGCAATGCAAAGTTACTGAAGAAAGTGAGTGACTGAGTAAGTGACTGAGTGAGTGAGTGAGTGAGTATTAGGGCTGCACGATATATTGTTTGAGCATGTCAATGTACGTGTGCGCGATAGTCACATTGCAGAGCCTGCAATGTCGGAGGCGAATGAACTCATCTATTTTCAAGGTTAGCTGACTGACATACAGTGCATGTAGACTCTGCATGTGCTGTGCAGTGATACACCAATCACATTCATTCTTTACTCAGTTGCCGAGCAGACTACCCTGCTAGCTGTAATTTAAATCAGAGGGAAGGAAACCACGCCCCTGCACATGGCCTGCACATGGAGCTGCTGCTGCTGGTGCTGCCGTGTTGTGCCGAGAAACGTATGCCCGCCAAATATGAAATGTATGTGTTTTAAGTCATTCATTTCCGTGGACCACTCTACTATAAGCTGTGTGCATTTCTGCGAGGTGTATGCAATTCTCAGCTGACATGCGTTTCTCGGCGCAACACCAGTAACAACATCAATGATTGCAAAATGAGCAACGAACAAGAAAAAAAAAGACCTGTTGCCAAAAAGAAAAGCGACATCATTTATCTGGAATTAATTCGGTAACAAGAAAGATGATGTCAACCAAACATGTCTTCTGTGTCGGCATTGCCTTTCATCTATTGCCACGTGAGATAACAAGTCCCAGCACATTAAAAGTAAGCTAAAAAATATCTCTAAGACAGACAGAGCCTATTCCACTAACATTCACAAAAAGAGGTAAGATCAGTGTGCAGCGGTGCTCGCGATCGCCGAGTATTAGCATTAGGAGAGCTATAGTTGGTGATTACACAGCTGATTAATTAGCGAGTTATAGGACAAATAAAAGCACAAAACTGATGCTTCAACTTCGAGCTAACTGCTTTAACCCTTGTACCTTCTTTCCTCAGAATCCCTAATCTGGTATTAGTGGCACGGAACTGCCACTGTCACTTAGTGGCCTATAAAATCATCTATAAATGAAAAGTTGCCCTTTTCTTATTATGGCTGTCATTATTGACTTCTGCTCTAACCACTCAAAAGAAAAAATCACTCGGTTTCAAACTTTTAACCCCTTTAATTTTAGTGTAAACACACCGTAAAAAATGCCAAAAATTTTAAAAAGTGGTAAAAACATTAAAAGAGTAATGCAAAATCAAATTTCTTTGTGCAAGATTATCAGAACCTATGAGTGGTATAAGTATGTGTAAAAATAGTTTTAGTTGCAGTTTCAGTTTTTGTGTCACAGCAGAAAATAAAAAAAAACGACTAATCTGGTATTAGTGGCAGGGAACTGCCACTGTCACTTAGTGGCCTATAAAATCATCTACAAATGAAAAGTTGCCCTTTTTTTTTCATGGCTGTCATCAGTGACTTCTGCTCTAACCACTCAAAAGAAAAAATCACTCAGTTTCAAACTTTTAACCCCTTTTACACGTGTGTGTGTGTGTGTGTGCTTGCGCTCAGTGGAGCTAGTGAAGCGAGCTAACCTGACTCCGCCACGTGGTGGCGATCGCTGTGTGTGTAAGTGTGTGTGTGTGCGTGTGTGGAGTGTGTGTGTGGGGTGTGTGTGTGTGTTTGTGCTTGCTTACGATCGGCGGAGCTGAGGGAAGGTATCTCCAGAACAGGTAGCGGCACAGTAATTAGTATGAGATACGTCGGACTGCCGGATGCAAAACCCCATTAACCGGAAGAAGAAGAGGTCGGCCACCACCTCCAGAGCAGCCAGCGGCTCCCCGCCTTTGCTGACGCGGGCCTAAGGCTATCTGATCACGGGTAACGGGGCGGCTGTACCCCGGGCAACCTCGGACGCTTGGGGCGCATGTGCCATGAACGCAATCGCTGGCTGTGACGAGCGCGCGCAAGATCATGCGCGTGCACAAACATTTGCACACGAACACACACGACCATGCACACACGGAAAACACTAACACATAAAAAAAAATACATGCACACCTGATTTATTCACTTCTACAGTCTACTTTTGTTTTTTTGCAAAAAATGGCCTCTCACTGAGGGTCAATAACGGATATGAAAACAAATGAAATTTCAGCATTCATGATTTGAAAAAGTTGGATTGGAAATAGACTCAAAATAAAATGCAAAAAAATGGGGGGAAAAATCTGATTTGAACTCTTGTGGCAGTATATTATAAACAGGTAGCAGATTTTCCTTCCAAAAGACTGCATCTATCATAGGCTGTAGTTTGCGGGTGTGTCAAACTGACCAAAATGGTAAAAAAAACGAAAAAACACCAGAATAACAAATTTGAGACAGATTCATGCCCAAATAAAGTAAAATGGTAAAAATAAGATAAAAAATTGCTTAATTTTATTAGTGATAAAATTATGTGCATTTTTTGATTTTTGAATATTGTAATTTTTGCCAAATTCCCATAAGGAATAATGGGGTTTTGACCACTTGGCTAGATCAGCCTCTATTATTCATGAAAAAAAAGGGGCACCTTGTGCACAGTGCATCTTTAATGTCTTCTGAAAAGGGGGAAAACAGTCTTTGCTGAAATTCATTTTTTCCCACTGATATGGGTATATGTAAAAGACAAGTGGTTTCCCATTGGAATGCATGTGGCACTTGTGTGACGCTAATGCAAGATTAAGCATATTTGAAAAAAAAACACATAACCATAGGGTTTTTTTTCTTCAATTTCACGTATATCATGCCTCATCACAAAATACACATTTTCTAGGAATTTCTTTGCAAGGGCATTAATAGAAAAAAAGTTGTAGCATCAAAGAGAAGGCCTTACCCCTCCAGAAACCTTAAGAAGGTACAAGGGTTAAGTGAATGAATTAGATATGGGATGCAGGGCGTATGATGAAGCATCCACTGTGGCGTTTGCTGCACCAGCGATGGGTTATTTGATTGGCAGGTCACTGCATGTCTCCTTGAATGAAAGCAACGCGATCTTGGCAATGTGAACGAAGAAGAACACAGATATTGATTTAAAGGAGCTGCTCATAGATCATGCTAAAGTGGGGTTGAAATCGACCCCATTAGGTGAAGCTCGTTTGCCGTCCAGGCTTCCACCGTTACCTGAAGTGGCCATTGTCTACGTCATCATGCAACGCGTTGGCGCTTATTTTTTGCATAGACAAATTTTTGTAGTCGATTACATCAATGAATCGCCCCAGCCCTATAATGGATTTATCAATAATCGAAAAAACATTTCGCAAATTAATCGATTATTCAAGTAATTGCTAGTTTGGTTGTTACAATACCTCTAATCTAACAAATAATATACAACACTGAAAAATTAGGTACCAGCAAATGACTAAATATTGAATTGAATCTAGGTCAGAGGTCAGGATAAGTTTGTAGTCTCTGTAAATGTTCAAAGTTAGTTGAACATCTGATGATGCTGTGCCTGTTTTGTGAACGCTGAGACAGAGGTGCAGATTCAACTTTTGTTGGTTGTATCTATAGAGACTGAGAGAAAATTGCCAGCCCAATTTCCAACCACTGGTGAAGAAGCAAAGGCTTCAATGGAGCCTTTCAACTTGTGTGATAGCAGGTAAACAAGAGAGAAATGAGCCATGAGTCTGATTCTCTGTGGCAATCTTATCATTTCTAACAAGGTCTTTAGTTTCTCTCAAATGCTACTTATCATCAAAGACAATAATCCAATTTATCCCTCACAGAAGTCACATTCCTAAGAGTTAAATGTCATGTGATAAGTTACCATCCTTCATATCCACTGAAGCCTGTCCTGCAGTCAGAGTATCTAGGTTCATTCTCTCAACTTTTACTGCATCTATGCAAAACAGCCTTAAGGCTGTGGCGATAATAATATTTTCCAAACTCAGGAAAAGGGGTGAAGTTTTTAAGACTAACCAAATTTGAGAAATTTCCTGTTGCAGCATGGTTACTAAAATCCCCAGTCGCCTCAAAATAAGTTCCTTAAACTCATTATTTGAGTAAATTCCAACCAAATCTCAGCTGGTTTGTGAAACAAATCTGTCGCCATCTGTTGTGTGGTGACATTTTAGTGATGGTATAGGACTACTGTGGTATACAACAAAAATTTAATGCTCAACTTAAATAAAAGACAAGGGTGTATTTTCAGGCCTGTGCTTTGCAAAAGGGAATAAAACACACGTAAAAAGTTATGCAATGTTTTGATTTGATATAGCATAGGACCATTATGCTCATTACAGTGATATCTGCAGTTACTTGTGCATTTCTTATTCAATATCCGTGGAACACATCTGCCTTGCTTCCTGCTTTACAACAATAAAAGGTGCAGAATATACAACAAGCAAACTGTGCTCCCAGCAGAAATTACGCCCTGTAAGGATCACCGTCAGGATTCAAGCAAGGAGTCAGGCAAAGTAAAATGTTGATTCACTGCAGTCACTTGATAAAGACAAAAGACATCACATCCAACTGAGCCCTACACTGTGTCTTACGGATAGAGGGCAGACAGACGGTGGTAGCTGGATCACTGTCTGCTGGCTGTCTAGGAAAACAAAAACACTTTTCTCTCCTCACAGCCACCACATTGACCAGTGAAATCCCCAGTTTCAAAAAGACTGAATGCTGAGTTTACCACAAAAGCCTATTAAATAGGAGCAAAAAAAGTTTGTCAATTGTGTCTGTGTCATGAAAATATTTTAACAAGTTACCAACACATTAAATAGTTTAAACAAATAGACTGGAAGATTAAATTAAATCTCTTACCCATCCTCTTCCCCGTCAACAGCCTTGAGACCAGCTGATGCAGTTAAGGCACTGACAGTAGCAGCGCTGGCCTCCGCCTCTAGACTCTGGCCAGTGTTGGATCCAGATTCAGTTTCCCCTCCAGACAGCTTGGGTAGCCCCAGCAGAGCTGACTGGTGCTGGAGGAGCAACCGCTGTGCGTCCTGCAGCTGAGTTGTGGTAAAAGTGGGCAGACTAGCGTAGAGGGCACTGGCCTGTGCAGCATGAGCCAGGGCCTGGGCACTGTTGTGGTCCTGGGACAAACTGATGCTAGATGGTTGGCTGTGAGGAACACCCTGTGGAAGTATCCTACTGCCATTTCCAGTGTTGTGGGGATCACTCTGAGGGTTGGGAGGGAGAACACTTGGTGCAGACACTTGACTCTGGTGAACTGCTGTAGACAGCTGGGCTCCCAGGCCCAGGTTTTGGTTTTGTGTTGGGAGAGACTGTAGCCTCTGCTGCTGGCAATCTAAGTGACTGGGCTGGCTCTGAGGTTGTTGGCCGAGACCAGACACTCCAACAGGAGATGGCATGCTGGAGTTAGTGGCCTGGTGGGAGGAGGGCTGCTGGGGCTGTGTGTGTGGCAGTGTCTGTGATTGCTGCAGAGCCCCAACCATTTGACATGCTCCGTTAGCTGGCCCAGAGGGCGCTGGTCCAGCTTGGTTGGATAGAGAATGAGGGTTGGCAGCCTGGGAGATACCTTGGTGAGCCTGGGTATACTCAGATGGCCTCACATGCACCGGAGCTGCTTGAGGGGCAGCAGCAGGTTGCTGTGACATTGAGGAGTAGCTCATCTTCTGCTGCTGAACCCCCACTAGACTATGTGTGGAGCCTGTAGATTGATTTGCAACTGCCTGGGCATAGGTGAGCTGCTGGTGCACAGCAGGTGCTGAGAGTCCAAGTGTATTCTGGTGTCCTGGCATGGGAGTAGGATGATTAACATTTGTGGAAGCTGAGGGAGCCACTGTTGTCTTAATATGTGAATGGGTAACATCTTGGAGGTGTTTGTGAGGTTGGGTTTGGGATACTCCGATACTCAGGCCACTGGGTGGGATTCCTTGAAAACCCTGGGGAGGGGAGACAAAATCCTGGGTATTTTGGGGTGCCCCAGCTTCTCCACTACAAACACTTTCAGTGTAATGGCTCAAAGTACTCATGGTGCTACTCACAGAACTACTAGTTGTGCTTTCCCTCTCAGAGGCCCCAGCAAAGCTCTCAGAGGGAAACTGGCGCATGCTGAGAGACCCAGTATCAGATGCAGAGGAGCTGGGGGCAGAGACTGGAGTCTCCTTGTCATAGAATTCAGTGCACGTCCATCTGCCCTTCTTAAAAGGCTCTGAGCTAGAGTCCAACTTCACCACCCTGAAACGAGAACTGGTGGTTGCCACTGCAGGGGTTGTAGGTGGGCCAGGATGAGCAGGGTTTGATAGTACAGGAGCGGTGGCTACAGCTGCAACAGGGGCACTCACAGCCTGTTGCACAGCAGATCCAACTTTACCCTGGATCCCACTGGCGAGTCCCAGTTCTCCAGAGGCACTGACAGCAACAGTAGTTGTGGTAGTCATGGAGATTGAGTTGATGTTCTGCTGTTGTTGAATAGTGCTGACATTAGTGGTAATAATGTTGCCCCCGGCTGCAACAGCACCACCTCCACTCCCCCCACTGCTGCTTATCACATTGAGAGGAAAGCCACCACTGCTACTGCTAGCACTCAGGCTGATCCCCCCTTTCACAGACACACTGGCAGAGCTCACCATATTCACATTACTAACACTGCTGGTCTGGGGATTAACTATGCTAACTGTAGTGCCCGTAGTAGAGTGGTGCATTCCAGGGACAGATCCTGGGGCCACAACTCCCACAGACTGGGCGACAATACTTGGAAGGGCAGCCTGGGAAACATTCTCTTGAGGGACCCCCATGTTAGAAGGCATTTTCTGGGTGACAGAATTGAGGGCAGCTGGAGTGCTCCCCGGTCCAGAAGGTTGTGGATAGATATGACCATGGTGAGGATGATGGGGATGTTGATGTTGATGATGATGATGCACGGTCCCATTGACCATGGCCCCACTTTGGTGTTGGGTCTGGTTTAGGGCATGAGGTTGTGAAGGCTGGTTTGGGGAGACTGCTCCAGGGGTCTCTGCTTCATGGAAATTATTCAGTGTCTCTTCTGAAGAACTTCTCTCTGCACCCACCAGATCATTGGCCCGGGACAGGGAAACATCCAGGATTTCAGACGAAGAGAGATCCTCTGTGTGGGACTCATCCAGATCATCATAGCTTTCTGTATCCTCTGCAATACTGTTATTGGTACTCACAGATATTTGGGCTGGAGTTACACTTGTGATCTGAAAACCACTCTTCTTTTTGATTTGAGCTCCAGCTGACTGTGTTGCCTGGGACTGGGAAAGCAAATTCAGGCTGTGGGGTGGAATATGATGGGGATTTGGGGAGGATGAACCAGCAGGAGGTTGGCACTGGATCAACAGGGAGTGTTGATAATCATCAGCAGGGACGTGGCTGTTGTTGACCACCTGATCTGCCGGCGTGGACAACGTGGAGCCGCTCCCGCTGCTTGTGTTGCTACCCCTTCTATGAAAGACAGCCGGTTGCGCCATCTTTCTAACACTGCCAGAGTCTGCTGCAGGGTCCGGATGATGCATTTCGAGAGAGTCCGGAGTGTAGTTGGTCTCTGACAGTATGCAATATGCTTGCAGTTTGTTAAGGGCGCCGTTTTGCCAAAACTACGGTCAACAGACAACACGAACACAAAAATAAATAGCTCCACTAAGTGCAGGATGCTGACGATAGAGAGGCTCGTTTTTCAGTATTTATGGCCTCTCATACACTGATCAATATTCCCCGGTGACAGTTGGCAAGCCTAAAGAAGCTAGCAGCCGCTTACTAATGTTAGCAAGTTATCGTCAGCTGATGCCCGATGTAATTCACCGGCTAACTCCCAGTGTTATCTGTTAATGCCTCTGTGAAGTAGACACGAGTTTATTTCCGGGCTCTTTCAATCCTGTAATGACTAACTTGTCTCAAAAGCAGGAATAGCTGCAGTGTAAGTTAGCGTTACATTAGAAGCTAGCCTAAAACAAGAGTAACGTCAGCCAGTTAGCTGCCAGTCTCCATCCCCGGCTAACTAAACACAGGCTGTAGAGAGGCGATTTAGCTGCTGGATTTGCTTAAAGAAAAAGAAATGGAACAAGCAACCTTCGATCCAGTGCCCATAGATGCAGAACCAAATACGATGTTAAAGCTGCGCACAAAGGTTTAATCCATTCCACCGAATCCTCGTTTTGGTCTTGGTTTTGCTGTATCACTGGTCCTCCCCAGCGGTAGCGTTGTTCAGTATGAAGCCCCCTGCACCGCCTCTGTGGCTCTGTGCTGTGACGGTGCCAAAGGGGAGGGGTGGTCCGAAATATGGCGTCCGCGCATGGTCTCTACCATAGACATAATAAAGGGTAGACCCCGCTGGGGGTGCTGCGCAGCGAGAAATGCGGCCGCCATCTTGGTCAGGTCAAGCCTCCCATACGCTCCGGTCAATCATATTCATTCATTCATTCATTCAGCGATGCCGGAGCACTGTGCGGCGTATTCCTGTGCCAACAGGCGGACAGCAGAGAACAGGGCTCAAGGAATAACTTTTCACAGTTATGATTAAACCTTTTTTCAACATTACACTTGACTGTAGAGTCATTTGTAGGCCAAAGAGGAAGACTATCGGTCAACTCCAAAAAGGAAACAGCATTTGCGAACAGCTAGCTTATTCACAATAATAGCAACTTTGCTCTGTTATCAACAGATTTGCATTAGATTGAAAAACTTTTGTTTGAGAGAGGTTCTAAGAAACGTTAAGAAATAAAATAGAAAGAAGAAGGAAGAAAGTGAGGTCTGTTTTATTATTTGTTTTATTAAAGATTTCTTTGTGGTGATCTCCTGTTTCATTTTGAAGATTTCCTAAGGACAAAAACTTGAGGAAGAAGTGGGAGATTGCTGTTAGAGGGAGAAATTCACAGCAAGTGATTCCTCTGTGCTATGTAGCCAACAAGCAAATTGATATGTAGCTTAGATGCTGTCCTGTCATGCTGTTCTTGTGTTTAAATTGTTTTGATATGTAGGCTATATATTTGTGTGTATTTCTTTGTGTGTATTTTCCAGTTATTAAAATAGTACTTCTATATGACATTATTTGTGTGTGTCTACAAATGGATAAACAAAATTTAACTAAATAAAACATAATCAAATCAATATATATTGAATTGGCCTATTAAAACCGCCAGTTATTAATAATTATTGAGACATAGCAGGAACCTAGCTCTAAACCTAGATATATCCTTGATTAATTGTTATACTATAATACAGCCACTGCTGCCATGTTCTAAAATATCATTTTATTCATTCTGAGTATTTGAAAACGCCAAAAAAATATGGCCTTTATCATGCCTCTTTGAATGGCATTTGCAGAAAAGAAAATTACGTAGTATTGAGCGAACTATGATTCATTTAATGCGCTCAGACTTCATTCCGCCGGTTAAACAGCGGTGCAGAGTAAGGCGGATGACCGGACCAAGATGGCGGCCGCATTTCTCGACAGCGCCCATTCGTGGTAGCGGCCGATGCGGGGTCTATCTTTTATTATGTCTATGGTCTCTACTGCCAGACATAAAGCAGTCTGGGAGAGGCTGTGACGAGTGCTCTCTCAACACGAAGGGAAAGAGCCGGAAAGTGCCGAGGGGACGGCGCTCCTTCGAAAGCCTTACAGACAGGCTTGTTGGAAGGTTAGATTAGATTAGATTAGATTAGATAAAATAGATAGATAGATAGATAGATAGATAGATAGATAGATAGATAGATAGATAGATAGATAGATAGAAAATACGCCTCATTTTACATATTAGACACCCCATTGAAGTTAAATCATTAACCCACCAGTATTGTTATCACTCAAAGTTACATCATCATTGTGGTCATTTCTTATATAGTGCATATTAGACTCTCTAATGACGGTGGCAGAGAGGAGGATGTTTTCTCAAAGGGGGTGCTGCGGCACCCTGGGTTTTATATAAGACTTTATGGATAACTATCTAAATACATTCTTTTAATATGCACGATTAGATAAATAATTCAACTCATTTTAGGTAAATAAATATATAATATAAAATCAATCACCAAAATCTGTCCCAGTTGCCCATTGTCAATAATGTGTGACAACGTTAATTGCCCAGTCTACCAGGGTCTGCGCAAGGTCTTACTGCACAGCGCATCGTTTTATCATTTAACTGCGAAAATTTTGATTTCTCAAAGAGCAAGGAATAAGCGACAGCATCATGGACTGTTTCCTAAAAAGAAAAGCCCCACAAGAACCGAACTTCATTGACAATAAAACGGAGCCTCAGCCTACTACTTCACTTGAGCTTTCGTCCGCCTGCTCTGACTCTGCACCAAAGGGCGCAAAGGTAGGCGACATGTACAGTGCCTTGCGAAAGTATCTGGCCCCCTTGAACCTTTCAACCTTTCGCCACATTTCAGGCTTCAAACATAAAGATATAGAATTTTAATATTTTGTCAAGAATCAACAACAAGTGGGACACAATCGTGAAGTGGAACAAAATTTATTGGATAATTTAAACTTTTTTAACAAATAAAAAACTGAAAAGTGGGGCGTGCAATATTATTCGGCCCCTGTTACTTTCAGTGCAGCAAACTCACTCCAGAAGTTCAGTGAGGATCTCTGAATGATCAAATGTTGTCCTGAATGACTGATGATGATAAATAGAATCCACCTGTGTGTAATCAAGTCTCTGTTTAAATGCACCTGCTCTGTGATAGTCTCATGGTTCTGTTTAAAGCGCAGAGTCATCATGAAGACCAAGGAACACACCAGGCAGGTCCAAGATACTGTTGTGGAGAAGTTTAAAACCGGATTTGGATACAAAAAGATTTCCCAAGCTTTAAACATCTCAAGGAGCACTGTGCAAGCAATCGTATTGAAATGGAAGGAGTATCAGACCACTGCAAATCTACCAAGACCCGGCCGTCCCTCCAAACTTTCATCTCAAACAAGGAGAAGATTGATCAGAGATGCAGCCAAGAGGCCCATGATCACTCTGGATGAACTGCAGAGATCTACAGCTGAGGTGGGAGAGTCTGTCCATAGGACAACAATCAGTCGAACACTGCACAAATCTGGCCTTTATGGAAGAGTGGCAAGAAGAAAGCCATTTCTCAAAGATATCCATAAAAAGTCTCGTTTAAAGTTTGCCACAAGCCACCTGGGAGACGCACCAAACATGTGGAAGAAGGTGCTCTGGTCAGATGAAACCAAAATTGAACTTTTTGGCCACAATGCAAAACGATATGTTTGGCGTAAAAGCAACACAGCTCATCACCCTGAACACACCATCCCCACTGTCAAACATGGTGGTGGCAGCATCATGGTTTGGGCCTGCTTTTCTTCAGCAGGGACAGGGAAGATGGTTAAAATTGATGGGAAGATGGATGGAGCCAAATACAGGACCATTCTAGAAGAAAACCTGTTGGAGTCTGCAAAAGACCTGAGACTGGGACGGAGATTTATCTTCCAACAGGACAATGATCCAAAACATAAAGCCAAATCTACAATGGAATGGTTCACAAATAAACGTGTCCAGGTGTTAGAATGGCCAAGTCAAAGTCCAGACCTGAATCCAATCGAGAATCTGTGGAAAGAGCTGAAGACTGCTGTTCACAAACGCTCTCCATCCAACATCACTGAGCTTGAGCTGTTTTGCAAGGAAGAATGGGCAAGAATTTCAGTCTCTCGATGTGCAAAACTGATAGAGACATACCCCAAGCGACTTGCAGCTGTAATTGCAGCAAAAGGTGGCGCTACAAAGTATTAACGCAAGGGGGCCGAATAATATTGCACGCCCCACTTTTCAGGGTTTTTTTTGTTAAAAAAGTTTAAATTATCCAATAAATTTTGTTCCACTTCACGATTGTGTCCCACTTGTTGTTGATTCTTGACAAAAAATTAGAATTTTATATCTTTATGTTTGAAGCCTGAAATGTGGCGAAAGGTTGAAAGGTTCAAGGGGGCCGAATACTTTCGCAAGGCACTGTAAGTGTGAGCGTGAGCCTGCGCACGGCGTGCATGTAGACCTATCTCTCCTCCTCTCATTGCGGACTTGTGTGTGTGTGTGTGTGTGTGTGTGTGGATGGATGGATGGAAAGAAAAATTCATCCTTTTTTATATTAGTTTGTATTATGCTCTGTTTATTAGTTGAAGAGGACTATGGACAAACTGGACATTATGGATGATGCCAGTCACCTCTGCACACCGTCATCATCAACCAAAGGAGCCCGTTCAGTGACAGACTGCTCCTTCCCAAGTGCTGGACTGACAGACTGAAAATCTCCAGACTGCACAACTCCTCTCTGGGGATGAGAAGGAGGAGGAGGAGGGGTAACAAGAGGACAGAGGATGGGAAGGAGCATCAGCAGCAGTATTAGTAGTAGTAATATGCAAATGTCTATAGCTTTATATCTTACTTTTTGTCCATAAATACTTACTTTATTTGAAGTTTTATTATATTTTATTCTTTATAGATATGTATTAAATTTTTCTTACTTATTTGACCATTCTGTTTTCTTTTCTTTTCTTTACACACTGTACATCATTTCCATATGTAATCTTGAAGTCTGTTACTTTGCAAGGGGGCTAGGTGTCAGATGAGGTGGCAGACAGTGGTGAAGAAAAAACTTTTTTCCACCTTCTGTACAATAAATATTAACAGTGAGTAATATGTTACACATACTAATACTCACTCAAGGGTCGGAATCAGCAAATGTGATCAAGGTATCACTTTACCAAAATATACCCGAACAAAAAGTTTCTCCCAAAAGCTTTAAGTCGGTGAGGGTATGCAATCATTGCTCATACCATTTTAAAATTAATGTAATGTTTTAAGGAGGTGTTTCTCATTTTCATGTAAAGATCTCAAAAAGCTGATTATTCCAGAGCTAAAGGATGTTAATCAACATAAGTGAAAATTTGCAGTTATTTTAAAAAGCTTGAAAGTAAACTATCCATTAATTAACAACTTCTGAACACAATAACACTGCATCTGTGATGTTGATCATAACAATGTTTCTGCAACAAAAGTAGAAAAAAAAAACTGCCAGATCTCTCTGCAGACACAGGTGCTAACTACACTGAAAGATTATTCCACACACAGGTTTGGGCCTCCCTCTCTCTCTCTCTGTCTCTCTCTCGATGTACGTTAGAGGGTGGGAGGCTGAGAGAAATTGTTTTGTACATTTGTGTGCACTCCATGTGTTATTGAACCCGGGTTTAAAATAGGTCATTTATTTCATTCTTCTGTGTCCCTGTCTTTTCTGTTAATCTCAGAATTAAGAGATTATTTTACATCAAAACCTTTTCATTTTTTCATCTCCATCTCTTTTACTTGATTTCTTTTGCTTTTCTAAATTACTTAACCATAGATAGGCTTACGGCTGTATACCACATTTACAGGGCACATGCATTGTGGCACATATTTTTACCATTACAAAGAATTTGATCTCAAATTCCCTTACCTGTAATGTCTGATGAGTATGATTTTTTGTGCTTTATATATGAACTTACCTGGCTTAACTGGACATCTATACATATTACCCTGAATCGATCCGCTCTAGTTTTACCAAACATGTGGAATGTATTCTGCTCCACATTAGCAAAAAAAAAATGTCAGTATAACTGTATTTACCCAAGACAAACTATAAAAAATAACTTAATAATAATAACTTCACAAGCGATATTTTCTGTTTTTATTAATGTAAACATAAATCAGAGGGAAGGGGATGAGCTTTCAGAGAAAGGGAAAGGGCAGACCTGTGAAGAGAGCAGAAGAGCAAGACGGGAGAGCAGAAAAGTAATGACTGACTGTCAGGCAGGCAGACAGGCCATATACATAAATACAAATGATGGAGGACGAGAGACAGCAGGACCCTAGTGCAGTGTAAGCGTCTGGTGTTGTCAGCAGCTTTAAATCACACTGGCACTCCAAAAACACACACACACACACACACACACACACACACACACACACACACACAAACAAAAAACAGCACTATTGTGTTGCTCGACCAATAAACAATTTATACCCTGGACTCTGCTTTCACCTTTTTTTTCCTGTAATAGTCCACACAGTGCATCAAAGACATTGAAGTGAAAATGATCGTTAATAATACATTTGTGCCCAAACAATAATAAATCTTTGATTATCATTCAGGCATTTATGCATCTCAGTGTTTCCACTGTATTTCTTGAGTTCTAATGTGTATTTTCACACCATAGACTGTATATACTACGGACAACTTGGCTCTGCCTTCCCTCATTATATGAATTTGAAGCCGAATTGCTCTCAGTATTTCTGGGATTTTCTCCACTTCCTGGAACCACCACTTGCGCAGTAGCATTGTACAAATTCAGCGGGAGAGTCACTGTGATGACGCCCTACTCAAACAGCGTATCCCCCTGGGTGAACTACACAATCTTCGTACGCCCATAGGCTGTGTCAAGAGTCAATCATAGAATACATGAACCTCCTAATAACTTTTAAAAATGGAGCTGCACAGAAAAAAGAGGACTTGAGCACACACTTCACTCAGTGAGGAGGCAGACGGTGTCCATTCTACATACAGTCCATGGTTCACACACCTGGGATTTTTAAACATCATTCCCCTCAGTCTATCTAACTGGCCTTCTCTAGGCAACAGCAAACAATGACTACTTTAGTGAACCGTAGACTTCTCTTGTAGGAGTAATTGTAGAGTTTCATGCATGAAAGGGGTAGTTTGGTGTATGACAGTAGGGTTGTGTGAGGCACTTGTTGATAAGAATTGTGTTAGCCATGGGGATGTCAGTTGACTCAGCCCTTTTGTTGAAAATCTAGCTGGAAAACCATTATGGAAGTGATGCTACACTGTAAAAAAGGATTGTAGGTTTTAGCTACCTCAGCTTATTTTCTTAAGTCAGTTCAACTTGACAGTTTTACTTAAAATATCAAGTATAACAGTGTCCAACTTATCAGTATGACCAGACTAGTTCAGGTAAAATAGATTTCCTTGTTGATGCAACTAGATGTAAGTACAGTCCCTGCAAAAATGCACAGAAAACCCCTTACAGTCACCAGAGGGACAACTGCCTCCATGCTATGTGCTGCAAGAGACACTTGGTTTGGATCAGTCATCCCAAAGGTAAGAACTTACTTTTAATGTGTTTGATTTTTTTATTTTTTTTTTAAAGCTAATTAAATTTTTGTTGAAAAAGTACTTTTGGCCTTCCATATCACCTGACGGAGGATTTCATCCGTGTTTGCAAGGTGTGTAAGTAAATTTCAATGTGTCAAAACTGACGCGTATGTAAAGAACAATAAAATATAAGTGGTCCATTTTTAAATCTTTTTTCAATCATACATTACTTGGCTGTTTAATTACTAGGTTAAACAGATCATAGAACTGCTCTGAAATGAGAGAGGAAAAAAGAGATTTTCACATTTTCAATCCCGCTGAATGCAGCACCAGGTGGGGGGTGGTGCAGGTGGTGGGGGGTCTGTAAAGTACAGTGAAATACATCAAGTCATATCTTATTTTGAAGATTATGGCTGAGAGCATCATGAAAATCAGGAATAAAGTTTCTCAATTCAGTTACTGTATCAACCAAGAAGGAAGATCACAGAGAGTGGCTGTTGTTAGTTACAGAGAAGAATATAACAAACTCCTCTGGCCAGGCTCACTGCAGTTTTGAGAAAAGTGCCACCCAGTACAGAAATATTTCTCTTGAGCGCTTCTTGTATGGACATGACATGGTTATATCTGTAAAATAAGCTACACTGGGCTAAAGCCACACATGCATTTGACAGGGTAAATTATTTGTTTGCTTTTATTAAACTAGAGTCTAATTCCTGAAAGCTAAGTACCAGGCATAAGTTTTTGGATTTGTTTCTGGACTTTGCAACGAGGATGCATACTACCACCAGACTAATATTTATGTGTATTGTTATAATTATTGAATAATGTCAATAGTAGGACTGACCCATTTGTGTAAAGTGGCATACTAACCCTTGATACAACGTAGAATGTTTCACAATGCTACCCTTATTTTAATAGTGTCTGTCCAAAATTAAGACTCAAAACTTGCCTTAAAGCTGGATCAATAACTGAATTCAATGACTGAATGAATTCTTTGAAATGTTTTTCAGACCACAAGTTCAGAGGAGGAGAATACAAAAGGAGTAGATGTAGGCCTTCACATCATTCCAGAGGGAGGTGGCAGCAAGCAAGGTTCTGGAGAAAGTGATTGTGGGTGTTGCTGTGCCTTCACCTGACTCATGGGTGTTCTCTACTGCCTCAACATCAACCATCCTAAAGGCCTGATGTACACTTTTAAAGTATTGCATAAAGTATTCATTGGCATTGGAAGTGGCAATTGCTCAGCAAAAGCTCATGGACTCCAAAACAAGATGCTTCAAGTCAAAGAGTAGTGGAAACTTGGCCCAGATGATTTTAGCAATCACCGTTTTAGTTGATCTAAATATACAGATGTCTGTACAGTCAAACAGCAAATACACTTTTATACCTCAGTTTATGCTTTTATACCATTATAATTCTTACAATATATCATGGGAGCACCAGATTAACACGATTCTGCATGACGTGCAGCAGCAAAGTGTTTACTGAAAGAGAAATGTTGAATGTGCAATATTTGTCGGCATTTACATTACTTATTTCTGTTTGTATACCATCATACTTCTGATATAGTGAGAGCACCCTACTTTTATTCTGCTCACAGTTTTGTAAGTGCTTTGTAAGTGTAAGTGCTAAGTGCTGACTTATACATAAATATGGAACATATGGCAGATGTCATATTAATCCATTCTCCATGGAAGTGTTTTGATGCTAAGTCAGTTTGTCAGTTTTGAAATTGGATAAAGTATTTCGAATGTTGTAACATGTTGTGAAATCTTTTTTATGTAGTAATTTTTGAAAATTGAGGCTTGGGTTGTCTAAGGAATTAAAGGGTCCTATTTTTTTTAAATAAACTTAATGTTACAGGTAAGTTGAAAAAGTCAAGAAAAAAAGTTACTTGGCTGCCTTAAAAAGATAAGTTGATTCAACAAAACCTTTGTTGAGCTAACATTTTTGTTGTGTTTGCACAAGTATAAATTATAAATTGATCTAACAAGAAGCCTAGTTTAGGCAAGTTACATTTTCATGTTGGTGAAACTTGAAATTGCATGTTGGTCTCACTAAAAAGACTTGCTGATTAAACTTAAAGTATGAAGTCAATAGGACTAATTTATTAGCGCTGTTTTTGTCACCCCAACTAATAAAACTAAGTTTAAGGAACTAAGACTAAAGTGAAAACAAATGAAATTCCTTTGCTTGCTGAACTTAACATTTTAAGGCAGCCAGGTTACAAATTATTTTAAGTTGAAAGAGTTTTTTCTTTTTTTTACAGTGTATTAAGTGCTGCAGATGGGTCAGCTCTGCCATGTA